GTGACTCAACCACTTCCCTGGGCAGCCTGTTCGAATGCCTGACAACCCTCTCAGTAAAGAAATTTTTCCTAATATCCAATCTAATTTGACTACAGAATCTGAAGTCTATTTCATAGAAAGACTAATGTGTGAGTTTTGATGTGAAATTTCTTTCTGCTCTGAAGAGTGCTTTTTGGTGGTTGTTTTGTTGTTTTTTTTTTTAAGCACTGCCAATATGAGATGTCTGTCAAGGGAGAAATATATAGCATAATTTTTGCTTGAAGGCAAGAATATATAATGGCAATTTTCCCCCTTTAATCAGAAACTTGGAGAGAACAAGAACAGTATGCTGAAACAGAGAATGGACAAAGAGGAGTTAGAGTAACTAGCAGTGGTGAGATGTTTTCATGACAAGGATAAATAGTAAGGTACCTGGCTAAGGCCTTAAGAAGGGCTAAAGAATAAACCTGATGAATCCTTGCCTGAGAGGTGTAGAAGACTCAAGTTCATTTCCTCCTTTGGGATGTTGCCAACGTGAACCTTGGCAAGATACTTTGACTAATTCTGGAAAAGATCTGGGTTCATTTGGCTTCTTGCACTCTTAGAAACACTGTTTGGCTGCAGCCTAATCCTGACTCTGCCAAATCACCCTGACTCAGAAGTGTTGGGTTTTTTTAGATAGGGTTGAACAGCTCAGCTGGAAGTACTTGCTCTTCTGCCAAACTTATTTGAGCTGCTTTCACAGCTATTGTGGATCTAACGAGCATTTATAAAGAACAGTTAGCAGATTAAAAAAAAGAAACCATTTTGGAGGAGGCCCCAGGTGACATATGTCGTATCTCTAGCTCAGACCCATCACCAGTTCTGGTTCCACTTTCTAAAACAAGGCACTGGAAAGTTTGTGTTCCAGTAGTTTCTAGGTCTTGGTCTGGTTCTTGTCTTCCGTTTCCTATCAATAAACAGGGTCATTTGCCTACCTCATGGGATCCTACAAGGATAAGCATGAGATTGTGAAGCACTCGGACATTGTAGATTGTGAGAGAGTGGCTAGGGAAAGAATACTGGGTTCCAATCTTGTGTTTGATATTATTATGTGGACTGCTGCAGCTACAAATCCATACAAACTAAATGTGAAATTATCAGCCTTGCTGCGTGCTGCCAATGGCCAGATCAGCGTCTTTTAACACTTCTCTTCCCAGTGCTGTTGCCCAGTGCTTGCCAGGACATGTAGTAAGATTACTTTTTTTTGGATGGTCTGGAAGCAGAGTGAAATTACAGTAATGACAGTGGATGAGTTTTAGACATTGAAAAAGAGAGTGACCAATCCAGGTAGACAAGACTTGATTTTATTAATAAAATTTGTATTTTCCTCTTTGAGGTGACAGTTACAAACTTTGGTTCAAAAATAAAAGAAAATATGAACAGCAAGAAGTTGACTTTTGAAATCTCACTTTTACATGTATAAACGTGCATAAGAAAATACCAGTTGGAAATGAGCCAGCAGAAACTAGTACTATTTAATTTAACAATTTATAAGAAATAGAAACAAACATTTCTTTTCAAGTCTTACATATATTACGAAAAATAATTACAAAAGGATTTGTGTTGTAAAGCTAAAATGTAACTTCTACTTCCAACTACCTGAATAAAATGTTCAGAGGTAAGGCCAAACCAACATTTTTTTTTGTGAGATTTGAACAGCAAATTTTAACAGTTTGGGTCAAAGACAGCTCTGTAGGAAGCAGTCCCCTCGTATGTTGCTTAGCAACTATGTAGAATCACATGACCTAGACATATTGCATCCCTGGCCTTCAGGTGAAATAACAGGAAAAAATAATTCATATTAATGGGATGGGCAAATATTGTATAGGACCATTCTGTGGAACTTTTAGTATCCAGTTCAGGAAGCAAACATCCATCATTGCTTACATAAAAATCTAAGTAAACACTGCAAAAATCCATAAATAACTGTTTAGGATCCAGTTTTAATATTTATGCAGACCAAATAAGCACAATGGAAACAAATTCAGGTGAGATTTAAAAAAAAAAAAAAAAAAAGGAAAGCTGTATGACTAACTTATTTCACACAGATTTTTAACAGGTGTCTTACACAAGTTGGTTTTTTTTTTCTTACATATTTTCCCCACCCAGAAATATAAACTTGTTTATTTTAGGTATATACAGGTATCTTATGAAATTATGGAATTAGAAAAGAAAATAAAAAGTCTGAGGTATAGCACCATGGAACACAGCACCTTTGAAGGTGCTTTCATTATTGAAATTCATCATCACAGATTGATATCAGCAGAAGAGAGTTGTTTGAGTGTGCTGCTCAAGATCTTCCAGTTTTGCCACCTTAAGTTTTGTTGGCAACTTCAAATAACAAAACTCTTCAACAACAATATATACAAAGGGATTTTATTATTAATCAGAATTGGAATTGGCTTCACTGGCACTTACAGCTTTATTTTTTCAGAATACATACACAGTATTGACAATGTAGTTTTGTAATTATAAAATAAGAGCCAGATGCAATTCAGAGACACATGCAAGTTTTGGAAATGGACAGAGAAATAACAGTATAGTACTGTACATAGAATAATTACAGTTTATTAAACACTTTCTTAACATCTCTGTTGTAATGGAAGGAGCACCATGTTTGTTTTTTTTACAGCACCAAAGGACTCCAAAGGGGGGTGTTCCTAAAGTAAGCCCTGTGTTGTCTATCTGTGCCACAGCATCTTTGCAAAATAAGTTTAAGTCATGTGATTCTGGCCCTACAAGGGCAACAATTACTTTCTAGATAAGACATACATACACAGCAAGACATATTTTCTATGCCATCCTTATTCAAAACTTGCATGTGGCATGAAGTGGATTGGTAGCACCAAAGTGCAACATTTTTGTTGATCTGATTTTTGTCTTACGCTTAACCAAGGAAGCAGACAGGACCGACCTCAAATCCAAACTTCTGGTTCTGATCGCCAAAGTCATTGATCATCACATCAACTATAGGCACTTGGTCTATTTTGGGTGTGTTGATTTCGATCACTGTCTTTGCATAGCCCTTTCTTGACTGTTAAAAAAGAAGCAAAAGAAAGCAAACATCGTTATATATCAGAGCAGTCAGCATGTGCTGTAGATCTTCATAGGTTACCTCTGAAGTGTAGAATTTATAAATTATTGCCCCCTCATGCATGAGATATTAGAAACTCTAATGTTTATGTTTTCTTAGGATTTTATTTAAAAAATGTGACATGGAGTGTTTTTGATTTTAGAAAGAGATTGTCCCATGGCTTTTTGACTTACTAAAACAGGCCTACAAATGAAAAATAATCTAAGACATTTAATGTTTGAGAATTCTGAGCTCACATCTATACTACTTAATAAATAATAACAATTTTCTCATAGCAGTGCGCACATCTTCCATGTGAAAAAATCACTACTTAGTTCTGAAAGACAGAAGATCTACTTCTAAGGAGAAAGACTGTAACCATCTCACAAAATACTACAGCAGCTGTTTGGACATGAAAGAAAGTAGTAGTCTGACACAACTGCCAACCAATGCACTTAGAAACCAGGTTTGAAGGGACACCCTTACTTCCTAACGAAGGCTCTCTATCTCCTCTAAAGATCATCCAACCAAGTCATCATGTTAGTTATCAGGACTGCACTTTGTTCAGATGATCTCTTATATCTTGCTGAGTCATCTTTCAGCTATGCCAGGGTCTTGAGTTTAGATGAGCATCCAAGTTGGTAGATCTGAGTGTTCTCAGTTTAGTGATGGAGCTACACCCTGAATCACTTCCAGCTCTCTCTGGAGCTCTACACTCACCCACTGTGGATAACAAAAGCAAAATAAATATACAGGACATACAGAAAGGCTCACATGAAGCAGTTAGTTATGTATTAGAATCTCATTACTGAGGGGAGGAGACACTGCATCTACGTGAGCTGCGTCTCTGTCTCAGAGTCAGGTATGTATCCTGGCACTTTCAGGTCTCTGATGCTTTATCACTGACATCTCAGGAACTGCCTTCAAAATGCTCCCATATCAAAACCAAAATAATTAATGAGGCTTCAACTGTCACTTGCTCCTTTGTTGTCTTTGTTTCAAAGTGTTCAGTACAAACCATTCTGTTTCTGAAAAGAGGTAGCAGTTGCTATGCCTACAAAGACCCTGCTGGAGAGGTGGTCAGAGAGCTGATGCATGTTTGAACAGCTCTGGGGGTTTTAGCCGAGCTAAGAGAATTCTGAAAGGTACAATCTACAAACTTCACCTGGCTTGGGCTACCAAAAAATGAGAAAAGGAAATACAAAGTCACATATCAAACTATGCAATTAATTCACTATGTTTGGGTACATACATATGGCTTAGTTTATACATGTTTTTACTGTATTCACTAAATACTCTGTCTGCATATGCCTTGATTTTGAGCATAAATATATTCTACTGGTGGGCTGCTGCCCCCGTTTATGCATTTTTGCTTCTGTTCTTCTGTGTGCGTGTTCTGATACTGTGCTCATACTAGCAGATAGTCTAGTTTCAGCACATTGGTGCTGACAGCCAGTATCCATGCCAGGTTTGTTCTATTTCTGTTGCTTGGCTTATTTTTTTTTTTTTGGTACATATAGGAAAATTAAATAAGGGAATAGTGTACTGTAGTTAAAAATCTACTAAAAGGTAGTCTATTAAAAATAAAGTGTTTAGAAAGCTTTTCTCAGAAGAAAGCTATGAAAGAATGAAATTGTTTTATTTCTACTTTAATTGACAGGTTGGTTTCATAAAGACTCTTCTGAACCTCTACTTACTGCACAGCCGTCGTGAAGAGCTTTGATGTAAGGATTGTTGTCATAAGACATTTCTTCATCATTTGATCCTAAGAACCTTAGCGCTTTGTCATAGCTGTCAGATGATGCATCATGCCAAGCTACAGACTGATGACAGTTGTAAGTGAAATTTTGTCTGGCAGAGGCACTCAGTAGTTTAAGGAATGTCATTTGGACCATATTAATGGAATTGCCTTCAACATCCAAATAGGAAAGCTGGAAAATATGGAAAATATAAGAAGTTACATGAATATTTATCTATTTCCTTTGTTAAAATGCAAAACAAAATTATTGTTGACAAAAGAACCACATAACTGTACTTAATAAATTAAAAAAAAAAAAGTCAACCAACATATAACATTTTATGGATTTTTAAAGTTCAATAATGCTATGACTCAGTAAATAGATTTTCATGTTGTAGCAATATATTTAGGATGAAGAACTACATATTTTGGCTTCATTCTAATGGGAAAGAGAGAATTACTCCTACCATATAGTGTAAAACAGTAGAATCTCTTTGGGAATCTGCTTTTAGTTAATTATAAAGTTATGTAAGCCTGCAGTCTCATCTTTGCATACTCGGTACATTTCAGGTTACCTAGAATGGGGCAGGGGATCTGTGCTCCAGCTGCTTTACTAAGGTTCAGTGGTGATGTGTGGTCTGCCAGAAGCCAGATCCTCACCATCAGCTGTGCAAGTGACCATTGGGATCATTGTGGGACAATGCAGAGCAGGCTTCTGCTGTCCAGTGGCAAAAGGCCATATAGCTGCTCTAATATTTAGGGCAAAAAGGCTGGGGCTGAAAAGTCTTTTCCTTATCTAAATATTTATAAAATTCCTTGGGATCTGTTGATCACTGATAACATGTACTTGATTTGTGAATAATCATTATGTTGCAGTGACAACTTACAAGTTTGCCTCGCTTAAATTCACTAAACCAAGATCCTGGATTCTCCTTTGGCCATGATGAAATTCTAACCTGTGTGGTAAAACAGCAGAGGTAGAAGTATTTAAAACATATGTTAACAGATATGAAGGTTTTACATTACCTGGGACAAGTTAAACATCAGATAGTAAAGAATGGTTGGTTCTTCTTTCTGAGATCTCAGCCTCTTTAAAGCTCTAAAATAGGATGTTTTCTTCTACAGAATGCCTTCAAATTAGTGACTTTAAATGGAATCCAAGGTGATAGCTTATAAAGTGAGCTAGTTCTATTTAAGGGAAACTGTTGTCATCTGTTAAGATTCAGGTAAACTGCTGGTATAAATTGTTCCTGTGAAGAGTGGCTAAATTCGAGTTTTCACTGATGTTGATGCAGATAGATCTCTCTCATTGAGGCAAGCTTTTAGAAAGCCTTCCTCTACACCAGGTGCCCCATCAGAGGTAATTATAACAATGAGTGAGGACACTGTTAATATATAGTGGTTTACATCTACTTTGCATAGGTATAAACGAATAGATATAAATGAACCCACAAGAGAAACACAGTAAGAGTTTAGCTTTAGGTGTCAAATGCTAGATTATGCACTTTAACTGACTGCACAGCTATGTTGCATTCTGAAATGCAGTGAAAGGTTAGCAAGCAGGTGCATAGATTGCCTATCTAAGCAAAAGAATGAAAATGCTGTTTGCTAACTATGTACCATTTTACCACTTTATTCAGATTTATGCAAATTTCAATGTAATCAGTAAGACAGATATATGAAGATGTGACGATGTAATTATCCTGTTTAGTTCAACATTGCAACAGCGTAGTAGAATCTGTCAACAGCTAACTGAAAACACAGATTGGTACTTACTCCTTCAGATTTCTTATCTGGGTAGATGCAAGTTTCCCCACCTGCTGTGAAATTGCAGTATACTTTGAAGGAGTCTCCAGAACAGCCCTGGTTAGGATCAATCCAATATTCCCCTAAAACAGATGAGAAAATATTTTTCTTATATAGTGGAAATGGTATTTGGAAGATCCAGGTTTTACTGCTACCTAATGGTCCTCCAAAGTTTGTAGCAAATTTATTTTATCTCGATGAGAAAGCAACTCTTTCTTTTCTGCCTTGTGATTTGTTGCTGCTGTTGTTGTTTATGAAAGATAACACCAGGATCCAAGTCTATTTTTATCTGCGTCCTTTTGTTTTTGTCTAATTTTACTTCAAACCACGACTATTGCAGGATACTGCTGAGGTTTTGGAGGAACTGCAGAGACCTCAGTCTAGGGGAAGAAGGACATTATGTGTGAAACACACATTGCAGGTCCCAGCAATTTGGCCATTTCAGTATTTCAGCTAGAAGGATAATTTGTACCTGTGGTGGTAGCACTTTCAAAAACAGAGCGGAGGCAGCCTTAGGCAGAAATAAGCTATGGCTTAGGTCAGAGAGCAAAATCTGGAGTCATTTTCACACCTATCTACATAAAAAGGTGGCCACACAGGGCTTGGTGAGGTTGTAGCTGGCACAAATACCCAAAGCTTCCCCTGAGAGAGTATACCTCAAGCAAAGTTGTTTTTTACTGCTGGGTTATGAAGCTGCAACACTAGTGAAACTTCAGGCTGCTTTAGCTGATAAAAACACCTTAACTAATGCTTGGTTAGGTGACACGGTGGGACAGACAGTTAAAACTTGCAGGAGGCTTCCCACAGTTTCTGCAGTCCTACCAGACTGGCATGATTGAGAATTCAGGCCCTACAATGCCAGGGTGAATGAAGGCTGGGCATGAAAGAGGGCCAAGGTCAATCCAAGGTCCATTAAAAATCAGCGCATTTTAAAATCTACCATTCTAATTACAATGATTTCTGTGATGTGGGTCCTTATCTCCAGCTAGTTTCACAGCAGGACAGCAAATGATTTTCTGACACTACTGTTCTAATCCAGTTTCAAGCAAATACTGGAGGTTTCAAAGAGGAATACCAAATCTCTATTGTTTCAGGCTGTATTTATTGAAAACAGTCCTTCCTACCTGTAAGTCTTGTCCCTTGAGATTTTGGATTTTAATGAATGAATTTACTTTTATTTTAACCAAAATAAGATTACTTTGATATGAAGAAAGCTCCAAATAATAAGCAAATACTGGTAAATTAAGAAGGTGAATGTGTTCTATTAAAAACATTCATTATTATGGAGGGTACTGAATTGTAAAATATGTACTTTTCATATAGCACATACACTGCTTAACTATTCCTCAAGGCAACCATCTGTTTTTATCTATCTAGAGTGAAAGCAATAAAAAATTATTAAACTGTCAAAATCTATTTTTCCTCCCATTTTAAAACAGAAAAATACTGCTTTGAACTGGGAAAAATATCCATTGGAATAAAAAAAAAATAAAAATGAAAGAATGAAAACTCTGTGAAGGTTGGCTTTCATTTATAACCTTTCCAGAGGGGTAAACTTGGAAAAAAAGAAGAAAACAACAAAGAATAATTAAATCAAGATAGTTCTTCAGAACAGTGTGTTGTTCATACTACTCTGCGTTTTATTAAACTAGTACTTAGTAGCATTAAACAGTATCAGAGAAACTTGCATGTCTATTTGCTGAATGATATAGAACAAACAGTGGTCATGCAGTAGAACAAAATATTGTTTCTAGGGGTAAAAGAATAGTAATTTTTTTGAGTCATAATAATAAATCTCATATAATACTAATGCTATTTTATATTATCATGCTAAGCTAAAGTATACAGCTACTAAAACAATTATCATTTCTTTTATAAAAAGCTATTAGCTATCCCAGCGTGCTGACATTTGTGATTTTTACTTTCTGTTGATCTAAATAGCATCAATCTTTCATCCCTCTCCTGTTTGGATAGTTCTGGAAATGCAAGGCCCACCTTTCAAAACAATAACTGGTTTTTATTTAGCACTTCAAAAAAAAAACCAGATCAGGTTATGTATTTAAAGAATTTTGGCTTTTACCAAGAGAACATATCTTACTCACATTTTATAAACTTTTATACCTGCAAAAAAGGATTTAATGAGACTGTATCTATTGAGCGACTATATTAACCATCTACCAGTAATTAATTATTCTGCCAAAGTATCTTAGCAGATCATAACTTCAGCCTTGTTTGCCAGTGTCATGCAATATTAACATACCATCTGGGAAGTCTGGGTGGCAGAGTTGCAAGTCTTTGCAAGTTCGGGCTGGGTTATTCTGAGTGCCCATTGGATACTTCATATGCTCAATGTCTTGCTTCAGTGAATTCAATGATCCAAAGATCTCTTCCATGCCATCAGAATAATCCAGAATATTATCACCAGCATCGGATAACATGTAATCAGGAGATCTTCTTGTCTTTTTGGGTGACTGGATTGGCAGCGGCTGTATTACCTCACCTGGAGGACCCTGAGTGGAAAACAACATACCTGGTTACCTCTTCTGTTTGTTTTTCAGCTGCATAAATATGAAGCCGCAGAATGTGGCTTGGAGATGCTTTGAATAGGCTTTCTTCAAAATCTTTATTTCTTTATTTCACTTATTTCCTTCAGATTTATGCCTGTGTGCTTTGACTTGCAGAAAAAGATGACTGTAGGAAGGCCAAACCATTGTTGTACTCTAAACTCTTCTCACTGCGTTGCTGTTTGGGGAAGAGTGTGCTGCCCTCATGTAAGTTAAGTGTGCAGAACTGACTTGCGATTGCCTCTTTATCCCTGGCAATTCCCTCAAGTACAGGCATAGCCTATGACAAATGAAAACTGTGGATGTTTCCTATGATAAAACTTTAAAATTCCACTTGAGGTCTATAAAGCAATATTTAATTTCAAGAAATTGAAACACTTCATTCAGTTTTGGACTGTTTTCATTTTAGATTGTTATGATATGAAAAAGAAATAGTGGAAACAGAAGAGTGTCAACAGAGGTAAACCAATATAATTCTATTTTCTGTGCTTCAGTATAACACATTAAATAATTATTGCAAGTGCATTTTTTTGTTTAGGGCAGTTTTTGTGGGTTTTGTTGTCTTTTTAAAGTTTCTAATGGCTTTTTCAGTGCAGAAAATACATTGTATTTCTGTGTCTGGTGGATCTGTGTTTCCTGAAAAATGAATTTTCAAACAATCATTAATATTTTCCTTATCTGCAAGTTCACAAATGCTGTTTTCTACCTTTGTCAAAACAGGGTCATCATGTCAGTGTAATGTGCATGCATATCAGATAAGAGTTCTTACTTACTGGAGGACCAGGTGGACCAGGTAATCCACTGTCACCCTTTTGACCAGCAGGACCCTATAAAGCAATGAAAGAAATGCAGTGTTGACCATGCTACAGAACGCTAAAAAATAACACACACAAAAGTTATGTAAAAGAACAAAAAATGTGGAGGAGAATTACTCACGCTGGATCCTTTGGAACCTTTTGGACCTTGGGGACCCTATGGGCAAGAACATATAACTATAGTTGGAGTGTATTCCATACAACACAGGAGTGTTTTGAACAGGAGGACTGGATGGAATTACTTACAGGTAAACCAGGAGGACCAGGGGGTCCAAGTGGACCAGCAGGACCAGAAATTCCCTAAGAAAGAGTAAGAAAGTAAGTACAGAACTAAAATATTCTACATACTGGACTGGATTAAAAAAATGCATATCTATGAAAAAGGTAGTCCTACTAAGCATCCAACCGGGATGAGTTTTGATTTAGGCCATTTGCTAAGGTCCAAAATAGTTTGTAAGTTTAAAATATTATCTCACAGTTTGAGTTTCTTGTAGTTGTTCTTACACTGCAGTACTTATAGTCACGACTGTGTTCCCCCTTGAGCCTGGCTTGGAAACCTCACTTTTTATAGTGCCTTAAAACATGGCTTAATAACTAGGAGAAAGGAAGCTACTTTGGGTAGTGCAGTTATTAAACATGATGAGATTGGTGCTGCTAGTTTTATCTCATCCCTAACTTAAGTGTATGCGTTTCCTTCATCTTCTGAAACACTCTATGATCTTGTTTTACGCTGTTTAACTTCACTGTGTTTGTATAATGCCTAGAAGAGTTTTAACCTCTAGCAGGGGGTTCTGGGTGTTAAATGTTTATGGCAACTTTACATCTCTCAAAAGAAAGACTGGAATATGTACTCTTTGCTTGCACACAACTTGAATGAAAACACAAGTATGTTTTACTCACTGCATCACCCTTGGCTCCAGGAGATCCCTGTGGGCCAGGAAGACCCCTATCACCCTTTTCACCCTGTTCTCCTGGAGGTCCAATCAGGCCAATCAAACCAGGATGTCCCTAAACAAGACAGAAGAAAATATAGCTAAAACTCAAAATATATACAGTAAATGTGCTTTGCAAACACAGAAATTAGAGCTTTCAAATGTCAGCACTGTTGCTAGTCAACAGTTAACCCAAACCCAAATTATTCTGAAAGCATATTCATTATTGTTAGTTAGCCTTTTACACTTCGAGATTATTTTCAAGTTGTGACTGCTTATTCAGTGAAAGAGATCTAAGTGCAACATAGTTCTTACTGGAACAGATATAGAAATAACAATACCTGTGGGTACAAATTTCATACTAACTTTCACATTTAGATGCTATAAGCATATTATAGTTGCACATTTGTTTCCGCATGTAATATAGCTGTATAAACAGCTGATCCAAGCACATAAACAAAACTGAAATTCACAAGATATAATCATATCCATATCCCTTTCTCTATATAGTTTTTCTCTGATACACAAGCAATCAATAAATTGTTGGGACTCCATTAGAAAATGCTATCCTATCCTGGATGTCTCAATCCATTATTTCAAAGGAAAGTAGTATAGCTGTTACATATTTATTTTGTTGTTTTAAAATAAAAATCTCAAATACTTTTTATGTCTACTTTGTTTTTGTAAAACCAACAGGTCTCTTTACATCCATGTCTTTGGGATTTTCACTGCAAGGAAGAATCACAGGGTCAACAGATTACAACACAGGCAGTAATCTTTTTCTTTCTGTATATCCAGGGCATCAGATGTTGCTTAAAACTTCACGATTACTATTAAGGCTATGGGAAGCTGATTTATAGACATGGTAAATTGTCTTGCTTTCTGATGCAAAACCCCTAGTGTTTCTTTCTGCTAATTTTATACAGACCTTTAGACTGGGTCAAAATTACAAAAGCACAAACAATGAATAAAGTATACCTTCTCTCCTTTGGAACCTGGATCTCCTTTCAGGCCAGGCAAGCCAGGTGGACCCTAAATAAATCAAGGGAAGTAATGTTAAAATAAGTTTTAACATACTGCACAGATCATGTTTTCTTGAAATATTACTAAAGGCGGTGTAAGTCCAAGTACACAGTCATTCAGTGGTTGATGGTTGTGATTGATGGCATGTGATTTAGGGCCCAAAATAAAGTTGAAATGCATATTTAAAAAAGCATAATAATGTTACTGTAGCATTTAAATTACTTTATAATTAGAAATCTATAAAGTATTGTATGATTAGAAATCTGTGAAGCAGAGGGTGAACTAAATTCTTAAAGAGCACTGAAAGCATCCAGTGAAGCAAGTAATATTAAAAAAAATATTAAAATAATTTTTGGTTGATTAGCCTAATTTTGTTTGTGGTTACATTATATGCTTTCAATTATTACTTCTACCTTAATTCCTGTATCTTATTTTAGTTGCTTATTTTAGCCCTTTCTTTCATAAGAAGTGGAAAGTATCCTCTTAATTTGTTTTCTCCCAGTTTACTACAGCTTAGTAAGATTTTTGTGGAATATAAATCAAGTTGCTTATAATAACTGCTCCTCAATATTGTTTTGTTGGAGAATTACTTCATATTTTTTTTCAGCAAGGTGTTACCTTGGGATTATGGTTTCCTTGACTTGCCACCTGAGATTCCTGTATGACCGTGAATAATGCATTTAAATCTATATTTTCTAAATATTCAAGTCTTTTCTATTCAACATTGCCAGCTTAGTTAATGTGATCTAGGTGTGCTAGCTCCACTGACATGTACAAGCTTTATGGCCCTTCGTCACTTTTGTAAATGTGGTTAGTTACACAAATTACTTAGGTTTTGTAATACTAGTCTGGGCAATCCTAAATGCTTCTACGAACAGCCTTAGTCTCTTTGAACCTCCACTCCTCATTTGTTGGATAGGGATAATACCCCTACCTTACAGAGGTGTTAAACCAATACATTTTTAGGTACTTACATGCTTCATGTCATATGACCAACTCATAATTTTTAAATTGTATTTAGAAGCCATCCTTTCTGCAGCACAGTAAAGACATGTTACTTTACGAAACTGAGTAAGAAATGCTCTTCTAAGTTTCATCTGCAGTTGTCCCTAAACATTAGTCCATGCAGCTAGATTTCTGTAAACAGAAATATGCTAGGGCAGGAGACAGAGCTGTGAACAATGAACATAGGGTCGACAGAACCATTCTACAAGCCCTTCCACATTTCTGGGGTGGGCATGGGGAGGGGACAACCCAAAACACTGATTTTTTTTTTATAGGTGGTTCCAATGTAAGCTGATGCTTAGAGAATCTATTGGAAAACTCCATTGTAGTCTTGCTACCTGGGAAACCACTGTGGAGAATTAAACACATTCACATTGATAGGTCTTACTTTCTGAACATCCCGTGCAAAAACCACTGAATAATCTTGTTCTTATAACTTGACACAAGCTTCTTTTCCCTGACAGTGGTTTTTGATCTTTACTGGGATCATAAGAGCAATCCATTAAAGATACTGTTTTACCAATAGTAAAAAATATAGATGGATAGATGGCACAGAAAAAGGTTATATATGAAGCTTGTTAAAATCTCCTTGGTTTGTTCTTTCTCCAGCTTTTAAAAATTATTTTAATCCTTATGTATAATTTTAGAAGAATTTTGAGAGATTTGAGAAATCTGAGGTTCATAAGAATGGCAATGCTGGTTTTGTGTAATTTGTACAGAATGAGGTGAAAAATTTCAGGCCATGCAGTGCATATGCAAGCACAGAAAAGGCATTCATTTCTCAGAGGCTATTAATCTCACACTGAACATGTATGCATTAGGCATAGAGCTTCTAGGCTAAGTCAGTATCTCATCACTGCTGGTCTCCTGCTGGCAGTGGACATCTGTGAAGTTATGATATGCATACCAGTAATAAGTGACCTTTTCAGCCTGGCACAGAATCAAAAGTACCCTAACGCTTCATGTACAAAATATTATTCAGTGTGTATCCTTTCCATCTCTACTTCAGGTTATCATTAGATGCAAAAGCCTAGTCAAATACATAATTCATGAATGAAAAGTGAAATTTTTAAGCTTTTGGAATACAGAATCAGCCATTTTCACCTGCAGTGTGTTGTGCTCTACTGCAAATCTGCTTTCGTATTCTCCTGATAGCAATCTATTGTAGAGAGAGGGAGGGGAAGGAGGGAGACCTAACCTCAGCAACTTTTACATATAAACTTAAACTTTATTTTGGGTTTTAAGAAAGTAAAGTTGCAGCAAGGCATCTAAAAAAAGTTATTGTTGAGCTGACAGGAAGCCTGCGCATTTGGGAGTATATAGTTCATTAATACACTCAGCTTCAGGTTTGAATTGAATATTTAATCTCTCAAATGTTGGGAGAGAGATATTTTGAGGATGTATTTGGAGGCTTCTAGTGACTGACATGTGGGAAAGGGATGCTTATTATTGCTGAATAATTGTTCATTGTCTTTTAGATTTCAGCACAGAACTGTAACTGGGGAGACCAGTTTTCAGTTGTCTGATTTGTCCCCCATGCATTTTATTTGTAAATTGGGCACATAATTTAAAAACTATGGTGGTGGCCCCATCATAAACTTTGGGGAGAAGAGGTTTTTATTATGGGCTTAGCATAGGGGAGTCCTTTTCCTTGCAGCTTCTCATTCATTGTTCCCAACCTCTGACTTACAAGCAATATGTTATCCCTGAGACTTTAGACAAAATTAGAATGTTAAAATGAAGACAACAAAGAGCTATAGTGTAAGGTTTCCTCAGTACATTATTTGCTTATTATTGTTTTCTAAGGGACAGAGAAAAATGAAATTATATGTGGGAGCCTTCCTTTGCTTCCCTTGCTTTAATCATATTATTAACACATAGCAGAACTGTGGTATGCCCTAGATGCCCTAGAAACTGGGAGCTTGGTTCATTCAGACCATTTTAAACACTTTGGTCATGGATTATGTTTCCTTGAACTGCCACAATGAACAACAGACATGATGCTGCTGTTCATTTTTATAAAACTGGCATGTTTTCTTCTTTGGTAGAAGTCCCTTTTTGGCCCTCCTTCTGATCTAATTTTTTCTTTCTCTAAGGAATAGACATGATCTAAACTTTTACCCTATGAATAATGTTTTCCTAAACTAGCAGTCATTAAAGTCAATGGATGTAAAAAATTTGCCACTGCTAAGGAAACAAAATGATTTAAGGTATTAAGCTTTGCTGATGTGGGGACAGAAGTAGATTTTTTTATTCTATTCAGGGGATTTCAAGGATTTGGTTTTATACTGCCTTATTCCACTTTTTACCTGTTATAACTCAGCAACATTCAGCAGAGCTGCCTATTAAAGTGGAGCAGTAAAATTAGAAGGCAGTTGTGTATCAGATTTTACCAGCACAGAAGAACTTTGTGCTAAGAACTGACTTGCACATTCATTGTTCTGTAAATGCACAGACACATTAATGATATATTTTAAAGGGTGTTTTTCTGTTCTGGCACTGAAAGGAAGGGTACTCACCAGAGGCCCAGGAGGGCCATCCTGACCTGGTGCTCCAGGTAGACCTTGTTCTCCCTAGAAAAAACATAAAGTTTGCTTTACCAGAGGATATACAAGAAATGCAACATTTAAAATATTATTATGTATTCCACTTACTTACCACAGGGCCAGGAATGCCCCGGAGACCCTCTGGGCCAGGTTTTCCTGCAGGTCCCTGTGGACCAACTGGACCCGTTTTTCCAGGAGCCCCTTCTGCACCAGGTTCACCCTAAGAAGAACATAAGCAACAGGTCAAAGAGGAAGAGCTGACTAAGCTTGGCACTGTAGGGATATACAAGTTGCAAAGTGAGAGCAAAGTTTCCTCACTCCATTTTCCAAAAGCTATTCTCAAACAGTGTTCTGCACAGGATGGTTTTCTGAACAAAATTTTGATAGCTTCACATAAAGATGGGGTGCCAGCAAAGCATACTCATTTTGCTTTTCCACAGGGGTGAGCTAAGTTGGGCCTGTACTGGTGAGAGTCCACCATGTACTCCATTATGTATTGCTACTAATTCTGGGTCTTAGTTTGGATTTTACAGTTTACCTATTATTACTTTGATAAGTTTCACACTCAGTGCATGATAAGCAATTTACTTTTAATTTATATACAGTTTACATTTCCATGCTCCTAAAAAAAATCTTGAATGTATTACCTTTGCACCTTTTTCACCTTGTCTGCCTTCAGCACCAGTTGCTCCAGGAGGTCCCTGTAAAACATGGAGACTGAGCTCATAATCTCAGTTTTCTAAAATATTACGAGTGAAAAAATTCCGAGAGTGCAATTTCCACTGTATTAATGAGTAGTAAATGCTAACAAAAGAACTTTAAATTTCCTTCTTGACACTTTATTCACAGGATAAAAATTCCAATGTCATATCAGCCATTTTTCCCTTCATAAAATTTTCTGGGTTTTTAGAATATCTAAAAGAATACACATTGTCTAACACTTCTGATATGATAAGGTTAAAAACAAAGAAATAGCTTGGAAAAAATTAAAACAGGATAGAAAAGGAAAAGAACAATACTAATTTACACATACAATAACAGTTTTAAGTTTGCTTTGCATTAGCTTGTATCTATTCACTATAGTTTAGTCACTGATTCCAAAAGGGCCTGTCATTCTACAGTGCACAGAATGGCATATACTTCTTTATTCTCTTAAGCAGGGGTTGGGCTCAGTGAGCCTTTTGATTACATTTGGACAGCCAAAAATTGATACATGCCTTAATATTATCCAGTAAATATGAAAAGGAAAAAAAAAATTGCATAACTAGAGATTGTAAGGAATGAAATAAAGACACTGACTACAAATAGCTCTTGGTATCAGGTTTCATGCTATTGCTCCACAAAAGCTCTGTTTAACTAAGAAGATAGAACTCGGTACTGCAGGAGGATGCACAGATGGGATAAGGTTCAGGTGAAGGCCACAAAACAGGAGTTGCAGTCATCTGGCAGCACTGTGACTACCTATTGCGGATGTCACCCATCTTTCATTTTCTTATGGTTTCAGTGAAAAATAAAAAGACATTTTTGTCCTCCAAGACAAAGGTTGATTTTCAGGTTAGGGAATTAATAGTCATAGCTTCAGTTATGAACAGAAGAAGTATCTAGAATCTAATGTACTCTCCTGAAAATGGTTCTCTTACATATACTTAGTTTAGAAAAGATGCGCTCAAGATAATAGACCAACTGTTTTCCTACAAGGTTAATTTTTAGCCTGGGAAATGTCTTTATTACAAGTAGCTATTTCTTGCCAACCAATAAGCAGCTTAAATCAAAAGGAAAGAAAAGTGACCATGATCAAATACAAGGTGATTTTCTGAATCTATAAAACTTACTTCCTAAGACTCATCTGTTCATTAATGCAACAAGCAGTTTGTTATGTAGAAATTAAAAAAATGTTCTAAGGATCAGCAACAAGAAAAATTCAACCATTTCCATTTATTTACTGCTTTTACTACATAACAACAGCCAAAAAAATGAAGGCCCCTAAAAGTAAAGCACTAAAACACATTCTTAATCTTACAGACAAGAACTGTTCTTCCAGTCAAGCATCTACTGGTATGCTCTGTGAGCTCAGGGCTTTAGACCAGAGTTTGACCTAATAGCAATTTTTTATACTAGAGCTGAATTTAACCAAAACTTTTTATAGCCTGATGTATTTCACCATCCACTACTATTGGCACATACCTTGAGCAATTCCACTGGTTTTAAGTTAATTCCTGGAAATTTATACTAATTTTATAACTATTTACATAGAAGTATATTAAGATAATTCACCTGCTTCTGAAGTTAAGCTTTTTCCAGTTCAGGCTTTCCATCAAACATAATGCAAAATGAATTGAATTACCCACAGTAGACTTTGGTCATTTGTTGTGGGTATCAACAGGTTGTTCTCTTTGGTATTTTTAAGAGCTGTAAGTGGTAAAGGACTTAGTTTTAGCTTTCAAAATACAGAGAATCTAAAAAGTCCTGGGATGTGTGGTCCAATAGCTGACTTAAAACAGGAAGAATAATTCAAATCACTACCGTTCCAATAATAATCTCTGATGCATATACCCCTTTGTGTAGGTTGTAATTCACTGGGTGGATTGCAGTTTGCAGTGATAACAAGAAAAATGATGAGCAGGTATATAAATAAACCCAGGAACACTTTAGATGCAGGACTTTTTTTTCCCTTACATGAATTAATTTACATAGCCATTGTCTTTACTGCTTGAAAATTCCTTGCACTCAAGTTCCCATATGGATTATAATCTACCCTACCTAAGAAACTGAAAAGGGTTGAGTGTGGTAGTTTGTATTTGAGAAATATGGTCTCTGCATAATCTAGAAATGCAGCTGCAACATGAATTAGCAGGGCTAAAACCACTGTGATCGCTAAGTTACAAATACAATGAATCATGATTGCTAAACAAAGAGCGTGCATTTATTATCAAACAGTGCCAATGCTGCACCAAGCACAAAGCAGCTACATGAACTGCTTTTCTAACAGGCTGCGATTGCTGGCATGGCATAGATGCAATCTACATTTTTCTACAATTTCTCTACAGAGAAAGACTGATAATTATTATTTATCTTACCTTCCTATACTTGAGTTGTTGGAGTGTCTGGTAAATTTTAACTGACAGAAAAGATCTCAATAACAATAATTTTAAATTAATGCATCGCTCCCCACCCTTACCACCCCAGCTACCATGGTGATTTTTATGATCATTACACTTTAAGTTAGGACATACTGTCTGATACATTTTATGTAGAAATAAGAAGACAAAAGAACCCATACAGAAACAAACTTCCTCAATTTTTGTTACATGAACCTGTTGGACATTTTTGTCTGCTCTTCCATATTTCATTAAAATAATTTAAACTGTTGTTTATAGCTGTCATCTGACTAAAACCATGATTTCCAACACAGAAAACCATTACCGCACTTCATCAGTCTGTTAAGATATGAACCTGGTGTATTGTTAGGTGTTTTGTGCGTTTGCAATCAAGAGAGAAAATAAGCTTAATTTTTAAGTGGTGTGTGTACCCTGCTGAGGCAGCATGATGCTGTAGCCAAAATGGAAAAAAATCTCCTTCATAGAAACACTTCCTTTTTTTCTAAGTTATTCAACTTTTTATATAAAGGCAACTAACCAAATAAACTTTTGCTTCTCAAAATTTAGAGACTGGCTTTGCTGCAGTATCGACATCTGTTCTTTTATTGAAAGCGGGCAGTATGCCCTCCAGTTGAGAACAAAAATGTATATTAGTCTTGCACTTTAAATTCTAACATTTTTAGATTTATATATGGAGCCTTATGTGTATGTGATCTAGACATCTAACCGACTAATAAAGAAATCAGACAAACAGCAGAAAACAGCTGAAGAGCCTAGCACACTGAAAGTTTGAGGAACATAAGCAAGAAGTACTACCTGTATTGATTTTTATTGACTGTATACGTTATTTTTTTTAAGAATGAATGTCGTTTGATGGTGTCTCTTCCTCATACTATTTTTAACATTTATCAGATAGAAATCAATGAATTCAAACTAGAGATGCTACCCAGTACTCTGTGGCAAAACAAAACCAAAAAAAGTCCCAAAAGTATGTGTGAAGAATTAAGTTTCAGAAAATAATAGTAACAACATAGCTGTAGAGTGGTTCAGTCTTTGTATCTACATGTCCAGATAAGCAGGCTTTGGATCAGGAGGCCTTTTGAGATGTTCCATTTGTCACTGATCACAACTCGCTTATCTCCTACATTAGAAGGAGAAGCTGGAAAACATTACACCTCATCAGAAACACCGTCTTCACACAGTATGCTGTTGGTCAGTGCTGATGCTATTCTGAGCAACAGGAAAGCTATAGAGCTGAGAACTCTCACTGACAAGCCCACAGGAATTTGTGAACTCCTTGGTTGTCTTAGATTGCTCCAACAATAAAGTTAACTTTATAACGCAGTTTTTGTCTTCAGAACATTTAAGAACACTTCAGAAGCCACATCCTTCTGTGAGGTTAGCAAATTTCATTCTTCTCTTTTCTGCACATAGATAAATTCAGATAGCAATATTACAAATGTTTAACATGCATATAATGGAAAAAGGATTAGAAAAGGGGTTCCTAGTCTCAAAGCTGTACTAGTCTACTTGTCTGTTCAGCTTGGAGTGTAGTGTACATACATGTAATGCCTCAAGTTTTCCAAAGAACCTGGGCTGATTTCCATCAGTGGAGAACTTGTCAAGGGATTTGATGATGTGCTGATGAAGAGCAGCCATTCTCAAATCAAACAGAACTGGTAAGGCTAGAATTGGGTCCTGGGTAGCTGAGAAGTCAAGTCAGTGATCTGCTGTGGACTACCTCTACCAAAAAGCCTATTGTGCTGGATATTTTTATAAAAGTAAAGTAAATATGACAGCTGATGAAGTGGTAGCCATTGTGTCTAGCCTCTGAGGTCTTGATCTGGCAAGATGCTTAAAAGGGCACTGAAATCTGCAAACTGAAACAAATGTATGTGTCCTACCAAGCTTGTGTGCTGTGTTGAATCAGGAATACTAGGAAAGTTGATCAATTTTTCAAGCAGCTATAACAGATTTCTTTAAATAGTATAAGTTTACTTTAAAAGATCTTTCATTTTGTCCTGGTTTCAGCTGGGATAGAGTTAACTGTCTTCCTAGTAGCTGGTACAGTGCTATGTTTTGAGTTCAGTATGTGAAGAATGTTGATAACACTGATGTTTTCAGTTGTTGCTAAGTAGTGTTTAGACTATAGTCAAGGATTTTTCAGCTTCTCATGCCCAGCCAGCGAGAAAGCTGGAGGGGCACAAGAAGTTGGCACAGGACAGAGCCAGGGCAGCTGACCCAAAGTGGCCAACAGTGTATTCCATACCATGGGACATCCCATCTAGTATAGGAACTGGGGGGAGTGGGGGCAGGGAATTGCTGGTGGGTGACTAGCTGGGTGTCGGTCGGCGGGTGGTGAGCAACTGCATGGCGCATCATTTGTACATTCCAATCCTTTTATTATTGCTGTTGTCATTTTATTAGTGTTATCATTATCATTATTAGTTTCTTCTTTTCTGTTCTATTAAACCGTTCTTATCTCAACCCACGAGTTTTACTTTTTTTCCCGATTTTCTCCCCCATCCCACTGGGTGGGGGGGGAGTGAGTGAGCGGCTGCGTGGTGCTTAGTTGCTGGCTGGGGTTAAACCATGACACATTTGCATCATAAGGGTTTGATGACAACATAAAAATATAATTTTTAGAAACACTATATTTAACTGCTGCTGAGCATTCTTCAGAAAGATGATACAAAACTGTTAGCATTGGCTGGCTAGAATGCTAACTTTAGCACTAAAATACTGTAGTTTAATTGCTCAAGTTTTTCCATCTGTATTTATGAAAGAACATACATCTATAAAAAATGCATATTATGCAATTGATGTTGCATAATGATATTTCTGTTTGACTTCAATAACAGTTATGACATGCTTTTACTTCTACACTACTCTTATTCACATTCTGCTATCGATATTCCATTAGCTGACTATTTCTGCTAAGAAAGAGTAGGAAATGCTTCTGACTACATTCCTTTTATTTTAGAACTATTTTGGGCAGTTATCAAGTATAAGACAACTTTTTTAAATCAAGGGAAATATGTTTTCCCCAAATAGTTCCAACATGTAGTCCTAAATTTTTATCATTACTATCATCTGTTATTAAAAGTTATAAACCAAGATAGAATTTGTATGGAATAAAAACCTGTCTTGACTATCTAAGTAAAGCAAGGTATATTTATATTCTTGTATATAGGAAATATTGAGCATAGTCTTTTACTTCGTTGACAAGATACTCTTTAAAAGAATCACTATTTTTTTAAATTCATTACAGGGCATTTTATCATTTAATTAAAAAATAGAGTTTAGTCAATACTAAACAAGTCCCTGAAAGTCTGATCCAATGAATATGTATTTTTAAATCAGCAGTTGGTGTTTTGGGCATTGATCCTCTCTTGCATTGAACTAGAGAATCTGGCCTTCCATTTGTTAATGATAAAATCACTTTGGCTATATGTTTCCCTTGATAGATTGCATAGCTCTAATATTCTAAACAGTATGTGCACAAATCCATGCTAGATTTGCACACATGACTACTTGCACCATAACTACATTGATGTATAAAGCCTTCTGAGCACGCATTTATCCGATCTGGTACACACACAGATCATTTCAGAAGTCAGGATCTGTAAAATATTAATTATGATTTAATGAAAAGAAAAAAAAATCAAAATATATGTAATCACTTTGAGAGACTTTATCAATGAACATGTCACAAGGTTTGCCCTTCATAGATTATTGTTTTGGCCTATAAATATATATATTTAATCTAGTCATTCATCTGAACATAGGATTTTGTTCCGAAGATACACTGGTCTCTCCCTTATAAAACTGAAAGTATCTGTGGTATTAGGACTTTCTGAACGACAGTGCTGGAAATATTTTTTGGAAGAGCGATTGTTAGGTCTGAAAAGTAATATATTAATTAGGATACACATTTTGTGGATGCTTTAATGATCCATTTTTGTTTCATCCATAGATTTAACCTTTTATTTTGATTTAGACTTGAGCTAAGTGGTCACTAGCATGCTAGTCAATTTTACCTCTTCAGAGTAGGAATCTGGAACAGGCTTATTGTTCTGACATGTACTTCCTAAGTGGTATTTCTTAAAAGAAATTCACCATGCTGCTTGTCCGTTGAGACCCTTGCTCAGTCTGCGAGGCTCTGGTACTTTAGAGCACCACAGTAAAACAGTTTTGGTATTCGCTTATCTCACCAACTAGTAGTAATCCTGTTACTGTTATCCATCAATAACTAGGAAAAATAGTTTATTCTTGGCCTTCACTTGATAGTTGGATGTCACTAGTAAGTATGTATCTGTAGCTGAAGTCTCTTAGATCCAATGGGAAAACTGTATTTATGTCCATGTCTTTCACTAGAATTTGCTTCCCAGGGAAAGCTGGGGAAACCTCTTTGTAACCGGCAATACTAAATACAGATTGCTCAAAACTCTGCAACTTGGTAATAAACATAATTTCAGAAGACTGGACAGTGAAACTGAGTTCAGGTTGGTTCCAAAATAGAGGGTAAGAGGGAGTGAAAATGAGTAACACAATAAATAAGGAGACTGTACAGTTGATGAGTTCAAGGACTACATTTAAAAGTATGTATCCTGGGCTCTGCCAGCTTGTTGTTTCAGAGACAGAAAAACAAAAATCAGAGTGGAATGTGGCTTTCTAGTAGTATAGCCAGAGCTGCACCTCCATAGGCAGCAGTATTACTGCTGAAATGGTATGTCCTTCTTAATCCAGATGAAAGGGCACTTGTTAGGGCTTTTTGCTGAAATTTATTCTACCATACAACTGATGAAAACTAGCAAATAACATTTTTTTGTGTTCATTCTGCCAGCAAAGTATGAAGCTTTCAATCCTTCACTGTTTCCCTCTGGTATTACATCAATACAATAGACTCTTCACAAGCTTGAGACATTCAGGTACTAAGGTAATGTAGAATCTGATTCTACAAAATGTTTTCTTCAGCATTCAGGAATGGGATTACTTGGCAATATTTAGCCATACATTTTCCCTAAATTGGAAATGTGTCAAACCACAGGTGATGTGGTATTTGTGTTTCTAAAGTGTTTTTTGTCTAGGTACAAATCAGATGCAATATATCCCATCTCTTAGGAATGAGCTACTGCCTTTCTATATAATAAAGTAGGAAGTTCTAATTTGATGTCAAACATACTAATTGCTAATATTCAATTGAGCCGTATCTCAGTTCTAGTGATAAGGTTGCTAATGCTACCGTAATAATTTACAGTATTATAAATGTTTTGCAAGCTGGTGGAGCAAATAGATTATTCACTCAAGCCTATCATATAGAGCAATTTAACACATTTTGTTAAATAGCTCTTAGCTTATGTTTAATGATGCCCCCTCCCTTGTTTTTTACAGTGTAAAAACCACACCTAATTTCTCTCTGAAGCAGATCTAAAGGTTGATGCATCTACTACACTTCTGTAAGTATAACATTATTTACTGGTTTTGATTAGCTATATTTGAAAAGCCTGTGAAGCTTCAAACACTTTAGAAATAATGGAATGGCTTCGTAAGTTACAGAAATGTCTGCTTGTTAATTTTGTATGCAGAGGGGATGACACAGGTTTGCACAAAAGCTGCATTGAAATTATTTCATTTCAGAGGCTAAGGACACCAAAGCAGACACACTCTTCCTGCTCCCTGCCAGCAGTCCTGTGCCTAAGGATGATGTCTTGTATTACTCTCATAATCACTCACTCCTATTAGCAGACTAATCCAGCAGACACTGAATTCACTTGGGTGAAAAGAAAAAGTGCATTTATAGATAAGTAATACATTCTTCCCTCTGTATTTTTGTTCCTATGTTCCATGTAACTCACGTTAAAGGGTTGCCCTGCTGTTTCTATTTTTTCATTTCTCCCATTACATTAAAGAAACTTCAAACATCAATATATGAGTGTCACAACATGGAAAACGAGTAGCTGAAGTTCTCTAGAACACAGTGTCTCAGAAAGAGATATGTACAAGAGAAAATGAGAAATTACTTACTCTTTTTCCAGGTGGACCAGGTGGGCCAGCTTCACCTGAAGGACCTGGTGGACCCTGCAATGGAAAATGATACACTCAGTGGTAACAAAGTATAAGGTTATTATCTTTATTAAATGCAACAAACATCTGCAATATGTTGGCCCCTTTCAATGGACAGCAAATAAGTACCATAAATGCACACAGAGAAGTATACCTGCTTATTCAACAAATCCTTTCTTAGGGTGGTGGTTTGAAATTTTTAACAGCTTTTGTTACTGTACAAAATGCAATGATTTTTTTTTCTCTTCCTGTTTGCAACAAAACATTTCAAACCCGAAAGTGGCTGCACAGAAGTAACATATGGTCTTAGCCTACTGTCTTAACTCCATTAAGAAGTTTCTTGCTTTCTCAGGTGCTGTAGTTGTTACTTTTGCTAAAATTTTTCACTAACATCTGTGAGTTAGCTACCATGGGTGGCTTTGTCTTGAAAAATCTTTTGTGCACTAATAGCCATTTGGCTACTCCATCTTGGTAAGCTGCGATACTCAAATATTTCAGGGTTACTGAACAGCTTTTCTTCAGGAACACAACACTCTAAAAGTACTTACTGTTAAGTAAGACATACAGATACTAATTTCCTGAAGTCTGCAGGTAAGCCCCAGTTTATAATTTACTTCTAACCATATGTTCAATGTACTAGCATTTTTTATTTTCACACTGTACTATATAGGATAATTCCCTGATAATCAGAACTTACAAAGCTAGAAAGAGACTTTCCAAAATGGAAACCCTATCTTTTTCCAATAAAAAAAATTAAATTAATGATGTTTTAATATACCAATCTACAGAAATACAAGAACTTCGATGCTTAATATGGGTATTGCTCAGATACTTCTTAACCTTCTTGAAGCAGAAACATCAAGATTTTGCTTCACGTCATCAGGTCAGCTAATGAAGATTATTTGGCTGCAGCATTCCTTTCTTATGCTCAGAGTTGCTCTATTTTTAGTGGTCCTCAGCAGCTCCAGCACAAATCCTTAACACATCATTTGTTTCTACTTCTAAAAGAAATTGAGCTCTTGCTTCTGATTGTTACTATAATATAGGCAGTTCTATCTCTTCAAGGAAATAAATAGATATTTTCAGTATAATAGAAAAAGCATTCACTTAGAAAATGTTTTTAAGAGCATGAATGTATAGAAACCACTGATTCAGCAAAAGATATTTTCTTAGCATAGGAGAGAACATGTAGCTAAAATAAAATGATAGAAACAACTCACAGGTTGACCAGGATCACCATCTTCACCCTTTTCTCCACCAACGCCATCTTGACCCTACAGAATTCATGGGAAAATGAACAAAACAGAGAATTCAGCTAAATTAAGTAACTTAGTTTCATATATGAATATAAGAGCACTATTTTTCTACAGAGCATTTTCCTAAGGATGCTAGTTTTCAAAACTTTTTAAAGATTTCTAAACCTTTTTTAAGCCTTAAAAAATATATGAACAGAAAAGCAACAGAGCTTACAGGCAAGACCTTGTCCCCAGACAAGGATGAGGCAGGGTTAATTAGGATTTAGTGCAAACCAAGTCTAGGACCTAAAAGTGGTTTTTAAGTATACTTACAGCTGGACCAGGTTCCCCAGGGGGACCAGGATCTCCAGGAAAACCAACTGGGCCCTAGATAAATCAGGAAAAAAACAAGGAACATGTCATCCATTGACGAGCAGGTAGCAATCATCACAAATATTTTATGAAGCATATAATTAATTTAGTTCAAATGTAGCAAATTAATACAGTTCTGTATATAGCACAACTTCAGCAGTAGTTCACAGTGCTTTGTGTTAAAATTATTAAGCTCACTTACTGGGTTACCCTTAGGCCCATCATCACCTGGAGGTCCTTTAGCACCTGGTGGTCCAGCTGCTCCAGGTGGACCAGCCTCACCTTTTTCTCCCCTTTCACCTTTTGGACCCTGTAGTGAACATATGAACACAAAAATATCATCTGGAAATTGAATGGCTAAAAAATGATTACAATGGCAAAACTGTTTTCAGACCTGGGCAATGTTACTCGTCAATAAATGCTGGCATGTGAATGGGATATTAGGACCTCAGCCTCAGATTGGAAAACCTGTGAATCTCAGGTCAAGTGCCAACATCCGCACCCAGTCTGCATCAATGAACTGTCTTCAGAGAGAAAAACATGCATGTCAAAGTTAATACTTTTGGAAAAAAAATAGGTAGTCTCTTAGGAAGTCTTCAGCTTTGTCCTCTAGCTGTTAGTACAAGATGTGGCTATAATTATATGGAAACAAATTGCATTTTAAAGGTATAACTTCTTCACTGAAAATTTAAAGGAAACAAACACAAGTAATCTGATTAAATGCTTTCTAAAGTAAACACTACCAGATAACCTTAGTTCACAGTAATAAAAGTTAGTAAGACAAAACCAAAATACTCACAGATGTTCCAGATTCTCCAGGAGGTCCAGGGTTACCAGCTTCTCCAGGTTCACCCTGTAAATGCATGAGGATAAATTGATGAGTCATTAGGGAGAATATTTCTATGAATTTACTTCTGTTGCTAATGTTATTACATATTCTTCTCATGCTTATTAATGTAAACAGCTTAAAAGAACTGTCTTTTCTTGGATCTACCTAAAGGGGGTTGAGTTACATATGGTTTTGCAGAACTGGAATCTGAAATTTTAAGAGTGAATATATCAAACTAAGCTTTTTGTGAGTCAGGGAGACTAACCTTTCCTTTGGGCTTTGGAAGATCTTCCCCTTTATTATCGCATATATTGCAAATTTCCTGTTTGTCATCTTTCTTTCTAGTCACAGAAAAGCCAAAGAAATATACTGACTGTATATTTTTTTCTCTAGAAGATACATTTTGCCTGGAAGCAAGTTTCTACAAGTAAGAGAATACTAATTGGAAATGAATGTCAATGCAGTGAAGGCATTATTGCTATAGTTACTGTTAGAATAAAAAATTATATAAAGAAAAACATAAGGATAAAATAATAGCATAACAGTTAGTAAAACTTTCACCACAGGCCACAAAGGTATACACTATGTATTTACTGGTGATGGAAATTGTTTACTAAAGCAGATGGCTTTGAAGGATACACCATATGAAGAAAATCTGTGCAAGTCAAAGATTATACACTATTAAATGAACGTTTAAGTTAATTCAGTCTCTTTTTGAGCTAATACACAGCATTAGCTCAAGGACTGTCTTTGCAATTGCTAATTTTGAAGTTTAGTTATGACTGATTATTTTCTAGCTCAGTGGTCTGATAAATAAACCTTTATAGAAAACTACTCTGTTAGTAGAATATTTAGCTATTAGCATCACAGACACACAGATCTGTGAAAGGATAACAGAATCTGCTTTGTGATTGTCATGGAGTGCTGAGATAAGAACTATATATTTTTATTCCAAAGGATTTCTCAATGTAACTGCTAATGGGGGGATTTTTTTCCCCCCATATATCTTCTTTTTCCAAACCAAATGAACCTTGCCAATAATTATGCCTATAAAGAAGAGTACTTCAGTGCTGAAAATGCATTCCACCCAATCCCCTCTACTGAACTCAACACAGGTTTGGAATAAATTTGTGTATCCTTAATACCCTGTATGACCTGCACGCCACTCTTAATTCCATGACAATTCAATTAATACAACATGCATGCCTGTCATTTCCACGTGGATAGTATAAAAGTATAAATCATAAACTACGAATTTTCAACAAATGTTATGGTGTAGATACTGAACTTTTTTGTCGTAGAAGCTAATGGCAGCATGGTGACCTCACTGGGACCAGAATTTGGCCCAATATAAATATTACGTCAGATGAATGGAAGAAGATTGGAGTACCCAACTGAATTCCAGAATAGGATAATTAACAGATAACCACAATTTTAGGAGCAATATTAAGATGTCCTTTAGAAAGGACACTTTTAAAGGGTGAGTTTGCCTTTAGAAACTGTGGGATGTTTTATTAGACATACTTAAACTTGCAGTAATCTTAAAAATTAATGATCCCTTTTAGTACTTTAATATTCATTTGCTTCTGTGATACAGCATTCATTGTTTAAAAAAGAAAATCTACTGGATTCTTAAGGTCAATAAGAATTAAGTATGTTTTCTAGGAAAATTCATAATCTTCATTTCCTTATCCTTTGCATGGGGTTTACTAAATCTGCAGCATCATTAGTATTGGTTTTTTGTCCATGTCTAGTATCAATCAAATTAGATTTTTGTAGCAACAGAGAATGAGGTCTGGAATTAGCAAACAAATTGATGTTATTCAAGTTAGTAGATATATTAAATCTAACAGAGTCCACAATATAGACCCTTTCAACAGGTGTCCCCATTGCAGGACTAACTAACTGAGTGACATAAGAGCGCTAATTGTGCCAAGTCTTGCCTGACAAGCAAGTATAATCCCCTTCTAAGCTTCTCAGAGAGCAAGTTCTTCTTCTGTCTTTCTGCCAAATGATATTGTAATTTATGATGATTCACGTTTGATTTGTAATCCACTCTTTACCCTTCCCATTGACAAACACATCTTCATTTTATGATATCATGCAACAAGAGAAAAGAGTCTTTCTCTGCTATAGTGACCTATATTTGGGGACAGTGTGAGAACACTGTCCTGGGATCTCAGGGGTCCCTGCTATAGCACACATATTGAAACTGGCAGATGCAGGCAGCCTATATGAGCTCTGTGCAACTCCCCAATAAGCAGCAGTGTGGAAGATGGCAAAATTGGAAGGGCTAGAAAATGTCAAGATGCTCCCCTTAAAGGGCATCTGTGAAAGATGAGACCTGTTAATGTGTCATCTCACATTAATACTTCTAAATCATTGCTCTATTAAAAAATGTGACTCTTCCCTGTATGCAGTCGTGTTTTTTCTGACACTGATTTTTATATTCCAACTATTAGGTACTATGAAAGGTTGTACTTGTTTTAGACAGCTGTTAAAGGACTTAAACAATGTTTTGACAGAGAAAATTGTAGCTGATATATATTTATAGAGTGCATATTTATAGCTACCAAAAGCTGTGCAATCTGTAGGTTATTGTTTGCCTTTGTATTTCTTTGCACTTTTGGTAAGGATGGTATTAATTCAAAATCTGGTGCACCTTCTCCATGGGAAATAGCTCATATTCTTTTGAGAAATAGATTTATAATCTAATGATAGATTTATTCCACCTCTGGAATATTTTTCCTCTTTTGTTATCAGGTCAGATCTTTTAAAAGTTAGTGTGGTCTTTCTTAGGCAAAGCGTTCCTCTGACAGAATTTCAACAGGCAAAGACAGACATTCTAAACTACAAAGAATCATGTCATTTCATGGACATGTTTAATTCTGAAAACCTCCTTCGATTAAGCAAGTAGAATGATTTCTATCAGGCTAAGGACAGTAGTTTAAAAGTCCTTTGTTTTCCTTATTATTACTGGTTCTAGAGAACTGTCCATACAAAGCCCAGACAGATAGTGGATGGAAGGCTGCTACCTTTTGGTTAAATTCTACGACGTGGTGATTTATTTTGCAAGAATGAGAAGCAACTTTGCAACTGACTGCGTTTGAAAAGGATTCAATTACGCTTTTGCTCCTTTTTGCCATCCTCACAAAATAGAAAAAAGAAAGAGAAAAATTGTCACTCTAGAAGACAATCCCTTTTCACATAGGTATGCATATGTGACTGTGTTATATATATTATGTCTCTGTGGAGGGCTAAATTTAATCAAGAGGGAAATTCTAAAGCTGTGCTATATTTCCTGGGAGGGCTTACATTTACAAGCATGTTAGAGAGATGGAGAAGGATGAGAAGAGATCACAGTCAGTGAAGTCATGTAAAGTTATTAAAAGTAATTTGTTAGGACAGATAGTCAGCATAAACTGTCATAGACACAACTTGATTAAGTACCGTAGCAATTGTCTGCACGCAGGTGTGTAGAAAAATGATATGCACACATAAAGATGCCTGTACAAATTTATCAGACATGTTTTTAAACTTAAGGCCAGAATACTCAATTGCTTTTGTCCTCTCACTTCCATCTGCAGTATAAATCAATGACAGATTAAGCATGTAAGCTATTGATTTCACTTGTTTACTGTGTTGGACTCCTTATTACTGTATTACTTTTAAATTATTTTAGAATTATATAATAGGAAGGAGTATAAACCCAGATGAGTGTAGTGGTTTTCTAACATCGGACTCTTTCATACAGTAAAACAGATCTAAACTCTGAGAGGTTACAGAAAGAATGCTTTGCTTAGGTTCTGCAGACATTCATTTGCATTACTTATTGACTCTGCCAGTTTAACACATGCTGTGAAGGGGAGGAAGGGTGGAAGAATGGCACAGTACTCAGTGCAGTTATCACAGATTAACCTAAATTGGAAAGGCAAATTTATTTTATTAGGCTTTGTGGAAGAGAAGTGTGAGGTTAATGTTACATGTTCTGTTTCCTGTCTGTGTTGTAAATTCTTATGTAACATAAAACATATAAGGTCCAGTTTTGATAAGTCGCGAGCAGCTTACTGGGTATTTCGAATATCTGCGTGTTAGGCCTTTGATATTAAATTAGAGATAAGCATGTGTTGGTACATTTTGTTTTTCCACTTTTTCTTAATTATAAGCACAACAAAGAGAATAATCTCTGGGTGGAAGCTGGATTTAAGTGGTTCTAGTTGAGTGTAAGTCTCAGGACTTCTAGACTACTCCATGGAGGCTATAGGCATTAATAATGCAAGGCTACATGCACATTTGTACTGCAGATGTCTTTGAACATTTAGGCCTTTTTGTGTACAGCAGAGGAAACAACAAGCTAGTTAAAAATTCATGGCACTAAGTGTGACAAAAATTGTTTATAATTTGCCAGAAGGGGGCTTTGAAACCCCAGTATTAATGGCAAAATATCTCCTAGTTTAACTATTCAAATATGAAAGTGAGCAAATCTATTTCACTCCCCAACAGTGACAGGGAGGATGCCAAAATGTTTTTCAACACTCTACAATCAGCACTGCATTGCACTATCTGTAGTATGAGATGTCTTTCCTGAAAGGGATGTGTGCTGATGTAATAAGAAAAACATTGGGGAAAAAATGTGTGAGAAGAAAGGAAAAGTGAAAATGCATGTTTTGTTTAAAAGCATGAACTGTCCTCCTATTGTGGGAACTCTTCCTGACAAAAAAACTCTTTATGATTTCTAAGCTTGCAGAACTCATTAAATGGAATTGAAATTAAGAAGGAAGGTATCCTAACTAGGAAAAAACCTGGCATGTATTAAAACTTGAGGAGGAGGAAAGTAATTAGAATAAATAAAAACTTCCAAAATAATATACTTGGAAGCTTCTCTGTGTGAATGCAGAGAATATGGGAAATAAGAAAGAGGAAATAAAAATGACAATTGGTGATAAACAGTCTGAATTTCATGTTCTTGAATTAAATTTGGTGGGCTGATTACCACAAATAGAGATTCTAAATCACATAGAAGAGTCACAGGGAGAAACAAAGGAGTAAGGAGTTCAATATAAGTCAATGTTTTTACAAAATGACTGGAATATAATTTGATCACGAGACAGTAAAAATTAAAGACGTGATTGAAACCAATGGCAAAATTCCTGTTGAACTTCAGGGGGCCACAACAGTATACAAGGTGGGTTTTTTTTAAAGCAGTGAATATAAGGGGTGCTACCCTGGATGTAGTCTTCTCATAATAAACATTTTTCTCAGTACCCTAATCATCACAGGAAGAATTTTTCTCCCCACAGTGCCCATTTTTTTTCCTCTGTATTCCACTGACATACAGACTCTCCTTTTCCAATAACTTTTTCGCCATCTCTACCAACTTTTACATTCAGACATGTTTTTGGTACTCTTCCCAGAGAGAAAAACCTGCAGCTCTTCATGAGGCCAGGCTCTCTTTTAAGATAGGCTGGAGGATCAATGTCACAAACTTGGGAGATTAGAGGGAATATCCTTGTTGATAATGCAGTCAAGCAGGACTGCATTACATTTTGTATGTCTTATGCAATTTTGGGTAAAAAAGATTGAAGACACAATAATGCCACTGCTACCACGAGGTGAGTTGATGCTCAGAGCCACATCCTGAGAAACAGGGAATGCAATGAAGCACTGTCAGCTAAAGACATGACAGTGCTACCATGAAAAAACTACAGTATGAAGTTAATATTTTCATCTGCTTGGGCTCAGTACCCTTTGATCTCAAAACACAAAGAAGGGAGACAAAATAGGATATTTTTCCATCAAGCCATATATTATATTACATTATTCTAGTATTCTCTTCACCACATCCCAGAGCACTGGTAAGTGATTTATTTGATGGGCACATATTAAAAATCATGAAACATCTGAAGATTCTATTAAAAGAATAGTTTCATCACACTGATAAGAAGCTGGTGTTTCCTTTTGACATGGCCCTAATATAAGTAAAAGTTTACTTAAAGAAAAGACATTTTAGTGAAGAGAACCAGACACATAACCAAAATTTTCTGGTAGATGTCAGCAATATTGAAAAGCATCATAAAAAAGATCTTTTGTTATCACAGGGGAACAAGAAGCTTGTGAGATACTGTAGGATGAACTGCAGATTTTCATTATTTTTTCTAATTATTAGTCATACAAATGATCTTGGGAAAATAATGGCAACTTCCTTATCTTGTGAAAAGAAAGAATACCTAAAAGCTTTGTGAAGCAGAGTGACATGCCTTTGGACAGTGATCAAGAAGAGGTTCATGACAAATATAAGTCATTTTGATTGACCTGATACTTGAGTCATTATTTGTAAATTCATAGATCTGATGGATTTGTACCTAAAGGTACAATACTGGCACGCTGTGTCAAAGAGAATATGTGGATAAATGAAAGGGAGCAGAAGTTAAGACTTCTGAAGTGCTGAAGTTCAGTAATGGTGTATGAGGAAGATGAGGGAAAAGGTACCTGTGCATTTAATTATCTGATGGGACAGGAAGAAAAAGGGAAATCTTGCTTCATATTCTGAAAAGTTATCAATACAGTGAGCTTTCTGAAAAACTACCAATACTGACATTCCTAGGGATGTCTTTTCAAGGATTCATTGACATCAGTGTTTCATTGAATACATACAATACGCTGTGGTAAATATTTAAATACTCAAGAGCAATCTACGTAGTTTCTCAATAAGTTATTTATACAGTGGCCTGGAATATATTTCTATTCTGTTTCCGTCACCTGATGCTCCTTTCAAAATCTTCTTTCCAAATCCAAAATTAAAGAAAAAAATCATATTAAATCTGCAAATCAGCAAAATGCTTCTAGGCTTACACACATGATATGGCTGAGGTCATCTAACTTGGTAAAATAAACATAAATAGGAATTTCAAGAGACTCTCTTTGGAATTTTGTGTTTGCTCAGCATTTTACACTGGTGATTCAAATAAATCGCACAAAAAAAGCCATTACATTTATTGCATACAATATCTTTCCTTTAAGAAAAAGGAAGATATATCTGACATTCTTTGGGTAAGATATACAATTTAAAAAGAACCCCACCCCATATACTGGTAGGAAATTTTCTGACTAGGGAACTTAAAATAGCAATGAAAATAATTTTGATGAATGAATGTCATAAAGCATCAGTCTTAAGTCAGGTTTTCAATTAGCACAAATCATCCTCAAACCTTTGACTTTATTGGAACTGTATCTATCTGTATGAGGAAGAGATACATATTGATGCTTCAGGTCTGCCTCAGTTCACAGATATGTTTACCACTGATACATTAGATAATAGCTTATATTCTTGATGTTGCAGGTGGAGGGCTATATGATATTCTAAGCTACACCAGTATAAAATGAAAAACACTTGAAGCCAATAATGTTACTATAGGCATCAAACTATGTAGTTAAGGAAATAACCATAACCTTACTTTTAACCATATGCCTTCACCTGAAAACTACCTCTTCTGCTCCAAAGCTCTTTTCTCTGGTTGTTAAATATTTTTGTGATGTGAAATAAAAGGACCAACCGTGGTAAGTCAGCCATTAGGAGTGTAGCTAGATCACTATTAAAAATTACTAGGTCAATGAAGGATATTTGGGAACTGTAATATATCTATATAGCTCTGAAGAAGAATCAAAATGTACATTCATATTCCTATTCCATGTTTTCTCTTTCTAGGAGGTTATTATCAACACTCACCTTTTCACCAACACCTCCAACAGAGCCGATTGAGCCTGGGGGGCCTTGAGGACCCTACAATGATGAAAGATGTTAGTTATCCCAAATATAGTGCTTATTACTAAATTACTGAGAGAAAAAAAATAGGTTAATTCTTACATCAGCTCCATTAGGACCCTGTGGACCTCTTGGACCTGGAGGGCCAGGTGGACCCTGTATCAAAGAGACAATTTGATATAGTTACAATCATAAAGCATAAGTCCAGTGGGGCTTTTTTGGCCAATGAAAAAAAATATACTCAATCTGTAAAGGGTTTTTAATCATAGCAGTGCTACAGAAACAGCAGGGCCAGATTGCTGCCCACTGCATGAGTTCACAAGGTGACAGAGGATCCAGACTATGTTATATAGTACCTGAGCTGGAAATGATCTGATGCTTAGGACTCCTGAGGATTGGTTTCCTGCATTGTATTTTCCCTGCAGGTTACCTGCATACCCATTCCACTGTGCAAAAACCCTGGCGTAGGTTATATGTCTGGTAACAGCCACATGACAGTACTGCACTATGGTGCCTATAGATGGGCAATAATAAAGCATCCAGGCTCGGCATGGGATGTTGGAGGCAAATGTATACTGTAGATAGCTTGCATTTCAGTCAGGACCAGCCCAGAAGGCATTCTGTCAACAGTAGAAACAGTTAGAAAATGTAGTCGCCAGATCACCCAGAGAAACATGGTAAACATAGCCAAATAGTGTTTACCATCTTCTGGCCTGCAGTTACCTGAAGCTAAGGTACAATGCCCTGAATTTCAGAAAAGCAGCTCCAAACTCGCTGGTGCAGTGGTCTCTCTGTTTTCTCTTTTCTTTCCTGAACCTGCTTGCCACTGTCCTGTCTCAGACACACATAGCATCTGCTTTGCTACCTACTCTTCAGGGTATTTCCTTAGGTTACATAAATCTTGATATTAAAGATGAGGAGATAGATGTGAGGAAGCAAAGTAGATCCCAGAGAGAGTTTATGTTACACAAAATGTTTCCTACCGAGGCACCAAATTCAGCAGTAGCTTATCAAATTGTGAGCTACAGAGAAAAGACAATAATACACGGATGATCTTTATGTCCTCCAGAGTGACCAATGGGGAAGAAGCCTTACCATTGGCCCCACATCACCATTTTCACCCTTTTCACCTGGTGGGCCAGGCAGACCCTAAAGCATGTGGAAGAGAAAATAAAACTATTAGTAGGGTACCTGGAATGATGAGTTATAAATCAATATGAAACAGTATAAATCAGATCTACATGTGAAAGTTGGGAACATGGCGGGGGGGTGGACAAGAAAACAAAACTTATTTACATAAAAAAAAAAAGAAGGATTTTTTTTGTATTACAGCGAATGTATAGGTAGTCCTAGGATGCTTAAACTAGGTGAGGCAGAAAATTTTTTAAAAAACCCCAGACAGAAATGCTAGAGTGGCTGTCTTTAAAAACACTGCCATCGTTATCCAGAATCCAGCAGGGCTTCTGGATAATTTGATTTATGCTGTGATACATATATATGTAAAGAAAACATGATCAGTGCAGCACAATGAAGTGGTATGCAAAGATGTCTAAGCTACCTGAGTACTGGAAGCTGTATAACTGCTTTAATAAGGTGTCCAGTGGAGGTAATAAAGCCTGCTGAGAGGCATTGCATTGGGTTATACCAACATATCCTTAGAAGCAAAGTGTCCAGGTTTGACTAGTAACAAACACCATGAGAAGGAAACTGTAGCTGATGCTCATACTGATATCTAGTGTAATGTTACCACAGCTAGAAGCACTGTCACCACTAAGCTGGGCATTCCTAAATGTAGGATCAAAGCTTGGCTTCTGTAGAAAGCAGATCCCCTGGATCTGGAGTCAATAGCATTATGTTGATTTATGTTACATTAAGATCTGGTTCTAAGTTTCACCTCCTGGATTCTGGTACTTTCAAAGTATGTTATCAAACTATAGCTAACCAGATTGGAAAGCACAATTTGCCATCTTTGCTACAAAGTTGTATAAAAAAGTGTGAAGTATAAACTTAGTCAACACTATATCCATTCCTCAGCTGCCCCCCTACTATGACACAATCTGAACAGTAGAAAGACTTCCCCAGGTTTAGAGATATACCTAGTCTAAAAATGATGTATGTGTCTGTTGTCTACTACTGTGAAAACTTGGCTGACCTGTCAGTGCATTGTGGTTGTGAAAGCCTGTTTACTGTTAGATAATCAGCATGAAAAAAGCCAGCTTTAAGTCATGTGATGACACAGTGATTTTTCTATATAATCCTTGCTTATCTTAAAAAAATACTAGACTGTATTCTATTAAAATGGAAGACCATAGCTGATAATACTGTCTTCAGTAACACATATTGATTACAGTACATGCTGTGTAGTAATGCCAGGGTTATGATGACAGGTAGTTTTATTACTTTCTAACTGTCTTCATGTTTACTTCTTGTAACCTTGTAATAGTTCAACAAATGAAATTTGAATTGACTTTAACTTTTTTCCTTCACTGTGAGGTGTTTTAAATAACAATATTGTAGCTAATTGTTCTAAAGAGTGATTAGAGCAGAAGCCTAGGCTTGGACTAGTCTTCAGAGAGCTGATACTCAGAGAGAAGGATCCCACCTCGAATAAACTAGATCTTCCAGTTGCCAACAGTCCACTCAGTTCTACCCCGTGAACATAAAAAGACATTTAGCTTAAAAAGTTGAATGCCTTATCCATTATGACTCATGGTCATGGTAAACATAAACAGCTCATTCAACTGCTTGTAGAGGAGGTATTTATAAAACTTTGAAGGCAATTAAAAATTTACTTGATAATTCTGTCTTTGAAAAGACTTTCCAAAGCCATTTGGTGAACTCCTATTTCAACACTGAAATAATCCCACTGATTTCACTGAATCAATATTTCATGCATTATTGGACATAGTATTTTGGGAGTACTTTCAGTTCTTTTTGGCAAGAAGTAACTGAGGTGTTTGTCATTTAATATTTCAAAATTTAAGTAAAATTGCCATAAATTGCCTATAAGATAACCTTGATAGGCCCATAGAGTTTTTCAGATTTTCTTTACTTTCAACTCCTTTTGTTAGAAACTTCCTTATTTTTAAAAATACTATCAAAATTAAATAGCAAGGAAATTCACAATTAAGGTAATAAGTATTAAAAATTACCAATGTTCATTTTCATGAACAAAAATACTTTTTACTTAATATCCAATGAAAGAAATATCAGTAGAATTTAACTGAATAAGTGTGATGTAGTTACCATGGAATATTATATATGAGACAGAGAAAGTTGCTACTCCCCAACAGTTCATAATTACCATGAGAACTGCATTACTGAATAAAAGAAACTCCTGATTTCCCAATGGTACTTCAATACCATTAGCAAATATGGGATCTCAGTCTATGGACCAACATATTCAATTAAAATCTTAATCAGAGAAATAAAATTCCTCATTTGAAATATTTCATTTGCGTAAGTCAACCTAATTGATTTTTATATTTATGTAGCTTAGTGCTCATTAAACTTAAAAAGTGAAGGTGGACTTTACTGAAAAACATCAATTGAAACAGTATCCTAGATCTGAGAAAAATAACAAGGATAATTTTATTTCACTCTCTTTAGAACAGTAAAAAAACTTAACAATTCATAATAAAATTTAGGAATTATTTTTTCTGAGTTATTGTTTCTGAAAATAAAGTTGTTTTCAGTTTCAAAGGCAATATGAATCTACAAAAGACATATGTGTTGGTGCAGTAAGGAACCGTTTATCTTCCATGGAGGTTTGCAATACATTATAAAATCCATTGTAAGTTTTGTGAACCGCATTATGTAATAGAATTTTAAAAATGATAGGTACAGGTTAAGGTTCAGCTTAGTGAAAGAGACTAGTCAGTTCACACATGGTGGATAGAAAGGAGACATACTGTTTAATATATTCAAACACTATTGCTATAATTTTCCATTTTTTTAAAAGTGAGTATATATGATTCATATTACAGCTTAATGCATGGATTAGAAATAGTCTAAAAGTGCTCTGTGCTCTGATGTTAATTACATGGAAATGAATCAAAGGTCCTAAACTTCTTGTTCTTTGTTTTGTTATATTTAAGTAAATTGAATTTTTGAAAAAGCAGGATTTTTCAACTGTAATTCTCTGAATGCAGCAGTGAGAAGCCTACATTTTACTATATGCTTGCTTTGTCTTTTTTGACTCATAACAATTTTAAGAGGAAGAAACATGAAACTATAGGAACCTGCCAGTGATGCCAGCAGTGTATAAGCATCCTGGAGTTCTGCTAATCTGTCAGAATGCAAGTAGTGTCTGTGATGGTATCACTGAGAAACACACTATGTTGCCAAACCCTATTGTGAAAATACAGTAAATGACTAGGACATGTTAAATACGTCTCCAGGTTGAATCTTTTCTTTAAAATATCTATCTCCAGTAAAAAAGAAGTGCTCTTGTTAAAACAGAAATTGTTGGACTCTATAAATGAATGAATTACTGAATGAAATTCTAAAGCTTATGGTAGCCAGGAGTTCAGTTTCAGAGATTCTTACCAATCTCCTTCAGTATTACATCTGCTATTTATGCATGAATTCTATGAATATGGGATCTTTCAGTTCTTATTAACTGATGCTGTAATTTATTTACTAGAAGACAGTATTCATTCAGTTTCTGCCACAAAAATCAGGGTTCTTACAGGTGGAGGGTAAAATAATAAAGGAATTTACCTGTAAGCCAATAGGGCCCGGAGGGCCAGGGAAGCCTCGAGGACCTTCATCACCTTTTTGCCCGAACATCCCTTGCTGACCTCTTGGGCCTGGTTCCCCATCACCTCCCTATTTGGAAACAGTGAAAAGCAAAAATATTACAGGTCTGATAAAACTAGAAAAAGCTCCATAGAAATGACTGGAAAACAACTACAAGAGGGCTCAGAATCACTCCTAATGTCTTTAAGAATGCATGTACACCACCTTGATTGAATGAAATCTGTTATGCAAATAGAACACCAGCATATGCCCTGGTTTAATGTAGGTCAAATAATACTGCATGTCTCACAAAAATTTTCCCTGAATACCTCTTCTTTTTCACATCTGCATAAACATTCTAGCTGTTGAATACCTACATATTGGTAAATATGAGTAGCATATAGTTCTACCGGTCTTCATGGTAGAAGAATTCAAAGCCTTCTAAATAAAAAATAAAATCAATCACCTGTTATCAGGTGGATTTTAAAAAGAGATACTCTTAAATGCATCTGGTGCCAAGCTGATTTTACCACTGACTGTCATATGAACCATCAAACAAGTTCAGTGAAAGTATGGGCCCCATTCACTATTTACAGTATTTCATTTTTAATAATTCCTTCAAATTATTGCCCTGCTGTAGATCTGCAATAAAATAACACCTATGCAGGCTTGTTTACAATAAAAAACTGCATGTAAGGGGACAATGATAGAACTGTTAATAGTGATTTGAAATATATTTCTGAGTAAGGAGCATGCAGTTCGAAGAACTTCTAAGTATCAGATGAGTTATGGCAAGATTGGAGTTTGCTCTGAATAAGCTACTTACAGCTATACCAGGGGCACCAACGGGACCCTGGAGACCTGGTGGACCCGGGGGACCCTGCAACAAACAAACATCCAAAATGAAAAGTTAGTGATTATGGCATCTGGAATGAGATTAAAAGCAAGTATAGAGACAACCCTATTTGCATGATCAAGGTCTATTAAGCATTTCTACATTTCTCCATAGAGAATGTAGCATTATTCACAAGTCTTTTCCATTCAGTACCAACAATCATTATTTGTTTATCTCTCAAAAACTCAGACTTGCACATCTATGATAGACTTAATACTGGCATTTATTGAAAGCACACTTGTAATGTTTCAGAATATTTAAAATAGATTCCCATGCAAACATGACTCAAAATGAATTTATTTTTTTTTTAAATATCAGACCTTTCAATGAGATTTGTGCAGAAAACTTCAACCTTTAAAGCATCATCTAACAACCTATCTTTAAATGGAATTCTTATTATTTGGGTTAGTTTTTTATGAAATTGCAACAGCACAAAGCTTATTTTGACCTCCAGGAGACATGAAAAAGTCTAAGTTCTTGTTGAGCACTGGGAGTCACATTCTCTTTGATATTAAGTCTCTTTTCAACAGAATGGCAAAAAATATGTCTCTGAGAGGAATTTCTTAATTTTTTCAGTCTCCTTACAGAATAATAACTTTCCAAGTTATATTGCACATAATTTAGAAGTCAGTTATGCAGATGTGATGTAATGAAGATATCTAATAGAGTATGGGAGTACAAGATACTAGTTTATGATGGGGTTAAAATTATGTGGTAGGTTGAATATGGTTTTTGCACAAGCTAGAGAGACTAGACTGATAAAGAGTGAAGCTAAGAAAGTATAAAACCTTACACCTGGCAATGGCTGAGTTCTAGTCTGCTATTTCAGATGGCAAGGAAATTGTCTGCAGTTTCTAGGCTGGGAATTCTAATTTAGTGCGGAATAGTGCTTTGATTTAAAGACCTTACTAGGGCTAAAATTAGATTATTCTGCCCTTTATAGGGAGATTAGGAAAAGGGACTTCTTAAGTCTTGTAGTCTCTTTCTTTGGGTTCTATGTATATTTTAGAGTATCTATCTTATCTTCTAGGGAGTTTGAAGTGTCAAGCTACGTATTTCTTCTCTTTTATAATTTTCTTTTCATCACAGACCTGATGGCAATAGGTGAAGCAAAGCTTTTTAGCCTTTATGGTGACATATCTAAATGAAAGGACTCCTAGGAATGCTCCTATGGACTGGGAAGGTTACCATGAGAAAGGGAATTAGCATGCATGAATTTTTTTAAAAAAATCATATTGGAACAGATTGCTTCTACACTATGCAGGATGCTTCTACCTGCTCCTTCATTTTACAGGGCCCAGAACGAGATCTACACAATTTTAATCTCATGTAAATACTCATTTTGATATAAAGTATTGTTGGAAAGTACTTTATAATTGATTACTGAGAATTTATTTGGTCACACAGCCAGACTCTTTTTTCCATTGCTCTGGAGGGCAAATGTGGAGAGACTGATCAGAATCATCAGGAGAGAATCTTCAGTTAATAAAGGCAGCTGTGGTAGCTGTGGAGGTTTTGAAGCTCAAGAGAGGATGTACATCAACAATAAAATAGTGCTGTCCCTAGCTAGGATATGGCAACATAGTATTTTTTGTTAGGCACAGCATAGTTAAACCCCCAAACAGAAATCCTTGTTAGTTTCAATGGGGAATTGGAAGATGTTTCCAGCTCTTCTCAAACAAGAAAGAGGGATTAATTCTGCTTTGCTCAGGGTCCTTGCTGTGATTAGGCTCTAAATGCCCACCAAGGCTTTTGTGGGTGTCTAGGTATTGTGAATATCTACTCTTTATGTGCTGTGATTTCAGAACTAGGTACTTACTTCCTCTTCAGAATCTTTCAGAGGTGACCAACAAGGCCTTTCCTCCCTGCCCCAATATACATCTGTCAGCATGTTGAAAGGAAAACAGATTTGAAATAAACACATTCTGAAATTGTCAGGGTTGAATGACTGCAATTGAGGGCAAATAGGATTCAATACACCTGACTTCAAATGGGGTAACATTCATTTCAGCTGAGCAGGCCCAGACACTGAATCCTGTATTTCAAGGAAAACATATTATATTCCCAAATGCCTTAAACCTTGAGACTGAGAGTACAGGATAAGTTCTCAAATGATTATGCTGCTGACGCTTTATTTGTAAAGCAGGTCTGCTGGAACATGCCCAGATACATTAGTACTCACTATGGGAACTGTGGTCACAGTCTAATGCTCAGCATAACTAGTTATGCTAAAATGATCTGAAATAGAAAACTACAGCATGTGTTTTTCTGAATTTCTCTGATGCAGAAGCATCTCTAATGAAGAGGCATGTCAAAGGGGAAAACAGAAGGGTAAGCATGTGATCACATGCAAAGCCCAAAGTGGAGCTGGACTATGACCTTCTTGATATGCTTCCTCTGCCCTTTCCTTTAAACGCCAGATTTTTCTGTGTACACAGGGCCTGTACTGTTACAAACCTCTTCAGGTGGACAAAGAGGACCTGCATATATCTCTATGTATCCCACAGCTGGTTTACAACTACAACAGCAAATAGATGAGGATTGATTTTCACTGAGCTGGGAACAAGTCCATAGTTTTAAAACTGACTTTAAAAAATGTTTCCATTTGATGCATTAATTGTACCAAGTTAACCAAAGCATTCAGCTCAGATTATGCAGGAGTAATTTTAGTCTGAAGTAGAATTTATGTACAGCTTGGTTACATATAAGTTTCTTGGTAAACTGGGGTTTGTAATAGAAGTGCTCTCTCATTCATATGTGTAATATTACATTTCTTGTGTTAACAGGGAATTACAAATAGTTTATTATAGCACTTGTGATTTGATCTAATAAAATAAGATTGTGAAAAGTATGTGGTTTTTGCACTGGAAACTGCAGAAGTCTTTGTCACATAAATAATTGAAAAGGACAAGCTTATCTTTAAAAAAAACCCCTTGTCATTTTTTTGCACATGTTGTTGTCACATTTTTTTTCCTATGAAATTATCATAAAACTGTGATTTGCTTGAATTTAATGAATGAATATAAAACATCATCTGATTATGTGTAAGCCATAAACTTGGTGTAATTTTTAGAGGCAATCTACTTTTATGGTGCTCTATAAGTTGTTAATCATAAAAAGCACACAGTGTTTTCAACATAGTAAATATGCTTAATTATGAATACCCCTATGTTGAGTTCTGAGCTTTGCTAACTGTGAAAATTGATGAAATATAATAATAAAAAAAACTTTCTGCAATTACTTGTCCATTTTTTCTTAAGGAAGATTATTCAGATATAATGCCAGTTTATCTTGAAATTGAACAGAAGTGAAAACAAACCTTTTTTGAATTTTTGGGAAAGAAACCAAAACCAAACAGGAAAAAAAATGCTAGTTTTATTCTTTCTAGCTTCAAGTTTTACAGTGGAAAAAGCTTATCTTTATATTTCTGGCCTCAATCAAAAGAGGAAGTGCTTGAACTTTAGAAATAATTTTGAAGACAAAAACATTTCAAATTAAATCAGTAGAGGCCTGAGTAGTCCTAAGTTCACTAATAGGCCTAGTGATAATATTTGAAAACTTGTGTAAGCCATTTCATCTGATATCTTCGCTGTTCTGAAATGTTGCAATCAGTTAAATGTGCTCTCCAAGAATTAGATATTCTTTAAAGATTTTAAAACTATATTAGTACATTTCTCTACTGAGTCTTCATATTCTTCATCATTATGGCTAAGAAGCTAAAGCTGGGTATGTTCACACAATCCACTCAGTGAAGTTAACTTAAACACAGTATGAGAACGTATGTATATTCTTGGTCTCTCTCAGTTCAAATGTAGAATGGATGAATTAAAATTATATAGGAAGCATGCTTAGGAATGTAGTTTACCTATGTATTTTTTAATGATTCTGTAAGCTCAAGGAATATGAGAAATACTAAATATATGCATGGCTCTATAAACACAAACCTCTAGTGTTGCATTAAAACTCAACATTATTTTGAAGAAACATTTTTGAAGTGTGTCTTTGTTTCTGTTCATTGATGTAGCAAGGCTATCGGCATACTTCATGCATGAATACTTTTTATTTATGAAGAACGTAATGGACAAAGAATTTTACTACTCACATTTTCTCCCTTGTCGCCTTTACTACCTTTCTGACCCGGTTCACCAATTTCACCCTGTAATTGAAAGTTGAAAGTTAAACTTCTTGTTTAAAATGGTTTCCTTCACACTTAGCTGAAGTTGGTATCACAGTATCTTTAAAAGTTCCCTTTGATAAGATTATTCTGTGTTTTATGCTGCTGCTTCAAGTGTGAAGGCCTAAATGGGGCAATTCTGTATCGATCGATAGTATGTCATATTAATCCAGATATTGATTGCTATACTGCAAAGGGCAACAAGACCTGGCTTTGAAGTATAGTGCAACTGAGGTCTAAATAAAGGAAGTTGTGTTCCTCATGTCATCTTCAATATGAACTTATAATGAAAGCACCCTGATTTACAGACTCATCTAACTGTATGTGACTGAACTACTGCTTCTCACTGTATTGTACAATATTTCAAAACGCCAAAATTATTCAAACCACCAGGAAATCATGTCAGAAAAAAATGTTTTATTTATACAATAAGAAAACACAATTAAATTAAATCACGGAAAATACTCTCTGTGGGATAAATAACACTCATGCATCATAAAAATGAACCTCAAAGTTTTTACCTTTACCCTATGCTAACTAACAGAACAGTGCTGGATCAAGCAAACATGCAAGATGATCCTGAAAGGTGTCATGTCCTAAATTCTGCCAGAAGTCAGCAGGATACCTCTGCTGCTAACATATTGTTTTGACACTCTCAGCATATCAACAGTGGTTCCAAATCACTATACCTTACTGAGAATATTTTCTCCTAGTCATTCAGCAAACCACATTTCTAAAATAGGCAAAAATCAATTTTTACATCATCTGCCTTGATTTATTTTGCCACACTTTCAGCCTTGTTTCTTTGCCAGGATAAATGTTTACTAGTTCTTGAACACAAATCCCAATGTCCCATGGCATCAGATTATAGAAGGGTTCTTTAGGTTTTTTGCAGTGAGTGGAGGCAGTTTGGGGGAGGCAGGGGTAAGAGTTACTTCGTCACTGTATTTATTGTGAGGAAAGCTACAACCAGAGAACTGTACTGACAGATTTTCTCACAGATGCACTAATACCAATTATAATGACTCACCTTGTCACCATCTTCTCCGGGAGAACCACTAGGACCAGCAGGACCAGGAAGTCCTACAGGACCCTGTACTCCATCACGTCCAGCTGGACCTTGAGGACCTTTTTCACCCTGGTTTTGAAGAAAAGGAAGTGATCCACATTATCACAGGAGACTAATGAAGATTTTGGTACAGGGAGTCACATTACCAATACAAAATTAAAAAAAAAAAAAAACCAACAGAAAGGAAACTATAAAGGGAAGAGAATGTATTGGGAAATTATACTAAGTAATAATGGAAGCCGATGACAAATACGCTTGTACTCTAATGCAGAGTGGCTGGGGACAAAGTTTTAATGAAAGACTGGTTTGACAAACTTTTTTATTATATTCACTCCCTGCTGTGATAATAATGGATTTAACCCTTCTTGGGTGTTAGAGGGTATGACAACAAATGTTTTACTATTTACTTAATTGTAAATATAAAAGTAGTAGGTCAGGTATTCTGAGGATATGTTTAATAGGCAAATACTAGAGTGGGAAAAAGTAACATTCTGGAATAAAAAATCTGTGCTGTGATAATTTTATGTGACTCTCTGATTACTTACAGGAGCACCCTTCTCCCCTGCGGGGCCTGGAGGACCCTGAGGTCCAGGACGACCTGGCAGACCAATTGGGCCAGCAGTGCCTGCTGCTCCACGTTCCCCTGGTGAACCCTGGAAAGAAATAAAAAAGTATAAGAGAATTCTGATATAGCCCTGATAACTGTTGGTGGTTTTCATGACCCAGGTCAACAGAGAAGATACCTGTTATTCAGTGAGGTTCCAGCTGGTAGAAGGGTATACATTCAGCATGTGTGCAAGTAAAGAAAAATGCTGAAAGAACTAACCTGAAGTTCATACTCCATAGTTCTTATTCAGTACTAATTTTATTTTTTTTTCCTAAATACCCCTTCCTGTATCTTTTTCTTCATAATAGGAGTGTGCTTCAGCCTGTTTTCAAGAACTTTTTTCCCCGTGTTTCCAAAATACATTAACATACTACTTTGATAAAAGAATATTCACAATATTAAAATACAGAACTAACCCACACCACAACCCAAAGTTAATAATCTAATATTGCAAATTAAAGGGGAAAAGACAGGTCCCGTATGTGGAAAACACACTGAAATTGTGTATTCTGGAATATATTTTTACAGAAAATAATAGCAGAGAGGAATAATTTTTACTCTAACATCAATAAGCCTCACTTTTAAATGAGTCATATCATTGTCATTACTGTATTCCTTTAATTGTCTAAATAAGTTTGGTTTGGTTTTTTTTTCTATCTGAAACTACCAAAGCCGCAATAAGTGAAAATTTAGTTTCTACTTTCCCTGTCGGTTCTTTGTTTTGAAGCAGTGTAGGGCTTATGGCTGTTCCATAAAAAGCCAACCTTTCTTTTAAATATGTCAGTCTGCCACAGAGCCAAACTCCATAACCTTTCAATCTGCTGGATTGAGCAAACTAGACAAAATGGAGGGAATGACTAGGTATGTAGAAATCTGCAGTGCTGTAAAAACTAAGAGGCACCTGGGGTGGACTAAATTTTTCCTGTCTTATTTATTGCACTTTCTAAGAATACAGATGGCATATACTTTTAAGTAGTGCTGAAGGGGAAAAAGGAAAGGAAACAAGGTGTTCTGGTACTAAAAAACCTTCCTAAAAGGATACAAGGGAATAGATAACAGCATAGATTAGAACTTCTGCTCAAATAAATGGAATTTCAGAATCAAAATGTTAAATTTTGGTCTATACATATTTGTTCATCATTTAGTCAAAAGCCACAATGTGGAGTACTGATTTTAAATCCTTTCTGCAAGTTGTGTTGATTTCCGAACAGTGATCTATAACCAAAGTTCTCTGTAACTCATAAGCAAAGAAATGGACACCTGTTTGGAGGCACACCATAGCAAGAAAATGACAGGGAGCAAAAGACATTTACACTCAAATTCCCAATATCTCCTTGATCACACAGACAGATTCTGATCAGGTATTCTTTCTGTATTTGTGAAATGGATTCATGATAGCATGGGGAAAACTTCCTGGGACTTGATACAGAGGTTAACTGCCATCTAAGCTGCTGCTTCCTCTCTCCACAAGAGCCAGCATGTGCAGGGAGACAGAAGCATATTGCTCTCCTGTGTACAGGCAGAGTGTGGAGAATGGTAAAGCTTCTTTGTGCTTTTTTGTACCATCACTGGCTGAGAACTCTGACAGGAAATCCAGCTTTGCCAGTCCTGATACTTCCTGAGGATTCGAGATGCTGTACATCCTTCCTCTGTCCTGTAGATAGGGCAGCATGGGAACAACGACAATGGAGTATTCTGTTCCATTATATTCTACGTATGAGCTAGTCTTGTGCTTACAAGTCTAATGGGAAGAACTATTTCACTAATAGCAACACAGTTAACCTTGAAATTTGTGGACTCACTGGAAACTGAGAAGCAAAGAAAGCTGTCCTCTCCCTCTAAATTTCTATATTTTCACACTTTTGCAGCATCTTTGTTTTCTGTCTTTTAAATAATTTACATTTTTTGTATCAACAGAGGACTGTTAAATGTTTGTTTGCTGTACAGTAATATTCCCCCAGCTTTTCAGCTTAACACCTACAAGATAGTTTGTAACACTTCAAAGTTACTGATAATTTCACTTTTCCAACTGAAATACTGGAAGAGGGGTGATACATTATGGAATGGCTTCAATTAAGGAATGGAGTTGAGTATGGCTTGAAGGTTTGCTTGACATAACTAGGCCGCTCTTAGCATAAGTATGAGTTAGCAAATACTGTGAGTTCTTGTTTTTTTTTTTTTAAGATGTTTTAACTTGGCTAACCATAAACAGGGGCCTACCCCTCTGCAGGGGTATGATATGCTGCCTTTAGGCACGTATGCCTTGCTATCTAGGAAACCATAAAACTAGTTACAATAGAAAAATAGAGCACTAAAGTTTTGTAACCACAAAACTTTTTGTTTATTGTTTGTTTATTGGGGATTAACCACAAAATGTATGGAATGTTTGATAAAAATGCTATATAAGCTGACTTAAATTTTACCTCGGTGGAGGTGCATTTTGTAGGGTGCAGACCCTATGCTCTCCCTGTCGGTGAAAATAAAGGTGCTTTGGCCTACAGTTCGTCTGTGAGTCAGTTCCTTTGAATCAGGCTAAGTAATGTGTTGTAGCCTGAAGTTCTGACTAGCCAGTTTTTTTCCATGTTTAAGCAAGATCAAATGTGCTGGCTCTTGGAACATTGGAATTTTAAGCTACTTTCACCCATGAGGGACCATTTTTTTGCTTTTATTCATGACATACTTTTCCTGGACTGACCTCATCAGCATAACTGGTAGTAATTACATAATAAGGTGCTTTTCCCTCCAGATAACTGTGGTAAAAGAGAACGCTGAATGGTTGCTCCACATATTTTTGCAAATTATCTCAGTAAGATTTAATTTTGCATGAGTGTTCAAAAAACATATTTGTGCAGGACTCATAGATGACTTTATCCTTCCAGTTGTTGGTTGGGTTTTTTTAAGTCAGGGTGGATGCCTAGTTTCAGTCCTATTTCTGTTATTTTAGTTTCTAAGACTCAGTGAATTCAACAAGAAAAATTCACTACCCTGCAGCCATACTACCATGGTCTCTGATCTTGTCTGCTCTCATAAGCTAAACAATTTTAGGTCATCTCATCAGTAGGATGCAAGAATAGAGAGGAAAAAAAATCCAGATAACTCATAGATCTTTCCTATATCAGACAGCAGACACTAACACTGGCCAGAATTTCTAGTAGTTCTTTTAACTCAGCCAACTTCTTAGGTTTATCTTTGTATCATTTTTATTTGTTATACTTAAATTTCACATGAGTTATGAACAGGAAGTACACCTTCTGCTTTCAAGGATCCTCTCATTTCTCTGTGAGAATGGCCTCTGATCAAAGCAGAACACATTAAATTATAGTCACAACTCAGAAAAGCATTTTAGGCAGCTTCTTAAGTCTGTTCTCTCTTTCTATGTTCATTATCTTTCTTTGTCACTCTGTCCCACTATGAAACAATCCCCTTATATTACTAAACTCCTTGTTAACCTGTGGTCTTGCAGAGGTACTCACATCCTGGAATCTTTTTATTAATTTAGGGGGGTTTCTAAGAACTTTTCTACAGAATGGAAGTGTCATGCTTTGTCTTGTATTTCTCTTATACAGACTATAAACTCATTAGTAACCTGTTTTTATCTCTCTGTGGAGAGATATGTAATTATAGGTATCATATAGATCACATAGTAGTAGCAATACTTTTTACTGATGGCTAACAAAATGCTCAACAAGTGAAGATCCCCATGACTGAAAAATGTTATCAGACAGAGGAAGATAGTTCTAGATAGCTCAGTATTGATAATTGGGTAGCCTACAGCTGGCTTATTCTGAGTCCAATTTGGGCATCCTTTTCCCAAATGAGCTAATGAAAAATGACTGCCTGACATTCCAAAGAGCTTTCTCTCATCAGCATTCAGCATTCCACACAGTAGTATGAGAAGGGAAGAAAACAAACAGAAGATAAAGATAGCAGATAAAAGAGAACTGTTAAAAAAAAAAACAACACAAAAAACCCCAAAACCCAAACAAAAAAACCACACAAAAAAAACAGAAAAAAACTTGCTCTGGAGTGCATTCATGCATCTCTTTCTTTTGTCCAAATCCCTCTAAGCACAGTAATTGGCATTCACAGTATTTGGAGCGGTCATTTGTTTGGTATGCACTAGCCAAATAAAGCTTATAATTGACTGTATATGCTAGTTAGAAGCAATTGGTATTGGCAGGGAATTGGAGGAAAATCATCCAGTGGCATGAATTCTCTTCCTATTATAAATGGCATATGAAGACTCCATTATAATTACACTTCTGTGTGTAGCCTCTGTTGTCTAAAAATAGATGGGACTATTTGATGCTCATGGTCTACTATGAGCTACTGTGAAAAAAAGCAAACTATTGTGGTTTAATTGTGGTCCTTGCAGATGCACAGAAACCCAGTATTAAGAGCACCTATGCATCTTTTTTCACTGAAAAACACTTTGAAGATAACAAGTTAGTAATTAAAGATGAAATAGAAAGAAGATCCCACTAAGAACTTCTGGAATGCTCTCAGGTCAGCTTGGTGCTGTTTGTGCCTTAAGTGGCCTTCTTGCACTACAGTGAACTCAAAGTATATTTAAAAAAAAAAAAAAAAAGTTTACCCTTCAAACTCTCTTTCCTCTCTGCTCACAATTCCTGCTACACCTACATCTATTTCTCAAAGATCAGAAAAACAATATGCAAAAAATTCTGACCTTCCTAAGTGATTCTTTCAATGACTATGTTTACCTTCGCAGGAAGTATAGCGACAACAGGAATGGATTTATAAAGTGAAGAAGCAGTTGGTAATGTGCTCCTGACACCCATACTCTATATTTCTGGACTATAGTTCATAATAATTCTAGTCTGGCACTGAACTCCCATTGGCTGGTGGGTATTAGAAGTGCTCCTGGAATTTCTCTTCCAATTTAGTTTCACATGAAAGCAATACTGTTCATAAGCTCCAAGAGAGCTCCATGATTTGAAACGAAGGATGGTAAATGGGGATGATTGAGACATTAACCTCAAAAAGGTTCTGATGTTTTGAACTAAAACACTAATGTATACACAACCTATAAGAATTAGAAAAACATGGATCATCTGAATTTAAATTCAAACACATGTATTTCAGAATATGGACAACCATCACTAAACAAGATATATGCTTTTGCCTCACAACCTTACGTGATGCATATTTATGAGAAACTATGATACCAGTGGCACAGCTACTGTGTGGCATCCTGTCTGAGAAAGTGGGGTGTGTTAAATGTCAGGTATGCTTGTGCTGTCCAGTTTGTCCATGCTCAGAAGAGTTCTGGTTCATTGCACCTGAACTAATTATCTGCTTGAGAGGTTAGTGCAGCCTTAGGGCCTCCTTTACAAAAAAACCAAGATATGACCTTTAGATTGAAGAGACTATTCTGGTCTATGCTTTCTTGATTTTGATTCATCTTTTCTTCTAACAGTTCAGGTTCTTCAGATAGGGTGCGATGGTATCCCTTTTGACTCTCCCTACTAGCTTCCATTCCATTCCATTCCATTCCATTCCATTCCATTCCATTCCATTCCATTCCATTCCCAGCTACCTTGTTTTGGTGCCTTTTGGGAATGTATATGTACTGCATGGTGTAAAGAAGTACTGTAAATCACAAATGCAAGTTCTTGACTTAAAGAATAGAATCTTAAGGGCATTAAGAATTTGATAATTAATTTTAAGAATTCAAGTACCAAATATTAAGAAATCAAGAACTAAATCTGAAAAGTGTGCTATAGCAGATCTTTTCCAATAATGTAGAAATAATCCAAAAGCAAGAACCTTTATATTAAGGTTTTTTTCCCTCCTTGTTTAATGTATTCTAATCTCAATATGAATTGCAGCAACATAAGAGAGCTTTATTGTTGAATACATAGAATTTCAGCTCCTCCATTACTTTTTTATGTAGCGGGAATAGCTGTGATGATTTTTTTTTTTTTTTTTTACTTCAGTTGCACTGAATGAAAGAAATAAGTTGACAAGATGACTGTCAAAATCTACACAATTCACATTTGGGAATAACTGTATCATGTTTTCAACACCAGTGCATCCTTGTAGAACTTCCTTGCATAAAAAATGACAACAGAGAATAGGTAAGTTTAAGCATATCATACTTCAAATACCTTTCAGTGGATAACTGCCAGAAACTGACGTGAAAGAAGCAGCAGACGTATAAATAGTAGAAGTCCAAACATGAAACAAAAATCTAAATGTAAACAACTGTTGAGCACAGGACCATCTAGAAAAAGCCTAGTCATGCTACTCAAGGGAGAATAATTTACTGGTTTTGAGGAATGAGTACATATCACTGCTTTTCTCTCTATCATAATCATAAAGAAAAAAACAACTACAACAACACAAAAAGTTGGCAAAGTTATTTTTATGCCTATGTTGAGCTTAAAATATTGAGAAGGAATAGTACTGCATGACATGATTTACATAGCTCCTATTAGCCAGGCAAACATAATTTGTAACAGTTTCATTGATCATGCATGCTCCACACAAGAAGTACAGTAACGATAAAGTCTTCAAAGTAATGGATGGTTTTGATCATCTTATATTCTAAAATTCTTATCTAATTGTATAACGCATCATTTCTTTCCATATTCATAAAATGGTGTTGTTAATAAACCATTCTTATATTCTTGCATGATCTATTTTCCCTTGGATTTCAATGGGAGATTTCAAGTTGCATGTTACTATTTTCCAAAATAAGACTCTTTTTTACAATGATCATCATAATTTCTCAAAGTTCTTAAGCTTGCTCTACAGTTTTTCCCTTTTCCTACAGAATCTAAACTTTCATCGAAAAATATTTTTTTCAATGTAGATACTGTGGCAAAAAAAATGATATACAATGCCTGCTGCTATATCATTCTCTGTTCCTATTTCAAAGCACTTCAAAACAGGATTAAGATGTGTTCTCTTCTTTAACTATGTTGATGTCTCCTAACTCTGAGTGAAAAATCTCAATAGATTCTGAGAGGACTGTCTTCAAACTTTTTTTTTTTTTAAGATGATAGTAAATAAATAAAAAATTGTAAAATAGTGGTGGAAAGAAATAGGCTTTGTGACATTTCCCAACTATACAGAAATTACTGAAAATGAGTAGAATATTTATCAGTTTTGTTCTTTATGGATGAAACATTCTGCTACCCAATGTAAACAGAAAGAATCTTTTTCACAATGAGTTAAAATGAATCAAAACTTACACATAGGCCGCTATATGGTTCAAAATATTAGATACAGTAATAAGGGGAAAAAAGTAGTGATGCCACATATTTAAAAGCTAGCTTAGGCTATGCAGAACACCAGCAATATTTTTAACATTATGTGGGTCAACTGTATGAGTGAACTGCTGTTGTACAAAGGGGACGCAGCTGTATTGGGTTTGTGTGGCAAGGTTTTGGTAGTGGGGTGGGGGGGCTGCAGAGCTGTCTTCTGTGAGAAGATGCCAGAAGCTTCCCCTATGTCCAACAGAGCCAATGCCAGCCGGCTCTGAGACAGACCCGCCACTGGCCAAGGCCGAGCCCATCAGCAACAGTGGTAGTGCCTCTGTGATAACAGATTTAAGAAGGGGAAAAAAACTTGCTGTGGCACAGAAACTGCAGCTGGAGAGAGGAGTGAGAACATGTGAGAGAAACAACCCTGCAGACCTCAGGTCAGTGAAGAAGGAGGGGCAGGAGATGCTCCAGGTGCCAGAGCAGAGATTCCCCTGCAGCCCGTGGGGAAGACCACGGTGAGGCAGGCTGTCCCCCTGCAGGCCAGGGAGGTCCACGGTGGGGCAGATATCCACCTGCAGCCTGTGGAGGACCCCATGCTGGAGCAGGTGGATGTGCCTGAAAGAGGCCGTGACTCCGTGGGAAGCCCACACTGGAGCAAGCTCCTGGCAGGACCTGTGGACCCTTGGAGAGAGGAGCCCATGCTGGAGAAGCATTTCTGGCAGGACTTGTGATCCTGCGGGGGACTCACACTGGAGCAGTGTGCTCCTGAAGGACTGCATGCCATGGAAAGGACTTACGCTGGAGCAGTTTGTGAAGAACTGCAGCCCGTGTAATACTGTTTATATTTCCATAAAATTATTATGTTTACTTACAACTGGGCCAGGTGGGCCTTGTGGGCCTTCCCCTCCCTTCAGACCAGCTGGACCCTAAAAAATAATAATAAAAAAAAGCTTATTTCTTACACTGGAAAGTTCAAGAGTATTTTTACAACACACGTAATAGGAAGAATGTAAAAATCCAAAACCAAAAAACTGAATAAATTCCTTTTTGCTTATATAGCCAACGATATTCAACAATGTTGGATGCTTGATTTCTGTTCTCCTATTGCATTCATTTTTAAGCACAGTAGAAGGTTCCATGAAATAAAAGACTTAATCCATTGTTTCTTGTATTTAGAAACATCATGACAATTGTTCTAGTGCTTGTATCATACCTGTGCACCTGGAAGGCCTCTCTCTCCAGGGAAACCACGAAGACCTGCTGGTCCATCTTTCCCAGGAATGCCTTGAGGGCCTGGGTCACCCTTGGAAACACATTACATTTTGATTAAAAAAAAAATGTTTAAAATGCTTATGTTAGTTATTAAATGAGTGACGAAAATGAAATACCAGATCCCAGTTATAGTAATGACAAAAAAGATTACGCCCCCACCTATTCAACCACTAATTCTTTTAATATTTTCAGTACAATAGTCTATCAATATGGTTAAATTTATAACAAGCTTTGACAAAATACAGTATTAGTTATAGAATATAAATAGTGAAAAACACAGCAAGGCATAAAAATATGTTTAAAGATACATTCATTGAAAATTTACAATGCCCATTTAAAATGGAAGGTTGAACAGAATTACATAGTAACTAGATAAGGAATATTTTTCTTGTGCCCCAATGGAGGCCAAAAAGTAAGGAAAGAGTTAAATTTGGTCAGTGAAATTCCACCTTGTAGCCAGTACTACACATCCTACTGTAAATGCCCATGTACAGTTTTCCACTTTGGTGTGAACATGTCATTACTATGTATTTCCATAGTGAATGTGTGGTATATGTAAACTGGTTTTTTTATTTTTTATTATAAAAATACTAATTATTGGCTCACGAGAATTCTCATTATTTCAATGGAAGCAGACACAGCTCTAAAATTGGAATACTTCAGTCTTCAAAATCCTTCTGGGTGAAACGTGCCAATTGTGATTTTATATTGTATGTTGTGATTTTATCCTGCATGTTCTGCCTCATGATTTGAAATGTGAGACTGTCAGCAATTTATCTGTCCCCTCCAATTTGTTCCCCAAAGCCACATCATACCTTAGCACCTTCTTTTCCTGCAGCACCTGGGAGGCCTTGTTCACCTGGTGGACCAGGAGGACCTGGATGACCTCTTTCACCAATTGGGCCAGTCTCACCAGTAGGACCCTGAGCACAAAAATAAAACTTCAGTCATCTCAAGGTATTTAATGTCTTGGCGGGGGGGGAGGAACAACAGATTCTTAATATTCAGCTGTTATGAATAGCTGTTACAAAACAATATTACCATGGGTTAGCATACATTCCCCACCTTCCCTCCAGGCAAAGCTGACTTACTTACAAAATATCTTTGTCCTATAAAATAAATCTTGCATTGCATTCTGCCTGCAGACACGTCTGTACAGCTTTCAAAGAGTGAAATCCTGACCTTGCTCCTTAAGCAATGAAACTTTAAAACACAGCGTGTATCCACGTATGGGAGGAGATTACGAAAAGGACATGGGAGGGAAATCCATGTACTAAGCTTGTCTTGAAACACTGTCTGTACTGTTGTTTTTCCGAATCATATGAAATGGAAGGTAGAAGAGTTGAAAGATATCTCTTCAGATTCATTAGCAGAGAATTTTCACTGAGGGAATTATCTAAAAAATGCTCATGCAATCCAAATGCTCTATTTTGTTGCAAATAAGTAAGATTAGATCAAATGAAATGTTGACAGTTAATCTCTTCATAATCTAAAAGTGACTGAAATTTGGCCTCTGACAAGAAAGTCACATGTTCTTTCTAAACTATTTCATGGTAGAGAACTCTGCCTTCTTGACTTCTGTAAACCACCAACTTCATAATCACATGAAGAAAGCACACAAAAAAGGAAGTAGAAAGGTAACCCCAACATTTGCATATTTTGTGGAATCACTGATGAATACTAAGTACACATTTCTAAAATTGTTATGCGTAATTTGTTACAAAAGTTAATATAACTATCAGTCTAGTCCTTTTAATACAACAAAAGCAACTGCCTCAGCCATAATGTGACCATTAAACATTGGTCTTATGAAGTTAAGCATGAAATTAAATGATGTACCTGAGGGCCAACAACACCGCCAGGACCAGGAGGACCAGTTTTTCCTTGAAAACCCTGTGAAATAATTATAGAATACTGTGTTACCGAGTACAAGATATAGAAGAGCAAAATTAATGTCTGTGCTGAAGAGGAGAAAAAGAAATTCCATGTCACACATTCCTTCTCTTCAGGACATAAAAATGACGAATTCTTTTTTCCTCTGTATACTTAGAAGTGAAATACTGATTAATCTTTCTTATCTCTATCAGTTCCAATCTCTCCGAGGTGGTACAGGAGTAAAAATTCCAGTAAATTTTACAGATCTCTCTAGGTGAACTTGATTAGGTGAGTCTGAATGTGTAAATGATGCAGCTAAAAGACAGCTGAAAATACATTTTTACATATATACATTATGAATCATAACGCCAGACATATAAATGCTTTTTAAAGAAAGACACAGATGGTGGATTAAGTTGGAGGAGCATTAAAGATAAGGAGGAGGTTAGACAGAAAGAAAATGAAAAGAAACAGAGATTCAGTGAAGATGAATGTTATCTAGAGACGGTAAAAAAGGCAGCATGAGTGCCACAAAAAGAATGAAGTTAATGAGAAATTGATATGATGACAAAAACTGGGAAGGAGAGACTAGAATGGAAATGGTTTGGGGACAGTTTTTCAGAACACTGGCAAATTTTACAGAATTTTCATTTTCTAATCAGTAGCCCCAGAATTCTGTCCAAAATTAGCCAATAAGCTGAATGTGAAAACCTCACTTAATAGTAGCACTGTTTAATGTATCTTTGAAATGTGCTAAATTGTTTCTTTCAACTATTGGAAGTGTGTTGCTGCATAAAGTTAGGAGAGGGCGTTCACTGCTGCATCACAGGTAGGATTCCACATAGTATCCCCTGCCTAACAGCCTCTGTCTGCCTCCTACTCTGCTCACCTGTGTAACAACAAAGGTGTCATCTGGCCCACATTTCTTCCAAACATCGGGCCCTGCTCAGCATTCCTCTGGGCACAGTCTCATTGACAGTTGCCCCATTCCATCAGACACGGTTTAAGCTTTTTTTTACCTTCCTCAACCTGATTCTCTTCTTGCTGCCAGCCAGACGTTATCATGGTTCAGTTTGGTGCCTAACTGTTTACGCACTCTCTCTCAGACCTCTGAAATGATCCACATTAAAAACAAATACAAAAGTACCCCTTTGCTCTAGTGACTGAAAATCAGAACTGCTACAGATGGAATCATTCATGGGCCCCTTCCTTTACACAGTCAAAGCTTCTTCAGAAGCCTGTTGTAAGGAAAGACAAAGGAATGTTGAGTATTACCCATTTACTGAAGGTACCTTGAAAAGACCTGCTATTCCCAGGTTTACAGAATACATTGATGCTTTGCAGTATATTCAATGATTCTTGATGCTAATGATGATTTTACTACTCTGCTTTCTCTCTTATGTCACCAGCTTATCTATTCCTACAGATTCAGATTTGTAAAAGAAGCAATAAGCAAAGAAGATTTCAGCAGCAAATACCCAAGATGACCTGACATCCCATGGCTTCATCTACAATATTTAGTACTAAAAAATTTACGCTAATGTCTCATGTGTGTGTTTTTAAGTGCCTAATTAGCCTCCATTTTTTTTTGTTTTCTGTTAAAGACAATTTATTAAAACTGAGTTTACTGTAGTAAGAAGGTCCTTGATTAATTCTAATAGATGAAACAGCTAGTGTATTTCTATTTTATCCTTTCACATGCATGAAACACCAAATTCTTGCATAACCAGACAATCTAACAATCTCTGCAGATGATGCCTCCTGCCAATCTGAGATTGATATCACTGAGTGTATTGGGTCTGGCTGAGATGGAGTTAATACTCCCCACAGCAGCCCTCGTAGCACTGTGCTCTGCATCAGTAGCTAGAAAGGTGTTGATAGCACACCAGCGTTTTGGCTACAGCTGAGCAATGCTGGCACAGCATCAAGGCTGTCTCTCCAACATTTCTGCCCCCCCTCAATGGCAGGCTGGGGCAGGGCAAGATCTTGGGAGGGGGCATAACCAGGACAGCTGACCTAAACTAACAAAACATATTCCATACCATATGATGTCAGCTCAGATATAAAAGCTAAGTAAAGGGAGACGGAAGGGGGACATTTTTGTCTTCCGGAGCAACCACTACGCGTACTGAAGCCCTGCTTCCCAGGAAGTGGCCAGACATCACCTGCTGATGGGAAGTAGAGAATAACATCATTTGGGTTTTTTTTGCTGTTGCCCACAACCTTTGCTTTCACTTTATTAAACTGTCCTTATCTTGACCCACAAGCCTTTTGTTATATTTTCTCCCCCCTTGTCCAGCTGAGGAGGGGGAGTGATAGAGTGGCTTTGGTGGGCACCTGGCATCCAGCCAGGGTCAACCCACCACACTGAAATTGATAACCACTTCTACAGAGGAACTAGCTTAATACTGGTTTTCAGTACCTAGTTTATTCCTACATTTATATTCCAAATTATTTATCATGATATTACTGTTCCCATGTATAGAATTCCAGCAAACAATGACAGTTCTTCAAAGTGCATATGGCTTACTGGGCGAAAAAGCTGTAGCTTTTTCTCCACTAATACTTACCTCAGTTGCTGTCAACATATGCTTATTATTCCATAAGTAAGCTCCAGAGTGCAATCTGGGAATCTGGCTCTAATTTGTTAAGCCTGAGTATGTCTCTTAGCCTAATTCCCTAATTGCTGTAATGCCCACATGCGCGACTGAACTTTAATGAGATATACGCCTAAATAAAAAAGAATTCTTAAGACTCTGATTTACCAGTGAGTGCAATGAAAGTTTTCTGATTTATAAATTTTTAAAAAATCTGAAATGGAAATGTTCATCAGATAAAAAGTCAACAAGTCTACTTTTTGCTTTTTCTACAAAATCATATGCATGAGAACCCATGAGGGAAGAATATTTTAAAAACAGTTCTGGCCCAAGTACACATATACACAGGGCAGAAAACAATGCTAATGAAAAGCTGTATTTGCTCCTAAGTTACTCAAGTTTTATATCAGTTTAACCCTACTAAACCCAAAGGAGATGATACAAAATTAGAGAACCATAGTATTGATTGAACCCAGAGGGACCTGGTCCAAACATCACACAGTAGCAGTGTCCATAGTTTCATTGTATTTTGAATCTTTCATTTCTAGCCATGAGTGAAATCAAGAAATCATAGAATCATAGAATGGCTGAGGTTCGAAGGGGCCTCTGGAGGTTATTTGGTCCAACTGCCCTGCTCAAGCAGGGCCACTGAGACATGGTTGCCCAGGAGTATGTCCAGATGGCTTTTGAACATCTCCAAGGATGGAGGCTCTGCAACCTTTCTGGGTAATCTGTTCCAGCGCTCGGTCACCCTCACAGTGAAAAAGTGTTTCCTTGTATTGGGTTTGTGTGGCAAGGTTTTGGTAAGGGAGGGGAGGGGGGTTACAGGGGTGGGTTCTGTAAGAAGCTGCTAGAAGCTTCCCCTATGTCCGAGAGAGCCAATGCCAGCGGGCTCTAAGACAGACCTGCCACTGGCCAAGGCCGAGCCTATCAGTGATAGTGGTAGCACCTTTGTGATAACATATTTAAGAAGGAAAAAAAGTTGCAGGGCACATGGAAACAGCAGCCAGAGAGAGGAGTGAGAACATGTAACAGGAACAACCCTGCAGACACCAAGGTCAGTGAAGAAGGAGGGGGAGATGCTCCAGGTGCCAGAGCAGAGATTCCCCTGCAGCCCGTGGGGAAGACCACGGTGAGGCAGGCTGTCCCCCTGCAGGCCAGGGAGGTCCACGGTGGGGCAGATATCCACCTGCAGCCTGTGGAGGACCCCATGCTGGAGCAGGTGGATGTGCCTGAAAGAGGCTGTGACCCCGTGGGAAGCCCATGCTGGAGCAGGCTCCTGGCAGGACCTGTGGACCCTTGGAGAGAGGAGCCCACGCTGGAGGAGGTTTTCTGGCAGGACTTGTGACCCCATGGGGGACCCATGCTGGAGCAGTGTGCTCCTGAAGGACTGCACGCCATGGAAGGGACCCATGCTGGAGCAGTTCATGAAGAACTGCAGCCCGTGAAGAACTGCAGCCCGTGGGAAGGACCCACGTTGGAGAAGTTTGTGGAGGACTGTCTCCCGTGGGAGGGACCCCATGATGGAGCAGGGGAAGAGTGTGATGAGTCCTGCCCCTGAAGAGGATGAAGTGGCAGAGACAACGTGGGATGAATTGACTGTAACCCCATTCCCCATCCCCCTGTGCTGCTGTAGGGGGTAGGGAGAGAATCCGTGAGTGAAGCTGTGCCCGGGAAGAAGGGAGGGGTGGAGGGAAGGTGTTTTGAGATTTGGTTTTATTTCTCATTACCCTGCTCTGGTTGATTGGCAATAAATTAAGTTAATTTTCCCCAAGTTGAGTCTGGTTTGCCTGTGACAGTAATTGGTTGAGTGATCTCTCCCTGTCCTTATCTCAACCCACAAGTCCTTGGTTATATTTTCTCTCCCCTGTCCAGCTGGGGGGGCAGGGGCAGAGTGATAGAATGGCTTTGGTGGGCACCTGGCATCCAGCAAGGGTCAACCCACCACACTCATGTTCAGATGGAACCTCCTGTGTTTCAGTTCATGCCCACTGCCTCTTGTCCTGTCACTGGGCACCACTGAAAAGAGCCTGGCTCCATCTTCTTTACATGTTTCAGGTATTTATATACTTTGATAAGATTTGACCTAGGCCTTCTCTTCTCTAGGCTAAACAGTCCCAGCTCTATCAGTCTTCACTCATAGGAGAAATGCACCAGTCCCTTTATCATCTTAGTGGCCCTTTGCAGGCCCCTCTCCAGTAGCTCTCTGTCTCTTGTACTGAGGAGCCCAGAACTGGACACAATACTCCTGGTCTCACCAGGGCTGAACAGAAGGGAAAGATCACCCTACTGCAGCCCAGGATACTATTAGCATTCTTCACCGTAATGGCACATTACTGGCTCATGTTCAAATAAATAAGAATAAAGGGAAAATAGTAACTGTGCTTTTTCTTATCACACTAAAGAACAATTTTGAGCTTCCTGCATTTTAAACAATGATTCAAATTCATTTTATTGGTACACAAGACTAGTCTTTGCATCATTGCAAAGAAAAAGAACAAAGTAGTAGTCAATAATGTTTCTCTCACACACAAAAAAACCACTTCCGTTGCAAAGAATTACAATGCTACAGTACTAGCAGAAGAAAATACAGTTTTTCAGAATGATGTGTTACTCCAAGCTCTGTGCTACCCCTTCTAGTAGCAGAAGTGACTCAGCAGTCACTAACAGATTTCCAGTGAAGTTGGACCCCACAACACATTCTACATAGTGAGAAAATTTCTCTCTAAATTAATTTATGGCTTTTTCTAGCTCTGAAAAATCTGAGTAAGAATTTTATTTTATTTCAGTGTGTCCTGGTTTTGGCTGGAATAGAGTTAATTCTCTTCCTAGTAGCTCACATAGTGCTGTGTTTTGGATTTAGGATGAGAATAATGTTGATAGCACGCTGATGTTTTAGTTTTTGCTGGGTAGCGCATATCCTAAGTCAAGGACTTTTCAGTTTCCCATGCTCTACCAGTGAGGAGGTGCACAAAAAGCTGGGAGGGAGCACAGCCAGTACAGCTGACCTGAACTAGCTAAATGGATATTCCATAACATAGAACATCAGGATATAAACTGGGGGAGTCGTCTGGGAGAGGGGGGCACGGATCACTGCTCAGGGACTGGCTGGGCATCAGTCAGTGGGTGGGGAGCAATTGCATTGTGATCACTTGTCTTTCCTGGGTTTTATTTCTTTCTTTTCTTTTTGTTATCTTCCTTTTCATTATTATTATTATTATCATTATTGTTGTTGTTATTTTATTTCAATTATTAAACTGTTCTTATCTCAACCTGCGGGTTTTACTTTTTTTTCCTGATTTTTCCTCCCCATTCCACCAGCACTGGGGAGGAGTGAGCGAGTGGCTGCAGGGTGCTTAGTCACCAGCTGGGGTTGAACCATGATACAGTGGGATATGAGTAAGGTTTTGGCACTACAGAAGTAGAGAGGTTTTTTAAATAATTCCATTAAAACTGTTACATGTTAATTTCTTCATTTTGCTGCCAGAATTAACTCATTGTGATTCTTGGGAGGATTACATAGGATATAGTTTCAAAAGTTAAAGTTTTTTTCACAGGTTGAATCATTCCTGATCCTACTTTCCAAAGGCGTTGGCTTTTGAGTTTCCTAGCTGCTTACCATTAATAAGACTTTTTATTGTTATCTATGTTACATGGCATTCAGTGAGAAAAGAACCATAGAGTAATTGTGTGACAAATCTTTATTAAAATTGAGATCTGAGTATTAATTTCTGTTACTTCTATTGACTATTTAAGCTCATTGTGATGTTACTAACCAGGCATAGCAAAGAATAACCTCACTCTCGTAGCATGGAAACAAAACAAAGCTTTCTCATGCCTACCCTACCAACCATAAGAAAACTACAGTTATATAACCTCTTCATCCCAGCCTCTTCCCCTTTTCTCTGTTGTCTCTATTTCTTTAGTTTTGATCACACAACCATGACATTTGGAGGTTTACAACACTAACATAATAGAGTACATTTACTTACAGTCTCACCCCGCTGTCCTGGGTGCCCAGGCAAGCCATCTTTTCCAGGTGGCCCCTGAAATTGTAAAATACATAAATGAAAACATTTCTTAGCCATCCTTAGTTCTGAAAAAAGGTGTGCCGTTAGCTGTAAGAATCTGTGATCTCTTTGTTTTTTCTAGACCAGTATTCAGTACAGCTTAAATGCTCCTATATCAGCTAACTATGATTATAAAAATACATTTTCCTTGGGGTCCTCCCTGGTGTGTATTAGCAATTGCTTGGAGAGTGACTGTTAGGTTGTTAAGTGCATTCATGTTCAAAATGGATTTCTGTAAATTCAGAAATCATGGAAAGTCCCTATACTTACCTTCCATTTTTCTTTGCTTAATGACTCAGTTAACACAAAACTAAACATTACAGGAGTACTTGATGAAATTTCAGGTTTTGGCATTGGAAACAAAAATAACAAACGCATGGGTGAAAAAAATCACAGGTGGTTTGATGCTTTTGTACTTCCTCCACATGAGCAGAAACACACTGGAAGACCAGTATAACTAGTTCAGGCTGCAGCTCAAATGTGCTATTACTTCTATACATTTCTGCTATTAATGTCTCCTTCCTCTGAATTTTTTCCTCAATGAATCAGCTGTTAAAGGAAAATATACACCAGCAAAATAATATTTTGCCTAAACTCAGTCTGTCACTGGACATTTCAATCAGCATACTAGAAAATTTGCAGTTTAGTATATTACGCTGAATGTCATATGAGCTGCAGCAATGATCATTTCAAATATGTGAGTTCTTGTCTTAGCCTTGAAGCTCAATAAGCATATTTGTAATCCATCCCTTAAATAAATCTTTAAATATTTTTTTCAGAAACACTTTATGAAAAAAAAACATTCCTGTTGTTGCACATACTTAATTAAAAAGATACTTACTGGAGGTCCCTTTGGTCCGGGGAATCCGACAGGTCCCTGAGGCCCTTGTGGTCCCTAGTATAAAGGCAACCAAACAAGTAAAATTTTACTCTAACTGCCATGACACTGGACTGAAAAGTTTGTTTCAATTATAAAATATATGAGCTTCAGTTATAAAATATATGAACTCTGTAGATAATGTCTGCTTATAAGTATAAAGCCTCAGCTCCACTACCATAAATATTGGTAGTAACAATTCACATGCATAGACATTGGAGGGGATTTCCTGAAAGCAATACTGCCTGTGTCGGAATGCAGTAAGAAAAAAGAAAAACTATTTATATAAAGTATGTCTGTGTCTGACCCCTGAAACTGCGCATAATAAAGTAGGAATTAACTGTGAGTAAGAAACATTGTTTTCTATGTTGCATAAAACATAGGAATTAATTAATAGTCTGGTGGTCTTTTTAACTTTCAGTCCAACATTCATCTTTGGTAGTTCTTACACTCTGACAATATTTCAAGCCAGTACAACAGTACAAACTTCCAAATAGACTAAGTTTTCCAGAGTTACCAGGGACTCAATACAACATTCTTGCTATCATGTAAAATAGTTGAGATAGCTGTAAAAAACCCCATGATGCATGAACATTTTATTTATATAGCTCTGTACATACACATATATATGGAGAGAGAAAATTTTCATGCAGCACGGTTTTACAAATTTAGTTAGATGATCATGTGAGTTAGTGCATTGTGTATGTACATGTACAAATATATACATATACATGTGTACATATATGTATGTCCACATGCATCTGTACACATAGACATTTACACAAAGTACTAGCTTACATGACTGTTTCTAAAGTTGTCACCAAATAAAACAGGGGCCAGCTTTTAAAATTTATTGCTGATATGCTGACTACGTCAGCTTATTAAAAGAATTTGTCCTGTTTAGTTTTTAGTGTGCTAAGTCAAAGAGTAGCAACCTGAAAAACCTTATTTATTCTACATGGTCCCATAGCAGAGCCATGTACCCTAGTCATATAGCGCAAGACTTTATCCTATTCTACTTGGTATATGATGTGTAGTTTTGCTGAGACATCAGCTGTCAAAATATGTTAGAAATGTTGGTTTGATGTGAAAGACTTGAAGCAGGAGGCCATATCTCCCAAATTAAGCTACCCCTTTGCTCCTCTGACAAAGTACCAACTGCTTCCAAGTTCCATAAGCCTCATTCAACAGAGCCCAGGCTCACTTCCAGAGCATGGCTGCCTCCTGCAGTAGGCAAAGCAGTGTGCAAATGTAGCTGTGGGAGAGGATCCCTTGTGCACAGCCTGGGAGAATATGCCCTTAAGTGACTCTTATTCCAGAGTAGACCTTGGTTATACTGTAATACTAAATCTGAGTCAACTAAGAAGTGCTAGGCAAAGGAAGAAATCTTTGTGATCTTACTGCACTATCCGTCATTTTTATTTTCTTTTCCAAAACAGGTGTGAGGTTATCTCTGAAACCTCCATAACACACGAATATGTTCCATATAAGGATTTAGGTTTTTTTTAATTCTGCTGTCTCTGTCAACAAATGACCTTTCCTCATTTGCTTCTGGGTATAACATAAAGCATAAAGTCTCCAAAAAAATGAAGGAGCTTTACAGAGGAAAACTATTAAAATTGACTCAGCTACTGTACAAAATATATGAAAGAAATTGGGCCCTCTCAGGAAATGGGTTATAAGAGCACAACTCAAAGCTTTACTGTTAGTTGCACCTTCTTTCTCATAAATTCCCACTGTACTTTAATCCTCATGTCTTGAGGCTTTTTAAGGAAAGAAGATATTCATTTTTTTTATTCACGATATGGCTTGCAGATTTTAAGGCACTGGACTGATGGATTGTGAGAAAAAGCACTAGAATACTAGCAGCATGTTATCAAAATTACATTTTCTTTTTGTCATTAAATTTCATTTTAACAGTAGCTACACAGGACAGATTATTTAATGTTTGCATGTCTGGTACCTGAAAAAGTCTCAACGGAGTAGAAATGACAGTTTTATTTTTTGACTGACATTCACCCCTATTGGGAAGCAAATAGATACCTCACACTTATATTACACAAGTAATATGAGATGTGGTGCTCTGAGATTCTTCATTTCTTTGCTCTAATCAATTTCTCTCCAGGGATGCCTTCATCTTGGATTGATCTGCTCATTGTTTTCAGCCCCCCACAGCTTCTCTTCCTCGTAACCTCTTGGAGCTGCCAGCAAACTCCTCCTTCACGAGGCTCTGCTATTCAACTTTTGCGAGTCTGCCTCTGATGTTCCTCCTCGGTGTAAAACAACCTACAGTTCCTTTCTTGGACTATGCCTAGTTCTTTACATCCAACATCCTAGTTAACTCATTCCTCTCTTGAATCCCAGCTTCCTGCCCCTGTGTCTCTCTTACTTGCCATGTCATTCCTGTTTCACTCAAACTTTCCACTTATTCCTGCTGTCCATGTTCCACTTAGTACATTGTCTTTTGCTTGATATTAAGGTACTTCCAACTTCTTACTGCAGCCTTCCTTGGAGTGCTGCCTTCCATACGTACTGGCTACAGTCTAGTCCTCCAGTCCTCAACTTTCCCTCTGTTCTATCCTACTTCTCCTCTTTACTGCAAGAACCACTCTCCTGCTCCACTAACCAGTCTCTTGGAAAGTTAAGTAATATTCTGCTTCAGGAATGAAAGAGCTAAAATGATGTGTATGAAAGGTTTTTAGTAAACTAAACCTTTTGTTTCCAGTGTAGTTGATAGTAATTTTTTTGGCATATGCTTTAATGACTTTCAGTCAAAAGGAAAGGAAGCCTTTTCTTAAGCCGAAAAATGTCGCATTAGATATGCAGGTATGTGCATTCCTTTGCATGTTTATAGGAGACAGATGGTTATTAATACGGTACTTGCAACTGCTAAGGATAAACCAAACAAAATTAACCTTAATTGATTTCTGCAGACACACAAACTGAAAATTTGAGATTTCTAGAACACACTCACGCTATGCTCTTGTTATTAGCTTTATGGATGTCCTTATCTCCAGTAATCAACTCAATCAAACCATGTGGTCTGATCCTATGGCCTTTTTCTTTTTCAGTTTGCTTAGTCATTCCAGCAAAACCAGTTTGCTGTTGTTCTGCCAGGATTGTTACACCAAGTGTGCATGTATTCAGGAAGGAAATAGTGTAACAAAGCAACATTATGGAGCAGGGGAAAATGCAGAGGGAGCTCCCTCCTGAAGAGTAAGACTTCTGGAGATCACTGGGACTTGGGGGTGGGTACTGGGAAAGGATTTATAGATTCTCTACATGAAAAAGGTTTGCAGTTTAATGAAATATGACTACAAAAGAAAAGTTTCCTAAGCTTTGCAAAAATACTTTGGCAGAGAGCATGTCCGCTTAAACTATCTGAGTTGGTTTTCAAGTGCTGCTATTACAAATCTGATTTATTAATATTGTTTTTCTATATACTGCTGTGTAATGGACTGAATGTATATTGGATTTGTGTATTGATTGGTAAGATAATAGCAAGCAGAAAATTTTATTTTAGCAAGCACAATAGGATTTCTCAATCATGCAGAAAGGTTGAAGGGAATTCTTAGCTGATCAGAATGAAAAAAATCAGCTGCTTCAACAAAGAAGCTTCTGAAGGTGACTTGACTGATTTGCAAATCCAATAAACAAGCAGTAAGCTGCAGTAAATGGGGAATTCTTAAGAGCATAAGCTGGTAAGTACAACTGTAATTTACACAGTAATTTACACGGATATATACAAAGCGCATGGATATAATACAAAGTGTGTATGTATTCTTTGTGTTCTTTATGCACAGAACTGAGCTACAGATCGGAGAAGCTTTCTGCAAACTTCAGCTACTCCATTCATAACTTTGTGAAAAGCATCACTGGAATTGAGGTTTTGTTCATTCTGGTTACTCTGGACAAAGAAGGGCAAAGACATGAGAGGGAGAACTAAAAATAAAACAACCCTCCCACCCTCAAATCACACTCCTACATAGTGGGAAAAACAACATTACATAAATAGCATTCACATACCCTTTCACCTGGTGGGCCAGGAGGACCATCATTGCCTGCAGTACCCTAGAAAGGGAAGACAACAAGTTCAAAGATTAGACCTCTATTTTATTTAAAAGAAACAGCCTGCAGCCAATCTATACAGTGTGCTTGACAATTACCTTTGGACCTGGTTTGCCAGTGGGACCTCTGGGACCTCTTGAGCCTCTTGGACCCTGTCAATTTAACATAGATGCACTTGATGATAATTATTGGATACTATAATAAAACTGAATAATTCTTCACAGTATAGTGGAGGTAATTAATCTAGGAAAGCCTCTAAACTGCAAAGCAAAAGTACATACTGTTGGTCCTCGCTGCCCTCTGGGGCCTGGTTTGCCATGTAATCCCTGTAGAGAAAAGTTCACAGAAATCATCTTAGCAGACACTGTATTTGTGAGATAAAGGTTTTTTACTGAACTGGAGGCAGAACGCAACCCCCTTAAGTTTAAATGTTATTTTATCTTTAAGTATCTACTTTGCATTTAAATTTACAGAATCATGGTCCTTGATAAAATTGATTATCTTTCTGAGTTCACTGGGACTTCTAGCTAAATGCACTAAATTTGCCTCAGAGTCAGATTCTGTCACAGGCATTAGAACATCTTAAACTACGTTAAAATAGTAGTGAAGAAGTTGCACAACAAGCAGAGTCCCTCTGCAGTAGTTTAAAGGACTTGGCATCTTTTCCAATGTAATAATAGCCTTGAAGAAAAAGTCCCCAGGTTCCTATGGACAGTTCCACAGGTTAACAGAGAAAAGAAAGGGCAAGCCTCTCTTTTTTTTATAACAGAAATAGGGACTGTAGTACCTAGCAGGATTCTGCACACTTGCACAGAGATACAGAACTTGCCAGAATACTAGCCCTTAATTTTTTTCTTCAATATATCTCCTAATCATACTCAACAGATTTCTTTCCTTAGACTCTGCATTAGTATTGCATTCTAATACAAAGAAGCTTAAAATTCAAGAGAGTAGAAAAAGAAACCCAATGACTGGTACTTTCTAATCTCTGAGGTAAACACAACAGCAACAGATATCAGCAGAGATTTTTTAGCGTAAGGCTTGCTTTCATTGGAAACCAATTAAATGCACACACCTGTTTTCTTGAGGGTTTTCTTGTGTCTTTTTTTTAATGTTAATTTTATTTCACTTATCAAAAAAAATTATGTGTTGTTCTTAAAATGCTACACAGCTTGTGAACTTCTCAGGGACAATGACTGTCTTTTCTAGTACCAGTATGCGACGTAGCAGAAAACACAATGATATCCCTTTAGGCAAGATTAATAATAATACCTGATTCACATTATAAAACTAGCAGTTATTGTCTGATTGATGATCAGCATAATACTTAAGTATACATGCAGTTTGATGGTATTAATTATGTGGTTAGTACTCTAGCTGAATTGAAAGCTTTATGAAGGCCTAATAATGGATCGATAGAATTAGATTTTCATAATTTTAAGTCTGCTCTTCAGTGTTATCATTTTGCTTGGTTTTTTTAATCTGACATCTTTATTAGCAGTCATGTCTCATTTTTCCCAACAAGGATGAACTGAACATTGTCTTATTGCTTGTGTCTGTCCATAACAACGTACTTTATCTTAGCTAAAATAATACAAGAACAATTTAAACCATACATAAGCAACACAAATGCAATTGGATTTCATATATTTCATCCTAAAATCATGAATTTCTGCTTGTTTTCATGCTGCAAATTAAAATGGATTCTTAAGAACAATGATATACATTACTTCAGTTTGACTTTACGTTGCTATCATCTATGAATTCAGACTCATGCTCTTAATTTCATCATCTTTCTAACAACACGTTCTGCTATGTTCAATTGAGCTTTAGAGATAACAGCACAGTGACCTTCTTTCTAACCTATGTTTCATTTTTATAGTTTGAAGAATATGCATAACAGATTTTCCCTCACCTCCTTCAAGTAAACAAAGCAGCAAAACCTGTCATTTTACATCTATTTTTTAATGTATGTAATAGTACATGTTCTTCATCTTGTCTGATATATTTTGCATTTTCGAAGCTCAGCCTATGAAAAAGCTTGTGGCAAATCAGAATACTTATGAAATACAAGTTGAATTTCCTTGAGGGTAAATTGCATGGTAGCAGGGTAATTCATGGGATACAGGAAAATAGTCCTTGCCAACCCACTCAGCTATACTGTCAAAAAATATGCTTCATCAAAGGTGGTTTCTTTTCTCTTTTTCAAATATATAATTATGTTAGCATACACAGTGAAAAAGTGTCCAAGTTCCTGTATATTTAGATTAATACCTTAAAGAATGAGAACTAGTGTCTCAGTATGCCCTGTTTTACATAATTGTAGAGGTTCATTTTAAGTGTGAAAAGCCAGTTTTTATAGTTCTTTAGATAGTAGCTTGTATCCTTAGGTTTCAGTGACTTCCCATAGCACTGAGTTCCAAAACTTAATTGAGTGTCATGCAAGCATGAATTATCATACCCTTGCACCTTTCTCTCCATTGGCACCTGGAAATCCTGGGAAACCAGTTGATCCCTATGTAAGAAATCAATGCAAATATCAGAGAATATCAATAGCAAAGCAGTAGTATAGTCAACATTTAATTTAGATGTAAAGCACACCTCCAAAGTCATGTACATTGTACACGTCAAACTTGCAAGCATGACAGCTCTGATGAACAGCTGTAAATTAACTTACCATAATTCCTCAAGTCCAGAATGCATTAAAAAAATCAATGTATAGAATGGACATTATTTGTTGTTTTATTAAAGTATTCATTAAATCTGCACCATTTTGAAAAGTAGGAAAGAAATTATCAGTAACAGCCCAGTAGAAACAACTGTTTCATAATGAAGAGGAACAAACAAGGCCTTGTTAGCACACAGTATAATAATTCTTTTACAAAATAACTTCATTCAAAATAATTGTGAGGTATTGCCACATCTGAACAGTGTTGTGGTCCTCTACTTACTTTACTGAGCTGTAAATTACTTCAGGTGCTTTATTGACTGTAAGCTGACCACTGGCCAGTTTAATTTAACTGATACATGCAATTCGTACATGTGCTTATATGCTAATCTCATAAGCAGAATTTATGAGGAGATTATCTGACTTAAAACCACTTCCAGGCAACTTTGTTTTCTCCTTTTTTCTCCCCTTTCCTTCTGCTAACTGCCCAGTCTATTCTGAACGGTACTATTTTCTTTATTTCTGGTATATAGGTCCAGAGGGACAGCAGACTTGTTACCTGTGAAGGTGTTAATTTGTCATAAGGGACTTGGGGTCAAAGAGGTGACAGACTTAATAAAATATACTTTTAAGTGTCTGGAGATGAAAATCAAAGCAGTGTTTGGTTTGGTCAGCCAATAAAACCACTGGCAAGACTCCCTGCTGTGATAATGCATCTCTATCTGTGCAGCTTGCTATTAGTATTTTAGTGGCAAATAAAAAGCATATAACAAAAACTTAAAATAGAATTTCTTCGTGCTCTTTTTTGAAAAGTCAATAAGTATTTTTTCCTTTTTTTGTCTTGTTCTTACTTATGTTTTCCCTTTAATGATTCTTGTTTTACACAATCATTCCAATTATCCATTAATGACTTAGGGGCAGTATAAGTTCACTGACACTGATTCTAATGAAACCCTGACTGATATTCACTGGTGGGAGAAAAGTAAGAGATTTTCTTTTCTTTCTTCCTTTGTTCCTTTCTTTTTTAATTCCTTTTAAATTCTTCACCAGTTATAACTTAAAATGTGAATAAAACTGTGAAAATTCTACTCTTTGAAGCCCGAGCATGTTCTTCATAATTAAAAGGCCAGAGGAAAAAACAATCTCTAATGATTGGGTATTAATAGGCATGACTTGGTTGTAAGTATCTTGTATATACGGTACTTTTTGCAATTGTGTTAATCAAGAGGGACTGAACAGGATTAAAAAACATGGTGAAAATTATCAGATAATGGCAGTACTCTGAGAACAATTCTTAGAAGAAAAATAATGAAAAGCAAGTAAGCAACAACAAAAAGAATGCTGTGAACCTTCTTGACAATAGTGGCAAAAGATTTCTTATTTGCTTTACACAGCTAATATGTTTTTCTGCTGCTTCTTTTTTTTCTCCCTCCCTTATGTTAATTTGAACTGGACTGTGAATTCAAAACAAGTCTATAGTGAGTTGATGTATTGTAGCTGTCATCACTCTTTCTTGGAAGTTTAAGCAACAAATTAGAAGGGCAAACAGTGAATGCAGCTTGAGAACTATTTTCAATTTTAGTATGATAAAAATTTAATGTAATGAAATTCTTCATCAAGTCTTTGCTGAAAAAAGAATCAACTTTTATTTGAAGTGTTACATCATTTTTGTTCTTAGAACTGAATATTGTAAGACCTCTTTGATCTTAGACTTTTCAAAAGACAGTTCTAAAGGAGAACAAAAAGAGAGACTGAAATCTCAGACATATGAGTTAAGAAACAGAAGCAAAACCCCATGTCTCTCAAGGTGAATAGTTTTCATGCATACTTTCCAGAGACGGTTTTGATATTTTTCACTAACACAGAGTGTTCAATGAATAAGCATTCTTCGGATAGTTCATTCACTTGACTGAAAAGGGCCAAAGTATAGGCCAGAGTCAGAAAAACACTTTGCTTAGCCAGCCAGGAAGTTTTATTTCTTCCAAAAAAGCATAATTTCAAATTTGAAAATAAAAATAGATCTCAAAGTAGAGCAAAGTTGAGGATTTTACTGCAGGTTGATTGTTCATTTGTGTAGAAGGGGTAAGGGATTCTTTTACTTGTGAAATTTCCCTAGATGACTCATCTTTGAGACAGTCTGGAGATGCAATGTCTCCCTAATGGCCTCCTCTACACTGGGAAATGTCTGTAAAATTATTTTTCTTTCTTGCTAATCTCAGAAAAGAGAACTTGCAATTAATTTAGTGTGCCCATTTCCTAAAGCTGTGTTTGGATGGCCTTTTTAAAAATAAGTTTCATAAAAATGTTTTGAAAACATAACCCTTCACTTAAACCGGAAGCCACCTATATGGTTTTCTTTGCAATCAAAACATAAATATTAACTGAAGGATAGATGTAGGCACATAAATCAACTAAGGGTTGGGTTTTGTCAGGTTTGTCTTAACAGAAGCAAAAGGAAAACATGATGACAATTGTAAATTATATGTTTCAAAGAAATATGGCTTATTCTATGGAAGAAGCAGTAATGACACAAATGGAATCCTCGTACCACATGGAAAATTCCCATCACTATCAGCATCCATTTAGCAGTCAATATAGTGCTCATTGTCTTTCAAGCATATCAGCAGTTCCTTTGTTTTCAAATGGCAGTCTGCTGCTTGCATGAAAACACAACTCATGAGAGGATGGCAAAGGTTTGAGGGCAGTATAGTTAAGAATAGGAAAGACAGTGCTCCTTAAAGAGCCTGCCTTAGGGAATCCAACGTTTTTAAAGATTTTACTTCAGAACATGATTGTCAAGAAAGAAAAAGTGAAAAATGGACCTTGCTTTGATGCCCACACTCTGCTTCCCCAAACACACTAATAAAATAACTGCCATTGCGACTAATGTCAAAGCACAAGATATACAGCTCATTTACAGCTCACCTTCGGGCCTTGTCTTCCTGGATATCCTGGCAATCCAGGTACACCAAGCTTACCCTGCAATAAGAAGGCAGTGTTAAATTTTATTTTATCCTCCTTAGTGGTTCAGCAAACTTTTATAGAAAACACTTTTTCCACAACTTAGTGATGATACTTCATGGAATATAATATTCAATTAAATCAATTTCTCATTTTTACTATTAATCACCAGTGGGCTTAGTTCCCCAAACTTGAATAAAAATCCCACTCTAAAGAATGAGTTCAGCAAAGCCAATACCTGAGTGTCTTCTATTTTTCCCCATGAAGTGCTGTGTACTGATGTGGGGCTGAGGTCATTAAACTATTAATATTCTCTAAGAAATCAGGGTGTTAATGGGTTTAAGTGAGAAGAAATAGTTTCTAATTTATACTGTGTGATGCCTACTTTGTTTTCCACAGATTCTTCATTGACAAGCATTTGAAGAATCAATTATTTTCCTGAATAGTTCTAAACTGTTTGAGACTATGACACATCATACCCAACTGACTATTTGCTGACAACAGTTTTGTCAACAAATATTACTAATTTGCTACGTTAAGAAAGGACAACAGGATGAACAGTCTGACCAACACTGACATTCACCATTCCTAGAAAATAAATACAGTACCCTATGCCATTGAGTTGGACTCTTCAGACCTCTAGAGGATGAGTGATGGTTTGCTACTTTCAAAGGCAAGGGAAAGCAGTTTCAGTTTTTGAAAGATGGGAACTCTGGGGAAGAATTTGTGTATTTGCCTATGTTCCAGTCTATCACATTTTGGAGAAGATCTCAATGAAAAAGGTATGATTATACAATATAATATGGTACTCTGCAGTAAACTTAGATAATGAAAAAGAGGAAGGAGAGACCTGTATGGGAAAGGAAATCTGCCAAAATAAACATTATTCGTAAAAAATGCAGCACATGAACAAAGATGTTGTGTATTATCATATTCATGTAAGTGCATGTGACTGGCTGAGACATTATTAAAGAAGAATTCTTCGATTTATGAAAATAATTATAATGCTGCCAGTTATGTGCCACACTGAAACAAGCTGCACGCATTACAATGATTGAAATGTTTTGCAGCATGACAGTGCATCAAATTCTTGCCAAATTCAGTGAAAGTTTTGTCCCTAATTTTATGATTAAGCAAGCCCAGTTGCCTATGTTTCGAGTGTGGATTCAGGTGTTTTTTTGATTATAAGCTCTTTTCTGATATGTTCCTCAATTGTTTTGGCACCATACTTAGCATTTCCTTTACTAAGCAAATCCAGGCCTAGACCTACTTGGGAAAGAGAGTTTTCTTATCACAAGATCAGGTGGATGTAGAGAATAAGAGACTACTCTAGTACTTTCATTACTATGGAAGAATAGTACCTTTGCATTAAATAAGTCATAGGAATGACAAAGGAATAGGACATTGATAACTGGTCTTACAGACACTTCCCTAATATTGTGGGGAGATCTAAGAGTTCACAAAGATTATTCTAGTCTTTGCACTAAAATAAACATCACAGGACCAACATCATAGAATTCTTCGCTGACCCACTCTGTTCTGGCCAAGTATCCACAGAATATTCACAGATGCTTGACTTTCAACAGGTAAGAAAAGGTATAAAAATTTGTAGAAAAGGGAAAACTTTGGGTCTAAAATTCCAAGCCCAGCTAACAGTGTTATCAACACCAATAATTTTTTCAAATATCTTCTGATATTTAGGGCTTCAGATTCTGGACTTGTGAGACCATGAGAGTCCCATATATGTCATAGTGAAGAAGAAATGCTTGAAAACATGAACCTATATTCACATTGAGCAATGTGAATAAGAATTAGAAATAACTCAAATTCATATTTAAAAACTAACAACTATAAAACAAAGTTTGTTTTGGCTTGGTTTGGTTCACTTTGTTTTTTTACTTAGGTTATAAAGACTTGAGAAAGATGGACTACTTTGTAGATGTCGTCTGTCAATTAATTGTTCTGCAGTTATCATGATAACAATTTTTGTAAGATCCCTAATATTCTTACATTTTTGTCAGGTCAGCAATACTGAAAACAACCATTGCCATGAAACATACAGTTCTTTCTGGAGAATACAAATATATTGTGGGTGAAGATTATATGACCCTTATTATACCAGATTTTTTTGCTGATCTAGTTAAAACTGAGCACACTGGCTTTCTGGTGTGAACTCAGCTTGCATTCATGTAGGACAATAGTTTTGAGAGGTTTTTTTTATATGTTCTTTGATTCATGACCTAATGAATCAATTCAATGATCTAATAGCTGGTATCTTGCAAATTTGTGGAGAACATTAATTCATAAATAATTCCCAATAGTGAAGTAAACCTGAGAATAAACCTTTTTTTGTAATGAATGGTTTTGGATATATACTTTTCTAAGAGTTTATGAATGACATTATGCTCAAATTTTAACCCTAACATCTTTCTGAAGTTCTACTAATGATGTACTTGCAAAAAGTAGCAACTTTTGATGAAAAGAGAGTTTGTTCCCAAGTTTGCTGAATACATTTTTTCTTCCTGGCAAAACTCTTAGCTGTGAACCTTGTTACGTTTTTAGTAGTACCACATACTTATTAAGAATTCAATGTATATTTCGAAGACTGTATATAGATAAAAAGACAGATAGAATAATTAATCATGCTGTCAGATGGTATGTTGCTGGAAAATACTGTTCCTATTTCAAAGACAGTGAAACTAAGAAAGAAATATAAAATGCACCTTCTGTCCTATTCTTTTCAAGGCAGAACTAGCATTAAAGCCACAGTTCACCAAAAAATGTGAAGGGAAATACTTTCATCAGCATCTTCTCACTTTAGTGAAATATAGTATACCCATTTCTGAACTATAATTTTTATTTTATTTTCTCATTCTTTCCCAGTTATCCAAAATGCCACTGCTGAAATCACATTTCTTTTCTGATGCTGTCACCCAGTGAACTATGGTACCTGCACAGGCATTCCTCAGCCTCCTTTCCTCCTCTGTATCAATCTCAGGGTTTTTTTGTTGAGGTCAGGATTCTACAGAGATTCTACAGAGATTTGTGCTTATCTTTGTGCTTGTTCTCTCCTGTATTTCATGTCACCATCCTTTTCTTCAGTCCTCCCTTTTAACAGCACCTTTCACTTTTGCTAACCCTATTTTGGATATTTATTAGGGATATGTCTTCTGTTTAAAAAATCTTCATGTCACAGTTTGTCATAATATGACTGAATATTAATTCAATCTCCAGCAGCACCTTTATCCTCCTTTGTGCCCAACTATTTTCTTTGCATCATATTTTCCTTAGCTGGCATTCACTGCATGTAATTTGGGATAAGAATTTAGCTGCCTTATGTGCCGATGAAGAACTATAATGCCTTTTTGTATACTTACAAAATAATGATTCCCACTACTTGTTCAAAGGTGAACTCCAGTGGTCTGCTGTAGTAGTGTCTCATAAAAGCTACTGTTAAGTAGCTAAAGATTTTGCAGATCTAAAGGCTTGTTTTTTTAGTGATGAAGGTCATGGGCTCCATCTATGTTATGAGGCAATGACATGTTTATGTTGATATCTGGCTACTAACCTTTTCCCCAGCTGGACCAGCAGCGCCCGGATCCCCAGATGGACCTGCTCGACCTTTTGGACCTTCTGGACCATCTTCTCCTCGTGGACCCGGCTGACCAATTTCTCCCTAAAATACACCACCTTATAAATATGGAACAATAGCCTTTGTCCATATATTAGAGAGACTACCTACAATTACTTGAAAATAAGTTTTCTGTAAATGTAAATAGAGATTAGAATCATAGAATCATGGAATCATATAATCATAGAATGGTTTGGGTTGGAAGGGACCTTTAAAGGTCATCTATTCCAAACCCCCTGCAATGCACAGGGACATCTTTAACTACATCAGGTGGCTCAAAGCCCCATCCAATTTCCAATTAGGAAAATACCACTGCTTATGTTCATTATCTAAATGCAAATACATATAAATTAGGCACTGAATATTACTGTCACAAAGTGTAAGAGCCCAGTTGCCTTGCCTGAAGAGAGCTGCATTTGGAAACTGTGTATTCTCATTCTTCCTTCTGTAAATTCTTGTGAAGGCACTCTGACAGTCCATAGAAAGAAAAATGTCTGTACCTAAGTACTTATATGGATACCATCTTCACAGTTATTTACGTATACAGGCAACAGATACAGGCCAGGAGCCTCTTGTGATAAGTTTTTTTAGAACCTCCACACTTCTTATGAAAGGAAGTAAGCTCCCATTGGGCTAAATAAACAACATTCTGGCAGAGATTTGCAAGATGCTAGGTTGAAATCGAAACGTCTTAATCCTGGATAATTTTCCTCAGGCAAATACTGGGGATCTTGGAATCTGGAAGAGGAGATTCCCTAGAAAGAAGCTTAATGAAAAGGATATCCAAGACTGACATTCTCTACCCATTTATAACTGTGCCGTTGTTGATTCACAAGAACCAAATCTCTGGCTCAAATCTGTGAACGCACAAGGAACAGAAATAATTTAAGCTAGTAGTTTTTATTTAAGTTTTCGTTTAAATTTATTTGTTCACTTCAGTGATTATTTCAAAATAATAACACTTAAGCTTTTTAAGAACATATGGCCTATGATAAATGCTTACCCGGTCACCTTTAAGGCCCATGTCACCTTTAAATCCTGGAAAACCGTCTTCACCCTAAAAAAGGCAGAAATGCATGTAACGAATTCTAGTAATAGAGAGGATTTTTTTTTTCTGCAGATGGAATAAGAAAATACATACACTACATTAAAATAATTTGCATAGATAAAGTGAGAACTTCAGACACCAGAAAATCTAACAAGGCTATTGCTATTTTAGAGAAAGTATATCAGTGCACTATACAAAATTATTTTTGTCAAAATGAACTGAAAGTTCCTAATAACAGCTGTTTAAAGCTGTTTAAAATCTGTTTAGAGACAATGTAATCTTTCTGTTTTATTATGAATTATCTTGCAAAGTCCTTTCTTAATTCATAAACTTTTTTTGATTATCACTCTTTTTAATAAGGTCATCTATTCAATTACCTTATTCAGTGTTGTTCTTTTTGATAGCAGAACCTTCCTTTTAACTAATTTTTCTTTTAAATTAGTGTCTATAGTACCATGAAAGGAATAAAAAAATTGGCTGGTTGTGACATCTTAATAAAATAAAAAAAAAGACATATTAATGTTCATAACCCAAAAGAAGCAGTCATCCCTATATAGTAGTTCGATGTCTGGCAATACTCAGCCCTGCCTACTCTCATTGGCTGACATGATTGAAAGAAAGTAGAAAACAACCAATGGACATTAAGATTGAATCCATATACAGTGGCAAAACAGGTGCACATTATTGTTATTCCTAGTGAGAATTACTTATTTACTGCCTAGTAAATTCTGGCAGAGAATTACTGCGAGCATTTTAATAAGTCTCCATGGTGAAGTACAAGCAGACAGTACTCAGACACATTTCATTTACACCTGTATGATTTAGTTCAGAAACAAACAGAAATCTCCAGAGTTGTTCAGTGGAGTTGTTCATGACTTGCTCTAGCATAACTGATCAGCTTTTGGTTCCTGCTTTCTTCAACTAACTCATCATACATCTACTGTTCCAATATCCAGACAACAAAGATTATTGACTGCATTTCTATCTGATGCTTAGTTATATCCTGGAGCAAAGGTCTTTGTGATGAATAAGCACATAGTAAAATGTTTTACTATGATGCTGTTAATTTTTTTATTTGCTGAAGTAATATTGCTGACTTAGAATCTGAGTAATATTTGGACAGTCAATAAGGCCAGGAAAGAGCGATAGTGTGCTCCATGTTGCTGAAAAAAAACAAGAAAGGTTTTATATTTCATCCTCACTTTGAAAAAGAAGTTTGCATTTTGCATTCCTGAGGCCACAAAGGCTTTATCTTCTCCCTATTCAGTAACTGAGACAGATTGCAAGGCTAAAGCCATTTTGACTGTTCAGAAGTACTCATACCGCATGCAACAAATAACCCTAGAAAGGGTGATAGAAATAGGTTTACTAGTGGTAAACAGCTCAAAATAGCTGAGGAGACATTAAAATTACAAAAAAAAAAATCAAACAAGCAAATATCGTTTCTCAATCGTATGTGTTCATGTAAAAAAAGATGAGGTAACCCATTGTGATTCATTGAAAAAAATATGCTAAAAACCATTCTAAAAGCAGGTTTCCCATGTTTTCTAGATGGTGAAACTAAGCTTTATATGGTCATCTTATATTGCATATATTAAAATGTCAAGGTGGTCTTTCTTAAAATATAGAGAGACGTGAAAAAGGTAGAGTGCAGAATACATGAAAAAAGCTTTAGTTGTAAAAGTTGCTCAGTTATGGCCATGGACAGTAATAATTATATGAGAAAACTTTGCAACACATCAGCAAGGACTGACCATGTGCCAGCTACTGACCAAATGGCTGCCAAATGAACTGAAACACTTCTTCAGCTTTCACAGTGAGGTTCCAGCTATTGAGATCTACAAGAAGTTGAATTTATTCCATGTAGGAGGAGAGAGCTGAATGCTCTATTTCCTCTTCTGCTGTTAACAAAAAATAAAATAGCTAAAGAGTTCTAGTCACGTTTACTGGTCAGTGCAGAGATGGACCTCCTCTGCTATCTCTGGGACCATTCCAGATCTACAGCAGCTTTCCTGAATGATCAGTTTATTTCTGTCTCTTACAGTGCTTTCCCCCATGTAATGGCATCTGAATAATTTCAGTAAAAAAGGCCTATGTAACAGACCTTTAAAGCACTGTGAGGACAATCTATGAAATATCTTTGTGTTACATTTTGAGGTATTCAGTAGAGTTCAGTGTCTTACTGCAACTGAGAGATCAGTTTTTAGGAACACAGAAATACTGTGGAGAATATGCTAATCAGTGTTCATTGATACACACATATATTAAGTTTATTTATACGTGAGTCCTGTATTTTGTCCTAGCTGGATATTAATCACTCAATAAGGCACAAGAAAAAGCTGGTTTTTTGAACTGTCCAGTCTCTACAGGTCTTAAACACACTCTTTTTCACCTTAAATCTAATGAGCAACTCTAAAATGAGTATGCAGACTAGACAAACTGTGGTTTAGGAAAGCCTGAAAATGTACAGCAGCTCTTGGCATCTGAACCTGAAAGACAGATCTCTAGTGCTGAAATCAACACTTTTTTGCAAGACTGAGTCTTCTGCTTTAGAAATAGGTACAAATATATACACAGTAGCCATCAGAGCCACAAGGTTGAATTTACCTCTGTGGTCAGGTGATATGACTGATGGTGTTTGTTATCTGTCTCTCATTCTGAGGGCTGAGGAAAGTGGGAATTTAAACCAATACTGGCTGTAGTTTCAGACACTGCAGACCATCAGAAGTCAGTAGAGATTGCAGTAGTTAGTCTTTGCTCTAGTAAGAGCTTTAGGTACATAATTAATGGTATCAGGTGGATGTAAAAGCTTTCTTCATGTTCATATATATGCATCTGACTGGGGCTGTCCATCACTTTGGCAAAGCCAAAGATCTGGGACAAAAATACCTGGAACCTAGAAAAAATACAAAATCTAGCCTACAGCTCTATCAAAACAGATAAAATAACTAATGTCACCACAAAATTCTCTGATGCACAAGCTTCTCAGTATCCACTCTAGTATCTATTAACAAGAGAGGGGATATCTAATTGTCTCCTTAAGAGCACCTAAGAGAGAAGTTACTTTAACTGGTGCGAAGAGGATCCAAAACCATTCTAATAACTGAAGGGTTTATATTCACTTTGTACCAGTGTAAATAACCATGAAGGTCACTGTTTTATGAATTGGGCTTGGTATGTCCTTAGGATAAGGCAAAAATAAACCCACTGCTGCAAGAGAAAACACACTGCAGTGAAGGAGACAGAAGACGCTGCAGTGAAACACGAACACAGAAAAAGGGAATGGAATTAAATGGAGTCAGATTTACCTTTTCACCTTTGGATCCCTTGAGACCACGGACACCATCAGCTCCCTAAAGAAAGAATATAAAGGATTACCCACATGTATATATTAAAAAAAGGGATGGGGGAAGGAATCCAGTAGTTAAATCTTACCTTTACACCACGAGGACCTGGATAGCCAATTGGACCCTGAGGACCTGGAGGGCCCTAAAATATATTGGAGTAAAGAAACTTTGTTTGTACAGTACTTGGTTAGCAAGCAGTTCTCTTCTGAATTTAATCCTTGTTCTTTCATTATAATGCAGCAGTTTTGTGTGAGACATCAAAATAACAGCGGGCTGCCTGCCACTAAGAAAAGTCATGGCATCACAAAGCACCCTTCAATGTCACTATAAAACTATTAATAGAATTATGAACTTGGTTCTACTTGTGTATTTGGGAAACTATCCACATTACAAATTATCTGAAACAATGGTAATTGGAAAATGTAACAAACAAACAAACAAAAAGATGCCAATTAGAAATCAGTGGTGTCTTACTGGAGAAAATTTATGAGTTAATTATGATGATGATGCAAGTCAAAAGTAGAGATTAAAATAATGACAATAATAAAAATCACAGTCTTTAAAAAAAAAAGAGATTCCAAACCTGAAAGCTAAATGGCTCATGGTGCTATCAATACTGACTGGTGTCTGGATGCTGTTATTTATGGTTTGCTGAGCATTTTAAAGATGCTTAACTTCGATACTATGCAATCTGATGGCAGTGTCTAAAGAAACTGAGTTCTGTAAACACTGGAAGTAAGGAAGCCTGGAAACATACATATCTGTGTCTGAGGCTGAGCTGCTTTATTGATACTCCTATGCCTGAGATGGACAGATAACAAAATCTTTTCCTAATGGGTCCATTGATAAGGTCTTTTTCTCCTTTCTAACTGTCTTTTCACAAAATCTTTAGACTGTTAGCATCTCTGAGAAATAAAATTTTCAATCAAATTTGGCTGAAATTGATCAGTAAATTCAAAAGACATAAGGAAAAACTGACAGATGGTCACACACCTGTACATTCAAAACATAAATGCTCTGTGTAAACTTTATTTTCTTAAGAATTCAGGATAAAATCTACAAGCCTCTAACAGATAAGAACATTTTGGACAAAGAATAATATGCTGCTGTCAGTGGAATTGTACTTTCTGAAATGTCCTATTCATTCATTCATTCATCCTACTTATTCAGAATACAACCTTTTAGTATTGCTACTGAAATCAGTACTGCAACTGAAACTGATTTCAGGTGCTATAAAGGGTGATATTCTGGATAAATAAGGGTCAATATTGAGCAAGCAGAACACTTTAAAGAGCCCCAAGACCCTTCATATCTTCATAAAGAAATAAAGAAATTACTTTTCACTGCCACTGACTTTAGGTCACCTAAAAAATACAAGGTATATGCATGCATTTGTAAATCTTGAAAAACCGAGGTTCTGAAGAACCCTAGTGGGTACTTTATACAATGGAATTGTAAACTCAAACTATTTGCAAGTTACTTTTATGAAATGTATGCAACTTTTATTGATTGCTTTTCTGTCAACTCCACAATCAGTTTTACTTTAAGAGAGTAATCTCTATATTATTTAGAATCTCTATAATATCTAGAATATAATATGTTTGTCTGCACACAGAGGCTTTGAAAGTGTGATGGGTTTTCTATTATCTTCCTAAATAGTTCTTCGAGAAACAAATGTGTCATAAAGCTGAAGAACTGCCAAAGGTTTTCTTGAAAGCTATGTAAATAAATGGAAAGTTTTAAAACTCACCAATGCTCCTTTATCTCCAGACTGACCCTCTTTGCCAGGATGACCCTGATTTAAGAGAAATGTATCCGATTTGGAAAATACTCATTGTAGTGACATTGTATTATAAAACCACAATTATTTAAACACTTGAATTTCAGGTCACTAATCACCTTCTTCTGTGTTAGGGCACACACACACAAAACTTTGAGGAAAGATTTTCCTTTCAATACAAAGGAAAAGCTGGACAATAGTTATGTTAATATTCATGTTTTCAGGAATATCCTGATCACCTTTTCTTTTAATGTTTCAGCAGTAAGAGGTTTTTCATGCAAAACACTCTTAAATTTGATTTTGAAGCAAGCAGGGTGATTAATATTACAGCATGAAGACATTCCTAAAATTATTTAAAATATTATGGAATTTATTGCAAAAGCCAATAGAAGGTTGATATAGTTTTAACATTCTATGTCTTTGTTTTAAACTGTGACTTGCTTTTAAAACAAAATATATTTACGTCTTAGTGTTTGTTCTATATCACTGATGTTAATACTGCAGCGCTCAAAACATTAACTGATCCATTGTTTTTCTTTCTTACAATATTTACACTAAAATGCTGCAAAATTTAAAGGCAATTTAATGAACTAAAGATTAATAGAAGATTATTGCTTATGTGAATCAGTCAGGAATCCTTTTTCTATTTATGTTCATCAGACTTATTAGAGGAGCACAGTAAATCTCTAGTTTTGCCAAGCATGTGGTCCCAAATATCATGTAGCCAGTTACTAAAACCATTCATGTGTAGGTGTCATTGACATCCCAAAATGTTTTCAGTGTGTCAAATATGATATGACTTTGATGTGGCTCTTATATGACAAAACCCTGGAGCTTATATTCAATTTTCTGGTCTTGGAAAACAGTTTAAAATATGTTCTCTATTAAAAGAATGATTAAAATAAAAAGTATTTGATACTTCCTTACCAGTGATTGGTAATTTTCCTTTAAAGAGTTTGTCTTACTAACATTGAATATTTGTTATTTGGTTTTTAAAACATATGTATGTCAGTTGTTTAGTCCTAATCTGCCAGAATATGCTTTCTTGTGCACAAAATTTTAAATCTCCATCCAGTATCAGAGGTCTCTATAACATTAAATGACTTCAAAAATACTGCTATTAAAGAGCATATTTGTATCCCTTTAGATTTCCACTAATTCCAGTATAATATACCACTTTTAAAAATGTCTCACCTTCAAAATAGAAGGACATTTCCCCACATAGAAGTGAAATGAAGTAGCTAGCAAGAATTTTCCTGATCTCCTGAAAAAATGGTCTTGAGCTTGCACTTGATCTTAACACAGATATCATGGGAGCAGTTACAAAGCTCATTGCAGTCAGGAAGGTACTGCTCACTACCTTCAATCATAGTGTAATTCTGTGGTTGTAAATAGGTCTTGTCAATTCGAATAGACTTAGTTTAACCCGCCTCTCCTGCCCTTCTTCTGAACAAATCTACATGTGCATGAGAGAGATCATTTTGGGTAGGTGTACTGGGTCTGGCTGGGATGGAGTTAATTTTCTTCATAGCAGCCCATATGGCACTGTGTTTTGGATTTGTGACTAAAACTGTGTTGGTAACACACCAGTGTTTTTGCTATTACTGAGCAGTGCTTGTACAGCGTGGAGGTTTTCTCTTTGTCCCATTCTAACCCCTCAGTGAGTAGGCTGGGGGTGAGCAAGAAGCTGGGAGGGGACACAGCTGGGACAGCTGTCCCAAATTGACCAGAGGGATATTCCAGACCATATGATGGCATACTCAGCAATAAAAGCTCAGGGAAAGGAGAAGGAAGGAGGGGACATTCACGGTTATGGTGTTTGTCTTCCCAAGTAAACCTTATGCATGCTGAAGCCCAACTTTCCAGCAAGCGGCTAGCCATCTGCCTGCAGATTGGGAGTAGTGAATGAATTCTTTATTTTGCTCTGCTTGTGTGCATAGCTTTGCTCCACTTATTAAGCTGTTGCTACCTCAACCAGTGAGTTTTCTTGCTTTTGATCTTCTGATTCTCTCCCCATCCCACTGTGGGAGGAGGGAGTGAGTGATGGGGTAGGTGCTTAGCTGCTGACTGGGATCAACCCACCACAGTAGGGATGTATATCAGCTACAGAGTTGTGCTAACACCTGATTATCTCTTACAGCATTTCCCCCCTGCTTTTAAGGTTTAACAAGATGCCAATTTTAAAATAATGTTTATGTTTAGAAATTAATATGCAGAAAAGGATAAGGGGGAAAGTTCAAATGTTTAGACAATGATTCAAGACATAGACTTCCAGCTGGACTATCATTGCACATTTAACGTTCTCCTTGAAAATGGCACTTTGGTGGGTAAAAGAGAGATTGTGAGAGCCCTGGGTACAGTTCTGTATTTGTAATATAAGCATCTATGCAGTGAAACTGCTGCAGTCTGTTCTGTTGTTCTTATCCTAGGTAAACCCTGCTGAAGGTCAGGTTTAAGAAATGCAGATTTGACCTAAAAGAAAAATTGCAAGGGAAAATGGCATGGGGAAGAGAGAGATGGTCTGAGAAGACACACTGACTGTCTAATGGCTCTTCATGGTATAAAAAGATGATGTTTTTGATGCAAGAAAACTAGTGTATATGCATGTCATTATGAACAATGATTTCATTTCAGTTTAATGCCTGAAGTGTAAACAATGCTACTCAGGTGGTTACACTCTCTGTTCATCTGAGTGAATGCACCCTCAGAGCTAAGCTGAATTCCTTAGCAATCACAAGATTCTAAACCTTGGCTTAGGTCTGTCCCAGTGTAGAAAATGAAAGCAGCAGCCCAAATGTGTAATATGCATCTTAGGTCAGGAAGCAGAGAAAGATCTAGTCTATTCTATGTTTCCTCAGAGAACAAGTGGTGAGCATTTTTACAGATGATTTGCTTTACCATACTGACATATTAGGACTACAGTGAAACAGCATCTGTCCCTTTGTGTGTCATTTAGGTTATTTACACATCCCTGCAGATGTTTCAGATGCATTTCACCACCTGGGACCACATTTTAAAAGCGCACAGCCATTTTTAGCAGCTGCTTCAAAAATGTAATACTCTTAGTTTTAACAGCTCAAATGATACAGGGGTTTTAGATGGATTTTATGTTGTTGCCAGCTAGGACTACCAGTGCTTTTACTCTCCGTTTTCTTTTTGCAACACAAGTATCCAGAAATATTTATTACTTGATAAAAGTATTTAAACATTCAAGGGATGAAATATTTGGTTACTTACAGGAGGCCCATCAGAACCAGGAAGGCCGGGAAGGCCAGGCTTGCCTTGAGGTCCCTAAATGCAGTAACAGAGACACATCTTAAGAACAATAATGAACATTCTATCATTTTCTAGGATGATGGAGGATCACTATTATGCCTTAAACCAGCAAACTACCCTAAACCTTTTTAGTATTTTTAAAACAACTGGTGAACCTACCCCAGGTGTAGAGTAGCTATAAAGAAAATAATAATAATTTTAAAAAAAAAAACAGGAAAGAAAAACTAACCCCCCTCCCCACCCATATCCAATACACTTCACTTTAAGAGCTAAGGATATAAAATGTAGTTATACCTAAATCCCTTGATATGGATATCAGGGATAAACCAAAAATATAACAAAACTAAACCAACAAAGATACTGTCGTACAATATGTAAGCTCAAGGCCAGTTCTTACAATCTTTAGCCAACACAAATCACACATATTTTTCAATGAGATGCTTGCCTGAGAACAGGCTTCAGGAATTATCCCCTGAACATGCACACACACAACACAAGGTGGGGGAGAATTCTCCAGCATACAAAATTACCTATTAATTAGAATTTCAGGAATAAAAGGATTCACCATATGAAAGAAACCAACAAGATCAAGAGGCAAAGAGTATGGGTTACAACACTCCAGCACTCATAGCTGAAAGGCATGGTACATCTTTGTGAAAGCCTCTGGAATGTGCGTATTGTGGACTTAGCCCATTTTGCTGGAATACTACTTCTTAGGCACACAGACAGGTAAAAAGCATGTATATTGTTTCCTAAAATCTCCTTCAATTTCTCCTAAAGTATATACTAAACAGTGAAGAGGAGCAAAATCAAAGAAGAATCAATAGAGCAGGAATTCAGCAAAAAGGGTAGAAAAGTAAAATTAGTGTAAAATTCAACAGTGACATTTTTTAAATTAACAGAAGACATGTTTCAAACCACAAGAATGTGTACAAACAGATCAAGAAAAAAACACCAAGTGACACTACAGTATGCCAATTACACTGCAGAGTTATGTCAAAATATAATCCTTGAAAAAAGACAACAAAACAAAAAAGAGATTAATAAAAATAATTTTCACAGCTTGCTGTGAAATTAATTAACATACAGGTACACACTGTTTAATATTGTAGATGGGATTTGGAAGCTCATAACAGAAAATTAATCCAAAATAAAGGGAGGAAATTACATTTGTGAAAAAGTGTATACGAGAGGAAAGCCAGGCCTCCATTGGTTATTCATTTACTTGATGATTTCAGGAAGATCTGCTAATTTTTATATCTTAGGTTACTATTCTGTAAAACATAGCAACGCCGTTAAGCACATAAGCAAGGTTGTTGCACAGAACTGTGAAATACCAGAATAATGCTGTAACTTACTTTTTCACCAGGAGGTCCAATAGGACCTTGCGGACCAGGAAGCCCCTATTAAAAAGAGACCAGTGTGAGAAACCAGGGAGAACAATATACATACATTCACCCTACTAAAGGTCCCTCATTAATCTGTTTAAACACACTGGTAAATATAAGTGGCCTTTTTTCCCTCCTTACGAGTTAGATCAGGAGTTTTGTGTGAGCCTTTTGCACAAGCCACTATTCTGGCAGTAGGTCTGTAACAAGATCCTATTCAGAACCCTCCTCCAGGTGTGGCCGTTCCTGCTGCATTCCAGGAACACTGAATGAGTCATTTTTCTCCTGAATGAAAAATCCCTCTGAAAGCTTACTTGAAAACTCTGCTCCCACTGCCCTCGGCACATTTGCAGCATTATTTATAAAATCCTTGAAGCTTTATCAGTTTTGCACATGAAAAGCTAACCTTTTAGTAATTTCCATTTATTCAACATTTGCTGCACATTGCATCGTATTTATTGGGAGTTATTTTACACTTACTTGTGGGCCTGGAATTCCTTGCTGACCAGGAGGTCCTGGTTCCCCTTGAGGACCCTACCATGCAAAAAAAATAGCAGGGCATTAGGTTTGCATTTCTGCACTACAGATCTTCATTGTCAGGACTAAAAGGAATACAAACTCATCTTTGTTCCTTCCTCTTTAAAGGTTACTACCAACTTTCTACCCAGTATGATATTTTGTCATGTTAATGAATATCATGGCCTTTTATTTAATAGACAATAACAGCCCACACATAGGACCTAAGCACTGGAGTCCATGGTGCTAAAGGAGCTTGAGAGAAAGCGTGGTTAGGCCTTTTGGCTGAAGACTAAGTAACAGAAGGCTTCTCTTTTCTATGTAAAATCATGATGAATCTGAATATTTTGACAGAAAAGTTTAATTAAATGGAAGGGATGGCATAGTGGCAGGGACAAGAGAATGTGGAAAGGATGCTTAGAATCCACTCCCTTTTTAATTCCCCACTTACTTACTCACCATGTTTCCTTTTGGGCCTGAAGGTCCATCAACACCTGCAATGCCCTACAACAAACAATATAAACATGAGCAACTTTCAGTGAACTTGCCATTTTTCTTCTGGAAACTGCAAATACAAAACAGTTCATACGTACAGGTTGTCCAGGGGGACCAGGTGTACCTCTGGGGCCCAGTAATCCCCGTGGACCCTGCAAGAGAAGCAACACTTATTAACACCTGCATGATTATTTCTGGACAGAGAGGCCCAGGAGCAGGACTGGGCAAGGAATGTAATAAGGAGTAGGAAGGATGAAGGGAAGACAGGATGGAGGTTGAGGGAAAAAAGAAAGAAAGGAAGAAAGGAAAAAATTCACTGATAACAGATTCTCCTGAAGGCCACCATACATCTGAACAGGATGTCAGTGGAACGGCAAGCTTTGATTTAGCCACTGTGTAGTCATTTCCGAGAAAGGTAGGAGATAACTAGTTATATTTCCTGGTGCAGAACATTGGCACAGCATCTTCCACTAAAGTTTCAGCTGTGTCTTGCCTGAAGGTCTGACCTGAATAGCAGCATACACATTTGTATTCCTGTCTTTAGAAAACATGATGGTCTGTCATACTCTATATTACTATTCTAAGTGTAAAACAGTGCTTTTATCTGTAGTAAAGATCTAATAAATAATTAAAAATTACTAATACTTTTATTATAATAAATGCAAGGCATTCTGGAAACCAAAATCAGATTTGTTCCTCTTGCCCCTAAAAAATTCCACAAACGACCAAGGGCCATTCTCCTAAATAAGGCAAGCAAGATTTGGTCTATAACATAATCTTTTGGATTTATACTATGTAGATGAATATTAGTTTTCATCATTTGTGTCATCATTCATGTCATGCTGCTAAAGTACGCAGGACTGAGTCTCTAGTCTCCTCATGTATGATACAGTCGCAAATCACTAAGACTCTGATGCTGTAGCAACTTCTTCCTACTTTGCGAATAGGCAGCAGTATATCATACATTTAGGGTAAAACTCCCCTTTCTGAGGCTTGATTTCTTGCCTGCAATGCAGAACTCTGCTCTGCAGTGACAGCACCTGCAGAATTCCAACTGACAGCAGTGGAAATTCTGTATGTGAAACAAGTGTAAAAATACACAATGAAGCACAGTAGTGTGGAAAAAGAGGAGAAGCCAGGCCTTATTTTCTAATAAATAAATGTTTCAAAAACATTTTCAAAGCAACATGGACTTGGTTATATTCCTATGTATCAAGGTCTGCAGTGACTGATTTTACACAATAAGATAAGAAATAGCCTTTGTGATTCTGGAAGTTGTGTATATTTGGCTGGATTTGTCCCTGACTTACTTCTAACGCTGTAATTAGTGTTTCACCCCTAACAAAACTGTTCATTTGTTTGCTTTTCAGCCAGAATCAGTTTTCTCTCTATACACACACATGCAGTAATTTGTATACCTGGAATTCAGAACAGTTCAAGAGAAAGGAAAAAAATCTGAGAATGCCTTTTGTTTGTAACAGAAACAGAAGAATAAGAAAGCATTGCTTACAGCTTCACCTGGGAGACCTCTTGGTCCAACTTCCCCATCTTCTCCCTGTTTTTGTACAAAAGAAATAGAAGTTTTAGAAAAAAAGAACATGTATCATGACCATATTCCCATTACATGAGGATTGACTCCAGATTTTACTGTGTAAATAGCAACTTACTCTTGATCCATCTTCACCAGGTAAGCCAGGAGGTCCCTGTGGGCCACGGTCTCCCTGTAGAATGAGGGAAGTCATTAAAATAATACATCTGTTGCTGAAAATAATAATGGATGGGAAGGGAAATTGAAACAAATGTGTTAGCTGAAGTCTGATGTGTCAAAACATGTCTTGACACAATAATACAAATCTGTAGGTTATAGTATTCAGTAAAGGCTTTTATAACATTGGTATCAAAACAAATGAACATTATTGAAACAATGAACTATTTGTGTTTGTAAAATTTCACTCTGTAACTGTTCTTGGCCCCAGAACATACACAAACTACTGCTACAAAAGGCAGTTACCCACATTCTCTTTTGTCTCACTGGCACCTTCCCCCTTCCCCTACACAATGTATTACTGTCACTAAAATAAGGCATGTGTACTGAGGTCAGAAGTAAATAAACCAATTGCTGGGCCCTGGAAAACACATAGTGAAGTTCACTAACCACCTTTCAGAACCACGCACCCTGGCACCAGTCACTGAGAGCCTTGGGACTGATCTGTCTGAGGCTTTGGAAGGCAGCCAGACTTCTACACTTCCCCTCAGACCTTGGGGCTTTTCAAGTCTATATATGCAGATCCTCAGTAGATTCTGGACCACACTTTTAGGATTTATTTTTCTTTCCCCATTTCTAAAGAGAACTAGTGTGCTACATAGCTCAAACATCACTGACTGACCTCTTTCTGGGCAGCAGGTTTTTAGACTGTAGCTTCCTTCTGGCACTGGACAACAACCAAGTATTCATGCTGTTCTCCTTAATTTTATCAGTGTCTCCAAGGAGCCTGACCACTGCTGTGGATCCTAGCAGAGATATATGGAGTCACTTTTTAGTGGCTCCATTCTTTACTCTTTTCAAACTTTCCTAGGGAATTTTAGGTAACTTGCTCTCTTATTGCAGATATCTAAATATTAGGGATGTCAGGATTTTATTCTACTGCCTTTCTGTTCTCTGTAAGTTGGAGTTGTCAAAGGAGAGAAAATGAAATGCTATGAACTGCACTTTCATACCTGTAAGATGAATTAATACAGCGGTTTCTATATTTTGCTAAGTTTTGGAACTACTCAATGTGATCTGCTGCTAGACCATGTGTTTTTCTACATGCTAAATGACACTCCTGAAAGATGACATATGAGACATATGATCTATGCTCTGGCTTCCAATTAATATCCAGGTGAAGATTGACTTAAGCTTTCAAATATTGAAATAGTTCATCCCCTCAAGGGCTACTCTTCTTGTCTTGCAATCACATGGCACTTAGAGTTAGATTAGGAGCTTGTATTCAGTGTACTAGTATTGTCATGCAGTAAGAACAAAACTTCCTATCATTATCAGCATTCTCAGTTATTCAATTCTCTAATACGTTCCTTCAAATGTTCTCTTAAAGCCTGATTTTTTTTCCTTAGTGTCATGGTTTAACCCCAGCCAGCAACTAAGCACCACGCAGCCACTCACTCACTTCCCCCCCACCCAGTGAGACAGGGGAGACAATCAGGAAAAAAATGTAAGACTCATGGATTGAGATAAGAACAGTTTAATTGAACAGAAAGGAAGAAAATAATAATGATAATAATAATAACAACAATAATAAAATGGCAATAATAATAATGAAAGGATTGTAATATACAAAACAAGTGATGCACAATGCAACTGCTCACCACTTGCTGACCAATGCCTAGTCAGCTCCCGAGCGGCAATCCTCCCCCCGCCCCCCTTTCCCCAGCCAACTTCCCCCTGGTTTATATACTGGGCACGACATCACATGGTATGGAATACCCCTTTGGCCAGTTTGGGTCAGCTGTCCTGGCTGCATCCCTGCCCAGCTTCTTGTGCCCCTCCAGCCTTCTTGCTGGCTGGGCATGAGAAGCTGAAAAATCCTGGACTTAGTCTAAACACTACTTAGCAATGACTAAAAAGATCAGTGTGTTATCAACATTCTTCTCATATTAAATCCAAAACATAACACTATACCTAGACCAGCTATGAGACAGAAAATTAACTCTATCCCAGCGCAAACCAGGACACTTAGACCTTTTGTTTTAGTATATACTGTCTTGCTTTTATACTGGAGAAGGGTCATGCATCTAGTAAATCTAAATAAGAAAAGTTCAAAGTGTTTGATGGAGGCATAACCTCACAGAGACATCCAACTTGCCACTCATAGTTCAAATATGACTAATTCTAAAAGTACTCCTAAAGCTTCTACTCTAAAGTTATGGGTTTTCAACATCAATTATCTTACAGTTGAAACATAACTACGACAGAAAAAGTGTTTCTTTGTCTTTCTCTGCTCTTTATTGCAAGCCAAAGAGAACTGAATATTTGCATTATGTGCTGTCAGTATATATGAATCTGAAAAGCTACACCTATCTGACCTGGCTTTGAATTGAGCTGCTTTCAGAAAGATCATAGTTTGTACTTTTACAGAAGATTTCCATAGAAACACGAGAATGCAGTGATTTTTAAATAGTGGAATGAAAGAAATGATGAAAAGAAGTCATTATTTTCATTACTATTTTGCAAATTTCAACCCAAATTGATTCTTCTATTTTAGCTTTTTAAAATTTGTTTAGGAAATATGAAACAAATAGAATATTTGCAAAAAAAAAAAAAAATTAACTTCTTTATGACTTGGAAGTCTCCACAGACAGACAATTCTAGTATTCCAGGTTGGAAAGCAGACACACATTCCCTGACTGAATCAATTTCTGCTCAGCCTTCAAGTGTAGTGGCAAGAGCTTAATGTCTAGCCCCCTCTGCTGGTCACCTGCCAATCAAGCTGGATTTCAATTAAGTGATGCACTGATTGCTTTACACTCTAAGAAAAAGGGGATGATGAAAGAGGATCAAGACATTTCTGTATGACACTAGAAGTTCTTTTCCTACTGCAAACAAAACTCAAAAGAGTATCCTTAGATGCTATTACAAAGAACTACATCACAGGCCAGTAGCCAACACAGTTGAGATTTTCTGGGAAGCAGAAGGGTGAAAGCTATAATCATTCCTTGGTCATCAAGCTTTAGTACATATGGGAGTGGTTCTGCTGACATTCCCACACACTGTTTCTTTTGTTGGTGCATTGCACTTACCAGGACAACAGTAAGGGGGGTACATTCAGTAGAGTATGCTGTTACTAGCATCTACATTTGGGGTATAATTTCAAGCAGAAATCCCCTGCTGTGATTATTTCTATGCTTTGTAGGGAAAGATGCAGTCTCATCCTATAGATTGGTATGACATAAGGAGCAAGAACATTAGTTGTTTTAAATATTACTTTGTTTTCATAATTTATTGACCTGACTCTGATCTTTCTTTAAGCTGCAGTTGTTGGAATAAGCCATACTAAACAATTCAGTTTGCAATTCAAATATTCAAATGCATTTTTTGAGCAAGCTTTTCAGCAGATTAAAATCTGTGATGCTCCTGACACAGAAACTTCAAGCGAAATTCCTTTTCCTGTTACTATTTCCTTTAACAATCACTTTAAATCCAACAGGCAAATCCCTTAACTAAGAAAAATTAGAGGAAAACCTAGCTGAAGATGCGATCTGAATTGTGAAAATATATTTAAATCATTAATATATATATATGAATTGCTGTCTGTTGATTGATATTACTAAAATATTTCATAAGGAATATATTACCTGCCAATACAGATATTACTCTGTTGCATGAAAAGCTGACACTCTGTTTTAACTTTCCCCATAGTCCTTAGTGCTATTCTTAATGAATAGTGCATTATTTCTGTGACAGTATCAATTTGTTGTTGTACAAATATACATGTTTTTCTTACCCTGTTACCTTTGTCACCAGGGAGTCCAGGAAGACCATCAAATCCTCTGTCACCCTAGGAAAGAAGAAATCACAGCTTTAGTAAATGACTATTACATTCTGTATTACTCTGAATAAACTGTGCTTTGCCTCTGAAAGTTAATTTCTACCCTTCCTTATATGTACACTTTTGTTATTGAATGAAACACATGAAAGGGAGCACATAGATCAAATTCACAAAATTTTCATCTATGCATTAAAGCAAGAGAAGATGCCACACCAGCTTTTTCACTGTGCTGCAATTATGCTATTTATAAAAAGAAGTCTACATTGAAATGAAAAGCTTTATTCTAGCTGCACTTTGCTGTTGCAAAACTGACTTTACTATTACTGATACTCTGTAAGTAGAAACTGACTCAGAGAGATAGGAATCATGCCCCAAGAATCAAGTTACTTCAATGTCAGACTACTAGCCATTACCATTAATTACCATATTTTAAATGGATGATTCATTCTCAGCTCTTGCATCTGACCGAGCTATCTGAAACCTCAGTATTTTCACTTGAAAGAAGAATTTGGGGTTGGCCTGGAAGAAACTGTGGTACCTACATAAAATCTATCTAGCCCATTCCAAGACTGAAATAAAGCCTCAGGTCTCATTATTATTTACCTTTGCTCCAGGTTCTCCTGGCATTCCTCTGGCACCATCGGCTCCAGGACGTCCCTGAAAAAACCCAAAGGGGCAAACATTTTAAAATGCAGTGGAATCAGTTAATATTTAAAAATATTTAAATAGAAACTATTTACCCAGAGCAGGATTGGTCCATATGCTACCTACCCTTTTGCCAGCTTTTCCACTTGGACCAGGGGCACCTTGAACACCACGAGGACCCTGAATTTAAAGAGTGTAATTCTTAGAATCACATGTATGTCAGCAAAAAGCTAGTTAAACATCTCACCTCAAGAACAAGATAAGATTTTTTTTTAACACAAAGCTGCATTTTTTCCCAGGAGATGGATTCTGGTTTCCAAATTCCTATTAGTTTTAATAGAACATGGGCATCTAAACTGGCCTTAGCACTTACCAATTTTAATGCTAGTTTTCATGAGATGACACTATACATGGCATAACTGGTCCTTTTAACATAAAAGCTTCTTACATTATTTTCATGGCTTTGAAGACCTCAGTCCCGTGGTTTGAAAACCCTTCTTCCTCTCATGCCAAAATTATTTTAGTCACATAATAATTATTTGATGAAAACTAAAGAGTGCTTATTTCCGATCCCTAATTCATACACAAACGTGAGTTGTGCTGGTAAACACCTCACGTGCTGTCTTAGCTTTACACAGCACAGTTTTAACTAGAGGGAGACCAAATTACCCCAAACTGCAAAGCCTAATTCCACTTTTCAAACACATGTAACTTTCACTGACAACTGCGTGGGCATATGTGTCTGTGGAAGCTTTCTCATCCCCCATCCAAATGCATCTTCTTCAGGTGAAAATAGCAATGGTAAGGACTAGCCATCCAAAAATAATGAGTAGGAAGAGACAAAATACTAAAAATGTAAGTAAGCAAACTGGAAGACTGACTAGCTGTTCAGAGTGCTTTTTTGGTTAATTGCTTTATTTTTCTTCTGCAAATATCCATGTGGAGTTTTAAAACAGGCACTTAATAATGTAGCAAATCCATGATACCACTTGAGATCTGGCAAAAGTATTGTTCCAGAGACTCCTATCATGATTTCTCATGATTTCTTTAAGAATCCCCCATTACTTTTAGGTTTAAGCTGAAAGATTTTAATGGGTTTCAGTGCTCTTTAACATCACTGCACAGGAGCTGATATAATAGTAAGCTGAGAAGAAAAGCATGCACTGATTCCTAAAGAGTTATTCTTGCTATGTCACGTCTTTCCTGAAAATACCCTGTTTAATTACCGACTAAATTAACCTCTCTCACCTTATGAGATTTAATAAGATCAGAGCCCGAGGTCATACAATTGCAGACTGACGTATGATTATTTAACAGAGAAAAGAGCCTGAAGTGACAATATTAAAACAAGTTTTCAAGTGATGACACTCTACATGTGATAATTATTCTTTGTTATATAAAAATTGTTACTTTCATATTTCAAAATGAACAATCAAGCTATTGCATTTAATGAGGATAGTACTGTAAAAGCTATTTTTCTTCAATTGCACATGGAAAGCATATCATTGATTGATTTCTTCTAAGTGATATGAATGGATTTTCTTAAAGATAAACTCATTCAAACATAACAGGCAATATTATTGTACCTGGGGACCTGGTTCACCACTTTCACCCTTAGCACCTGCTGCTCCGGGTCCACCCTTGATGAAAAAAAGCAAAACATATTGTTTAAGTATACAAAAAACTCTTTAAATGAATAAGTTATTTTCTATTTCTATACAGTAATTATGGGGAGAAAAAACAAACAATCCCCTATTTACTAAGGTGTGTGAATTCACCATTTGAATCTGCAGATATACCCTGATATATCATTGTCTAGACACTGGGCCTAACTATGCCAAAAATCTTTCTATTAGCAAAGAAAACTCCAATTGATTTGCATAGGATCAAATATAACCCTTTGTTCTATATTAATATTTGAGAGCTAAAGATGAGCACAGTAAGAACATAAGTAAGGAAAATGGGAGTGCATCCGCTGTAGGGAAGGCAACAGAAATGAAAGCCACCTCTTTTTACGTTTATCTATTTCTGTTGTACAGAAAATAACGGCCTCAGAGTTCAGTCAAAAAATGACTACAGTCAATGAAAAATACAGTCTAATCTTGTAATGAACTTCAGCAATGTTTTAATCAAGTTTTTTGTGCATCTGGCCCTGAAGAAGTGAAAAAATCTATGTAACTGCATCTCTTTACTATCATTAAATGATGACACAGATTTTCAGAGTAAGTTTTACTCATAAACAGACCTAAACAAGATCTTCATCCAGGGTAAGATACTGTACATGGAATCTGGGGCAGAACTAGTCAAAGTAAGTTTGTGTTTTATTAATAGTGGTCTCACAAAAATAGACAAAACAAAACAGAAAATTTCAACATGCTCACATAGAATACAGGCTCAGGGCAGGAACATACTGGAGTTTACTATTATGAGCAAAAGAATTTTTGCATTTCTGACGTCTGAAACAGGTCATGACCAAATGTATGTATTTAATATGAAACAAATCTTGCAGGCCTTAGAAAACTGATAATCCTCCTATATTCACCATAGTGACCATTCAAAGAAAGAAGTGGTCTCTTGGCTTGGCTTAGTGCTGAGTCTGGCATCCTGGAGTCGAAAGATTCCAACTGACCTTGCAGGTATTGTATCAAATCCTAAGCAAATTGAAAATCAGATCCCAAGCTGGTACTGGCAGTGGAGATAACAGTGGCTTTGGTAGGTGGTGACTGTCTGTTTGGGTTTCCCTGATGTAAGCTCTGCTTTTAATTAATATAATTGATTACACTTAATATCTGTAAGGCAGAAATTTATTTTTTATGCTATGTTAATTAAGCATGTGAACTCCAGACTCAGTTGAAGCTAGACCAGGGCTTTGACACTGCTATGTTTAAGACTTTTAATAACTGATACGTTTCTAAATGTATCTTATTGGCTACTAACATAATTTAACAAAATACAATTCATATTAAGAGTAAAAGCTCCGACTATTTCATTCTTAAAATAAGCTGGGCACACAAACAATTGACAGACCAAGAATCTGTAGCTGCTTCTGGAACTGTAGGCCGAAAATGTTGCCAGGTCAGAGAGCTGGATTTCTAGAGCCTCCTAGTGGCTTAGAAGCAAAAGAACTATTAATATTCATTTGGTGGACTTTGCATACAGAAATTCATGAAGGCTTTTAAAACATGAAAGCATGAGTATAAGGCCAGGTTATACCTCAGCTAAAGGTATACAGCCCAAATTATAGGTCATATTATACCAGTCTTTACAGATATATTCCTTGCTTACAGCAGTTCTATAGTTATTTTGTCTGTACAGACTGAATCTTATCCTGCAGGTCTCTTGGTTCAAATACACTGCTGGAAATAGTGTATTAGTTTGTTCAATAGACCCAACATGTTTGACTCTTTGTAAGTATTGCATACCTAATCATGATCAAACAGGAGTCTGTGAGCCAAACTGCTTGGTAGCAACTATTTACTTTGGAAGAATCACTCTAGAAAAGAATTGCTCTTGTACAGGTCTGCTTAAAAATACAAGTCCAGTAATTTCAGTTTCTAAGGTCCAAGTGAGATTCTGGTGTGATATTTAGCTAAAATTCACCTGAGAACAGTAAATGTCATCTAGATAAAAAGACTGGGTTAATGATACTAGCCAGTTTGGAGCACAGCATAATCTGAAACAGATTTTTTGATGCTATATGAAGATGAGGCAAAGCACTACAAAGCCAACCGAGAATAAAACTTACAACAGCTTTAGTATCACGTAGCTTTCAAGAGTCACTGAAGAGAACATTAAGCTGCCAGGATAAGGGAAGAACATGATCCAGAGTATTCCTTATGCTCCCTAAAATATTCCTTCCACAGTATGAAATTATCTTATGTTGCCCTGGGTTTTCTTTGTTAATAAAAGTGGTCACTGGAGTGAATAGCAGCAAGAGTCATTGAGGCAACCTTTCAGTTGCATTGTACTGCTGTAGTTATACACAATGAAATGGACAGTAACCTGGCCAGTATTTTCTGTTGGTAATAGTAGGATGCTATACTCATGTTTGTCCATCTGCCTCTCCTGCTTTCAAACTAACAGACACTGTACATTAAGGAGGGTGAGGATGAGAGGGAAAAAGAGGAGGTTGGAAGGGGAGGACTTGGCTGTTACTGTTCAGCTATGGGCTGTTGCTGAAGCATCAAATTAAAGAAGGAAAGAAGCACAGAAGGGGAAGGAACCATATTTCTTATACTACAGTCCTACCACTTCTAAGTTATGACCAAATCTCCACATCTGCAATGAGTGGAAGGAAACTACTTTGGAGGAAAATGCTATTGCATTCTGAGGCGAGGATAAAACCAGGTGGCCTCCAGCAACTTCTGTTCCTGTCTTCTATGTAGGCTGCTGTAGTTGTGACTGGCATATCTCTGCAGTTACTTTTTCTTCACACAATAAACCAATAGGAACTTGCTTCATCCTTTTCTTTTGGTTACCCAGCAATCACTTGGTTTCATTTCTCAATAGCAGAATTGTATTCTCGTCTGTGTTTTACAACTAGATGCTTGTCTGATCTAATGAAAAATGCTAACATCACTCTTTGTGTTCATCACCACAATGACAATATAAATAAAAATTATGGCAGACATAGACCAAAATTTAAGAGGCCAAATATTTGCCAACCTAGCTGTGCCATCACAGTAGACAAAATAACAGTTTCCAAATTAAGTGGATCTTTCAAACATAGATGCTGTACTAACTGTAGAAGAGAATTTCACTCTACATCAGAAGATAAATACAACCACCTGGGAGAAAGTTAGAAAAGACTAGTCTTCTACAAAGCTTACGATCTTGGCTGCAGCATTTTTTTATTTTGTATCATGGTACAGATGCTTTATAACAGCTTTTTGAAAGATGGTGAATACTAAATTATGCCATTTAGTAGACTATTGAGTCTGAAAATTATCCACTTCCTAAAAGAGGAAATTGCAATTGCAAGATTGTTCAGGTGGTTTTGGCTTGCTGAAATTCCTACCTGGTTTTATTCTTTCATTGTGAGTATTGTCCTTTTAAAGTGTTTGTAGGGATTACAGAAGCAAATGTATTTGTGATCAAAAAGTTGTTTCACATGTTATCAGAAAAACTGTTTTGTTCTACGTATAGACTTTGTACAAATATTAAGCTTTTTTAACATCCACAGGGCCATTTTCCAGATCATTCGGTATTAGCAGTCAAGACAAATTCAGGACTTTTCAGGATTTTTTCAGGATTTTTCATAAAAAAAAGACAATTCTTTTAGAAATCTGTATGGCTTTTAATTGCTTATAGGAATGCCTCTTAAGAACTTTCCACATTCAGCTTAAATAGTGAGCCAAGGTCAGTCTTCACACTCTCGCTTTAGTATCTCCTTCTGTAGAGTTTCATATTTACCACAAGAAATTTTATAAATATTATTATGGAGATGACTGACTGTAGAGGCATATGTAATTATTTATGTAAAACTATTCTCTAGTTTTGTAAGTCTACCAGTGTGCTCTATCCAAACACCCCAAAATCTACAATAAAAACCGATTTAGTATTCAGGTTGCATAGCAGACCTTGAATAAGAATACAAATTATGGCTTTAACTGTATCAGTATCTTTTCAAGTAAAATAAGTACAAATACAGAGGTGTAGGCAAGGCCAGAATGAGACCCATGGACTTGCGTTACTGTGTTCTTAAACCTGTGCCCCTGTTTTGTTTACATACCACAGGACCTGGTCTTCCAGTGAGTCCCATGGGACCAGGTGGACCTCTCATTGCAATCTGAGAAAACAAACAGAACAAAACAACAGGTATCAAGAAAAAGCTGCCAGCCAACATACAAATTCTATATTAATACAATTTCATAATGCATTAGCAAATAGCCCCTATCATTGATTCAGTTGTCAATAAGGATAAGTACTGTGATGAGATGATGCTTAGAGCTCTTTACTTCACATCCTGCATGATATAAATTGAAATTTTTTTGGAGCTGTACCCTTGTGGCAGTTTTGTTTGCAGGCTCCTTGTGCTCACCCTAGCTTGCTGAAGAATAGCTTGTGCTTGAGCTTCCTGGGCTGAGATTGTTGGGCCCTTCTCACCATCTCCACCAAAGCGGAACTGCAAGTATCAAAACAAGAAAAGGATTCAGAATTTATCAAATTAAAACTATACTTGTTATTTGCTGCAACTGTGTAAACCACTTCAAAGACACAGGGTCTCAGACTTTAGTTCATTCCACGAAGTTCAGAAGACTGCTGCATTGAGGCCACTGGATCCAGCATGAATACTAAATAATTGGTAATAGTTTAGAACTGAAGTGCAAATCTAATCCCTTATGAGCAAACATTTTCTTGATTTCATAGGATTTTGGTTTTCATTTTGTTTGCTGCTTTGTTTGTTTCAAAAAGAGGCCAAAATAGACTAATTGTCTGCAAAACCTCATTAAAAATATGTATCAAAATTAATTAATTCTCCCTACATTAGTAGCTACCCACAGAAAAATGCAATTCAATTTAAGGCAGACTTCAATTTGAAAAATGTTTGGTATCTAAAATGAAACAGTTTTGTGTCATTTCTGACAATTTCAAAATAAATGACAGAATAAATTTAAGTACTCATTCCTGCACTCCTGGACTGTTATTGTTCATGAAGCTGCTAGCAGAAGTTTTGCAACGTTGCAGAGACACTAAGCTGCAACAAGAAGCTTGGCTTTCCAAAGGTAGGGCATAGGCACACTGGATATCAGGACCATGAATCTTTCATTGCCCACAACAGTTTGTACAGTTTGCCTACGCCCAGAGTTGGCACGATAACTGAGGTCTTTCTCCTGCAGTCATATTACTATCAGAATGGAAGGATTTTTTTGGAAAGTGATGGAAAACTTACTGCTTTAAGCCCCCACAAATGAGCACCTGACTTTTTCTAAAATGAGAACTATCAAGACTTCTATCATTTGAAAGGAGGCCAGGTGGTTTGTAGGGATCTTCATAACGTGGAATCAACCACATTTTCAAAATATTTTTCCAAGGAAAAATGCCTAAATTCATTGTCTTGCATCTATTGAAAGGGTGAATGCATTTTGATGTATTCATGATGATAGAGCCACACATCCCACAAAAGGTGTCTCCCACATGTTACTTGGTGTTTTGAATGTATCTCCATGACAAGGCAGTTTGGCACTGCCAGATTCAATTCCACATCTACTCCTTTATACCAGGATGGCTCTCAAGCTAGTGAGCAGGTCATCTGTTATAAAGGATAATGGCTTCTCAGTGGGGTTTATAACTGTGGAAAAGAAGTCTGGATGGTGGTTAAACTACTAGGCTGGAATTCAGGAGACCTGAAGCCAATTTCTTCCTTCCTGAGACATTTCTGGTTTGACTTGATAAATCACTTGTGGTGAGACTCATTAACTTCTAAATATAAAGCTAGCGAGATTTTCTAAAGTGACTGATAGGTTAAGTATTAGTCCACACTTACTACCTTTAATGAAGCAAACTGATAAATTTTCCTCTGCTGGCACAGCAATTACAGAAGGAAGAATGATTTGGGAATAATTCCCCTGAGGATTAGTGGCATTTTTCCCTCAACTAATTACTGGTAAACAAATATTTCTGCTATACAGCCAGCTATGATAATAGAACTTGGTGCAAGCATGAGGTCAAAAACATTAGCTTATTTTAATAAACTTCCATTGATTGTTTCATAAATAGAAAATAAACTCCCCCAAATCATCCTTTCTTCATTGATACTGATGGAGTCCTGCCTCCTGTATCAGAACTGCAGCAATTACAGCTCTGAGACTTTTTACTTACTTTGCTTTACTTACCAAAAATACTGCCTCTTCATTTACAGATGGTTTATCAATTCTCTGGGATGGTAGTACTTATCAGATCTTTCACATACACACATACACTTAGGAATAATGAATTCCATGCACATAGTACTTTTCATACCACAAAGCTGCAAGATACTTTAACAGCTTTGGGCTTGTTCCTCCACCTGCTAAAACAGATGGTGTTTTGCTTTGACTCCAGTGGGAGCAGACCTGGCTACGTACATATATTTCTATTCAAAGGATGCACTGACTCTTCAAAGACGACACTGAAGTCCAATTTTAAGCATGGAATGCTTAAAATTCTCCATGTCAAAGAGCCCTGAAAGCACACACGCCTGCTGGGAGTACATGCCCTTTGTGCAACAGCAAACTCCTTGTTTAGGACATATAGTAGCAAGTAATGGTTGCTGTTGAAAACGTAAGGAGGTTTTCAGTGAGTGTAATACATTCACGTAGGTTCCAATCTGGCAGCCAAGCAGGAGATAAAGTGTATGTTTTGTTTGAGGAAAAAGAGGTACCATATGATCTTCAAATGCTTGCACCGTACAAGAACCTCTGTATCATCTCTCATTCCAAAGACAAAATCAGATGAAAAAAGAAAACACCTATACATTTCTTGAAACACACTTCCTCTTTTTGGAGGCTGGTTACCCTGGAATCATAATACAACTTACCGGCAACATTAACATGGTACCTGGGGGACCTGCTAAACCATCAGCACCAGGGAGACCAGGGCGACCAGGTGGACCCTATGAGAACAAAGGGATGAGAGGAAAAGGGATGAGAACAAAAAGATAGTTATATAAGATAAACCTCTTGAGTCACTCGCACACACTTACACTTGTATTCATAATGATGAACTTGGAGGTCTAATATTTTCTTTGCAAATGATTTGGGAATGTTATTCATTATTAGTGAGGTAATTAAAGAACTGAGTTTGGGGAAGACATCCCAGCAACAGGAAACCAAGCTATTCTCTTCAATTATTTTACTTACAAATTATATTAAAAATGGAGTATGGAGTACCTAATTATGGAGCCTTTGCTCATGATTTCATAGGTTGGGCTGAGCTATTTGCATTGTGTTCCAGTGTTTGCTTTATTTGATATAGAGAATTAACACTGCTGATACTCTTTAAACCCTTTGAGTAGGCTTAATTTTCAAAGGCTACATAAGTTCTGCAGCTATGATGTGAAATCTGGTTTTTATGAAATCTAATTCTCCCTGACAGTTTAAAAAGAGCTAAACTTTTTGTGTAAGCTGGAGTTGAAGAAATGTACCAATGTGTGTGTGTACATGATGCTCATGAATATTGACACAACGTGCTGCATAGATAAATATTGCTGTTGTGACAACAGTTAGATTTATAATTGCACCTTTCCTCCCAGCAATTTGCATCCTGCATTTCCACTATCTGAAGCTGTCAAGGGCAGGAAGGCCCTGCATCAGGAGTGCTCATTTGCCTGCTGCATATCTGCCAAACAAAGTACTCGTTCACCAGAATGACCCTCTGCAGGGCTGCAACGACAGACCAACAAACATCAAACTGTCCTAACTGGTTCCTTCTGCTGCTCAGGAGTTGAACAAAACAATGGGAAAGCTGATCTGAAAAATTTTGGTGTTTTTTTCTCTTCTTCAAGAATTAAGATCAGTAGTCTGTTATTGAGTCTGAGCTCTTTTTTTCAAAAAAGCCTGAAGCATCAAAAAATAATTTCCTGCTAAAAACACACTACAGATAAATCTTAAATTGAGAATAATTTCTAATTCAGATGTAAAATATTGAATAAAATGTTGTAATTGTTAAAAAGAACCATTATATATCAGACAATTTTGAGTTAAGTTTAAAAAATAGAAAAATAGTGAAATGCACTTGCAAGGCACCCAAAGAACATTCACTCTGACCTGCAGTGACTTTATGCCATATGACTGTGAGTCTTTGTGAAGATTAGAACTGAAAGATTAGATCAGAAGATGAAGATTAGATTACTGAAGATTAAATTAAAGATTAGATTAGTTTTTCAACTTCTTCTTCCATTGCACCATTTTATATGAGTGAAATTCATCCCTACAGGAAGTAAAAGTGGGACCACTTATGGTCCTCTCCAGAAGGGCATGTTCCATCATTTCTCAATTGTCTTATACCCGTTATTAGGATAAGAATGATATAATAATTTAGTACAAAAACTGAAGCACCATGGGCAGCTACAAAAAGTGGTGGATTTCACAATTACTTGTTCTGTAGTTCTGTGTTTAAACAACATTCTCAATTATTCTAGGTATTAATGCGGGATTTTTAAAATTAAGCAATGTGCTTTTCTTGAGTGGTAATTTTCTCAGAATGTTACTTTTCTAAATTTTTTACCTAAGATGAAAAGTAGTCAGAATAGCTATAGCAAGAGCTAGAGCCTTTATTCATCTACACTGATTGCTGTTTAAATAAAAAACCAAACCTGTCCACATATGTTTAAAATTTAAAGTAAGACATGTTATTTCATTAGGATGGAATCTGACAGCAGAATCTGGCTGCAGAAATCTCTATAGTTCTCATGAGTTTGTTAAGTCATTTCTACAATTATTTTTTTGTGTAATGTGTCCTTTTTTATATAAAACTTGAAGTCTGTTCCATGACAGGCACATGATGTGTTTAGTCAAGAATTTCCTTATGATGAATTCAGTAAGCAGTTAGTTAAAAAACTGAGTACTATCAGTAGTTATTCCATTACAATGTGTTAAAATTCCCATTTAATACATTTAAATTCCAAAATATGTTGTTTAGTTAATCTGCAGGAAAGAAATATGAAAGAAGTGTGGATGATGACTTACTATCAAGGCGAAGCGTTGTTGGGATTTTAACATTATCTCATTATTCAGTGAAGTAATAGCATCTTCTCAACATCTTGTATACACAAATACAGCATGAACATGCTAAACTCACCAGTAAACTAACACTCATAAAACTCAGGAAAGTTTTTTTGGCAGCATATTTTCCTCAAATAAATATATTTAGGCTGTTATAAAATTGTGTTAGTTGTAGCAGTAAGAAAAGGTTTGTGAGAACATTTAAGACTAAAATAATAGCTTAAATTTCATTTATATTCATGACTGGATTGGGTTCTCATGCAGTATGTTATTTGATATGGCCCATAAATTCTGCCTAGATCATCTAAATATTATCCATCACTTTCAATATTTCCATGTGTATTTTGATTCTGCAGAACTTGTTTTTTTTCTGTATCTCTACATGCTATAGCTGAGGTCATACTGATTTTTTTAAACCTCATTCAAATCCATATGAAATGTTTGTACCTGTTACTTTATTATATTTTAAATAGTTCACATCAAAACAGAGAAACAAATAGGAACTTAACATTTTTCCTGTATTTACAGTACATATTTCTACTACCTAAGGAAGTGTTTATCCAGATTCTTATAGATCAGCCTCAGTTCCACTTAAGTTTCTTAACCTATGTGTATATATTTCAGATCAGGATCTAACCCACTTATTCTTATAGCAATTAGTGCAAGATATGCCATGAATACTCAGGATAATCTGTCTGTTGACTTACCCTTTCACCAGGGTCACCTGGAGGACCAACAGGACCTTGTAGACCTGGGGGACCTGTAAGGCCCTATGGAAAATGAATGACATTATTATGCTGAACACTTGCAGCATTTTAGAACTATTTTTTCTCTGGAAAGTTATGCTGAACACGTATTTGGATAAAATAATTTATAAGGTGGCATACTTTTTTTCTTACAACGATTTATAGTCAACATTCAAAAGTTTGATTTTTGTGTGCACTCAGCTTGTAGCATGCTGTCACTGAAAATGCTGGACGTGACCCTTTTTTACTCCCTTCTGAAAATGCTAAGTCCAATATACTATTTGGGAATTATGATAAGACCAATATTAATTGTGTTAACTCATGAATACCAAAGCACAGGGGATAAATCAAATGCCATAAAAAGAAATTGTGATTAATCTACTTACAGCAGGTCCTCTTGGTCCCGGTGGTCCTTCAATGAGCATACCCTAGGGGGGAATGAAACAAAAACATCTTTTTAGCTGAACTACTGAAGTTAACATTTCTTAGTGTTTTGATAAACTTTTCTTCTGATCTTCTCTCCACAGTTACTAGAATTGGAATCCGAATCGTGTGGCTTTAAAAATGAAAAAGACTTCTAGGCTGGAGGGATCTCTTAGTACTTGAGTCAAAATAACTTTTTTTCTTTTTTTTAAAATGCTGTTAAAGAATTTGATGTGAGTAACTCTGGCTATTTCTATGTTGTGGGTCTTATAGCACCTCCTAGTTCCTTTTTTTTTTTGAGTCAGTTGCTAGTCCACATTCCAGGTCATGGTAAGACCTATGAATCTATGATCCTCACTCGTACTTGGCTTTCCATAGGAAGGAGGACTGGACAAACAAGCATGAAACTAGCTGTAGTGAACTCCAACAATGTTGGAGACTGGCAGTGGATGCCTCTTCATTATTATGGGTGTAAACTAAATGTATCTTGCAGTGGTTTAAAAAAGCCATGCATTTTATGAGCTTCTTCACAGATCATGACTGAGAGGTCACAGTCTAGACTTGTAACTTGTTCATTATTGTTGTCCTTTAACTTTGGTGATCAGTAACTTAACAAAATGCTAATCCTGGGATAGGAATATAGAATTAAGAGGGAGATTTTGGATCACAGAATTCAGACCTTTGATATTTAGGCAACAATGACACATCATAATATTTTATCAGTCTTCAACTTAAGCTAATTTTTTCCCTTGATACTTCTGTACCTAATTTTCTATGAAATAAAAAGCAGATTAAACTTTTATTTCTATTTGGGTCAAATACATATTTGAAAGCAGTCCTTGAAAACTCTAGAAGAGTAAACCACATTGACATTCAACTTCTGCTAGACATTATAAAATGATTATTTTTGTATAATCTGTGTCTTTTTAAAAATTCAGTTACATTTTAGTTTCTAACCATCAAACGTGATGTCCTACTGTAAAAGCCACTTAGTTACTATACTACTACTTAAAGACGAGAAAAATTCTGTCAGCTACTGATCTATTAATGTGCTTATGACCAAGTTTTGTAACCTCTCAAGAAAGTATTTAATTAAACTTTTAGCAGTTTGATTGCACCAGCACAGGTTAAACATACAAGCATTTATTTAACCTCTCAGAGGGACTTCCTTGCCCTTGCTGAAACCTGTAGTTACAGTGTTAACTGTGCTTAAGCTGGAAGCTATCTCTGTAGGTCTGTCCAAGCTGTAGTTACTAAATGGCCTGAAAAGCAGGTCTATGCTCTGTTTTTCTCTGCACAAGAAGATTCTCCTTGTTTTAAGGAACATGTGGTTAGCCCTTTGTGTAACCAAAAGAGAAGGCTGAACAGGCTACCGTCTGTTATCAGTTTTATACTGTCCACACTGCAGATGATTGTTTCAGAGATAATGGATAAGGTTACTGTCATCCTATCATGTACAACGTGGTCTGATAATGATGTATCAACAGTTTACATACATTATACAGTGCTAAAGAAAAACTCACCCACATCTGTACTTACAGGTTCAATTACAGCTGGTTCTCCCTTTTGGCCTTTTTCTCCATAAGCCCCATGTCCAGTCACCTGGCCAGTAAAAACAGCCCCCAAAATGAAAATAAGTAGAACATCTACGGACCTGGTACAATAAAGAACTGTAGCAACCTGTAACTGAAAGCTAAAGCTGGAACTGATCTGTGCTCTGAAAAATACATCACAGGCACAAACCATAGCAGTCAAAAATACTTAATATATGAGAAATTGAAAATGCAAAAACTGCATGCATACTTTTCAAATTATTGGATATTGTCAATTTGCAGTTTTCAAATGAGATGCAGTAGTTTGCATCCCATGGTTTTCGTTAGTACTTTTGACTTAGAATCTGAAACTTCTGTGTGCAAGTCACAAAGTTGTTTCTTTTCTTATTTGAATGGACATATTCTTGGCAATTAACAATGATTCTTCATGGCTTTCTGAGTTAAGCAAGCCTAAAGTGAGCTGGAAAGGAAGATCCCTTGGTCCCATGTGGACAGTACCCTTCAAGCTCTTAATTTCAATCATTAGACATCCACAACACGTAAAGTAGTCTGATGAGTCTATGACTTTATGGCAAAAATGGGAAAGGAGTTAAGTGGCATTGTAAACTTTAAATGATATTTCATGGGTAGCCAGTTATGCTTCCTAACTATATGAATTAGCATCAATGGCAAAATTATTTTAGGATCAGGTCTGTGGGAAGTTTAGGGTTCAGGATTAAGATAACTGAAGTACCTAAAACAATAGGTCAATAACACATGCTAATGGAAGAACACAGACAGATTCAAGTTTCAAACAAAGAAAAAGAAACTGATTTTTTTTTCAAACCATGAGATATGTATTTTTCTTCAGAAGTACATCTCTTGATTGCTAACATATCCACTAGAAATTAAATTCAGCTCTGATCAGATGAAAATTTGAAATGCTTTTTTTTAATTTCAGTAGAGTGATTCCACATTTACACTAAAATAGCTGGGGATTTGAAAATGTTAAGGATAATGTTACAGTATTTCAATATGAAATATCTTGGAAAGGAAAAAACAAAGATATAGATTCATGGCTTGTGCATTTTGTATTGATGTATAAAGGCACAGATCTCACTAGTAATGATGCAATAGTTCACAAAAATCAAATAGCAAGAGGTATAGATAATTATGTTTTATTATATTAATGAAAATTGGTTGTAAAAAATGACGTCAAGTCTCCATCTTTGGAAATACTGCCCTTTTTTGAAAGTTTCCAGGTACTGAGTACTTTTCATCTTGCCCTTTTTATCAAAGGTAGAACTTCACTTGTTCTAAATACATCCACATGCCAAAGGAAAATTATATGATATCTCTGGTTCAGCAGATGAGAGTTGTAATAAAGCTGGCACAGGTCAGAGCCTGGGTTCCAGTTCAAGCTTCCCGACTCCTTCAGTTTTGTAGCAAGGCATTTGAAGTTGAAATTTACACCAGGGGAATAGAGTCTACACAGTCATTTGCTTAAAGCAGGCACAAATGGTGCCTTATGGGCTCTTTGCTTTGCAGATAATCTGACCTTTTCTGTGTCATTCTGCCACAGTGTCCCCATCTGGGCTAGAAGGAAAAAAGTGAGTTTGTATCACATTGCATAGATAAGTATCATTAAAAAATACAATGACCCCAACAGGGTTTAGAAAGGAGTGATAAATGAAATACAGAAGTATGGGTTTCAAGGCTGGCAGAGAAAAGCAACTTCACAGCATTCACTGTTATTTTTTGGATCCTTTGTAAACTGAAGTTTTGAGTTTGTAAGGTGCAAATAAAGATAAGACTGAGCAAATCCTGCAAGCAAAAGTCTCCTTTCCTACTATATTCAGGGCCTTCCCAATTAAAAGTCCAAATGGCAATTAATTTTGCTTCCAGTCTTAGTCATATTAGTTTTCTTTGCAGCTTCCACAGTCCAGTAAACTGGTAAACGAGGATCTTGGCACAACTAAAGGAAAATTAAAGCCTTGATGTTAAGCCTGTGATTAAGTCAGAGCAAAAGAGAGCACTATAAAACACACAAAAAAGAGCATGATTCACAGGATTCGCCATGTCATCTTATCTTCCTTTATATATACTTAGCTGTTAAATCACTCCTGCAAGGTCATAAACCTGTTACCATTAACTAAGCTTATTTTCATGAAAGGGTTCAGACCTTCACCTTCCCAGTCATGAATTTTCTCATTGGAAAGTAGCAGAAGCCGTAGGATTCTAGACACTTATATGCATTTCAACTTCTTAAGGTAATCATATAAAAATATTAATTACAGTACTATCACCTGCATTAGAACGTACATTCTTTCCAGCTTTAGCTCTAGTTTAGAAAGATTTTTAAAACTGTTTCATTTCATCATTTGTTTTTGTAATTCCACCTCTTCTTCCCTTTCCCTCCCATCTTCAGCCTTCCCTTAGTCCCTTCACCAAAAGAGACAAAACCCTTGCATTTAATAAAAATAAAAAGTTCAGGATTACTAAAACAAGAGGATAGGCTTGATCCAAATCCTATCAAAAGTGAGACTATATCTAATATGTACAAGGAGCTCTGGATCAGGGTCTGTAAAGTTCTGAGACTGTATAACTATAAAAGAATTGCTAAATTAACTTAATCTTCATTATGCCTCCAATCAACTTACGCTCGTTTCAGTGATATCGGTCTCTGCAGGAACACCTGGACCAAACTCCTCATTAGTGGAATCAGTTGGTTTCTCTTCATATTCTTTATATTCATAAAAATCATATTCGCCTAAATCTCCATCTACCAGCAGATCAGATTCACTGAGGTCTACTCCTCTGCTTCCATATTCAGTTTCCTCAGTTTTTTTATCATAATCCTCTCCAGTTATGTATTCTTCAGCAAATACTTCTTCAGCAGGATTTTGCTTTTCGTATCAGTAGCAAAGGTTTGGAAATAGGAGGAATACGTGGGTTATTGTTAGTAAAGCAATGTAAGCATATGCTGATCCACCATAATGACTTGTCAAAAGAAGAAAGAACAGTAGAACTACAGCATATTGTCTTTTAATTAGAGTCTGAAGGAATCGAAGTCCAGCCTTTCAGAGTAATTAAAAGATTATTGTATAAGTAGTACAAAGAAGTAATGCTTTCATAAGCTTTTTTTTTTAATTATTTCCAAAAACACTGAATTCAATATATCCAGTACACTGTGTGTACTGCTTACTTAATGTTACTTTAGTGCCAAATATAGCTAAATTTCCCTGCTTGGTTTCACACTTACAAGCATTCATGAATGAACATATGCACTGCAATCAGCAGTGAATAAATTCAGGCCTTTTTACAGTAACAATGTACAGGAAGTGCAAGCAAGCATCACTTTAGTTAAGCCCAGCCTTCTTCGTTATTTTGTGCCTATAAATACCAATGCTGAGCTAAATGTTTCAACTTCTTTTCTCTTGTTAATGATTTTGCAGTTTATTTATCACTCTAAAAGTCATGGTTCATGTCTGTCATGGCAAATTATGTATTTTTTGTAAGTCAAATTCCACCTGCAAAACTCAGATTAATTTTAACATTTCTGAAATCTAAGCCTTCATCTTCAAGTATGTAAACTGTCAAACCAAGCAACCAACTTACAAGCACCAAAGCAGTTTAAAGGAATGCTATATTTGACATGTACAAAACCATTTGGGAAAAAAAAAGAGGATTGCTTTATTCTGTTACAGAGGTCTCTCGAAAGGATAATTTTGAAAGAAATCGGAGTTCAGATATGCTAATATGAGTTGGACTTTCTAGATGGTCAGACAAGATGAACTAGTATGATCTTAAAAAAATATATTAAGAAGCTAATCAGCATCCAGAGTAATTAATAATATCCTGATCTAATCAAGATATTGAAATATATTGCAATTAAAATAGAAGGTCAGATTCTGATTTAACAGTTGCTTAAATCCATTAGCTACAGGACTATGACTTTTGCCTTACAGCTAGAGTAAATGCAGATCTGAACGAATTCTAAGTCAAATTTTGCCGTTATGCAAAACTGTTCTCACTAAGGAGAGCATTTAGCACTTAGGATCAACCTCATTAAAACTGTACTATTTTACAATTGGCCTAAAATTGCCCAAGAAACAGAATGACTTAAATATGCCTCCGTCAATCAACTTGTGAGAAGTAAACATGAAATTTAAGACAAGAATAGTTTACAGTAGAATGAGTAAAATATACCTTAATTCACTTTCACCTTCCAACATATGTAGGAGGAAAACAAAAAAAAAAAGGGGGGGACTCTTTTTCTCTTTTCAAATGTTCAAGGGGGGGCAGGGAGCAGTTTTGTACATCTTTTAAGCAACATAACTTCATTTTGAAAGGAAAATGTAGAAGAAAAACAAAACCAATATTACTTATAATCAGCCATCATTTTCTAAAACTAGCATTAATTAATATGCAGACATATTAATCAACACTGGCTTAGGTGTAGTAATCTTAACAAAATAATGTTTCAGCTTGTCATTGTGGCTTTCTAAAAAAGTGGTTTCTAACGTAAGTCAAAATAATAATTTTATCCGTTTTGACAGTTCAAAATACTATGTCTCATTTGAATAGAACCTCAGTAAAAAGCAAATGATTTGGTTTTGTTAGCTGAAGAACTATTAAAAGGAAATGATGGCTTCTGACTCAACTTCAATATGCTGCTATGGCTGCAGCCATTCTTTGTCTTGTGTTAGGCTTGTTTTATGCTGCATCTTAAGAATTACAGGAAAAATTAAAGACTTCCCTTCTTGTTAGATCAGGAGGACTATGTCTATTATTTAACCCACTTTATACTAGATGAAGCTCCATTCACATCCACACTGAATGCAACAACCCTGCATTCCCACAGCATTTATCACTGAATGATTTCCAGGATCATGAACTCTGCAGCCTAAAGTTTCGGCAGATCTCTAAAGAATTAATGGGAGTTCTGCCCAAGAAAATAGTAGGCTCTGATATTGGCTGAGAAAGCATAAAATCGCATTAACTGGTATTATAGATATGTATATTTACACAGTCGGACATTCAACCTTTTAAAATATGTTTGTGCTTTTTTAATCATTGGCACCTGGTGGGCAAGTTTTTTTGCTCATCATTTTCTTAAGAGTCCTTATTACCTCATTTGCTTCAGTAGTTCTGGAGGGAGCTTCCGTCTGGGGCCCATAGTCATTTTCAGCTATGCTATACTCTTGAAAACCATCCACAATGTTTACCTAGTATTAAAGAAAAAGTACATTGTTAAAAAAAATCCTGTAGGAAAAACTCAAAAGCTATCACTTTTATTCAGGTTATGGTATTAGCCAGATGTAATCATCTAGTGGGGTTAGGTATATTTTTTCTTATTATCAGAGATCTTCCAGTCTTGGCCTGGGAAAGATCTTGATTATTTCTGGGCTACGTTTACCCCTAGTTTGCCTTTTGTTGCTGCTTGATAACTTTTCTTCTTCTTCGATGCATATTTTTCATATTTTTTTGTTGTGGCCTTTTGGGGTTTGTCCTTTGAGCTAGCGGCCACTGTCCTCTTCCTCTTTTTGACCATGCCTTTCTTTTTCTGCAAACGTTATGAAAGATGGAATGGGAAAACATAAATAAAAGGAAAAGAAAATTAAGAAAGCATGAATGAAAGAAGGGTAACCAAATGTGAGATGAATGCTGTCAGCCGTAAGACCTTCCATCTCTAACTGAAAGCAAGTGTTACAGCTACAGAATAAAGAAACGAGTGAAAGGAAAACATTAAGCTTATATACAGAAGACACAAATTGACAAACCATATGGTAGGGGACAGCTGGACACCACACGACAAACAGATCAGATTCTATTACCTCTGTTTGTGCTATTGTCTCTTCGAACAGTGGGGGTCCCTCTGTTACAGAATCAGTTTCTTTATAATCTGCATCCCCATACTCATAGTCATATTCGATAAAATCTTCTGGTGTGTACTACATTGCAAACGGAAAAATATCAGGCATTCCCATGTTAGTGGTAGCAAACTAGATTAGCAATACTGGAAAGCATCTTAACCTTTATTAGGAGTAAGCTTAAGAAAATTAAGGTAGTATGAACAATTCAATATAGTTATTCATTTGGGGGAAAAAATACAATTTCTTCTTTCTTTCAAAGCACAACACAAAAGTAATAAAAAAGCAAGTAGAAGTGCCAGGAAAAAACTCTCTTTTATTGGACTGCACAGAAGAATCAACTATAATTTGGATTACTGGGAGCACCAACTGATTTTTATGAAATCATATATTTGTTTAATCTTTAAATTGCAAATAATGCCTCTTTTACTTATACTCTTTTACCTGTGGTTTTTTCAGGTGACCAGAAGAGCAGAGAGATGCCAATATCTGACATGAATAGGGTAAACAATTTCAGATACAGGGAAGAGGCCATAACTCACAAATAACCATGGCTATCTTCCTCTTGTTTGCTAGAGAGTTCTCAAAACCAGGGCAGCTTCATGGTACACCTTGTCTGAGCAAATGTTTCACTGGTATAATTTTATTTAAAGGTCAGATCCTCAGCTGCTTTAAATTGCACTATAGCTCTGTATCTATAATAACTAGTATCAAATGAAGATTTGGCCCACAAAACTTTTACAAGAGAAAATGTGTTTAGAATTAGCTTGTGTAATGTTGTGAACGCGATCTACGGAGACAGGAACTCCTGAGCTGTAATCTTGGCTGTGCCATGAAGATACTGGTCTAGGTATTATGTGCACCAAGTACTACTCATCGCAGCTGAGAAGAAAGGGCAGCTTTAAACTATCTTACCAATCCTGTCATGCTTGAAGCTACAGGAACTGGTTGGTCCTGTAAATTAAAGCAGTCTCATGGCTGCTACCAATTCTCTTTATGTCCCCAGGGAGCCAAAGGAAGGTGGAATTGTGGCCAGAATCTGGCCAAGTGTCTGCTTTCCCTTGTTTAGGAAGAAATATTCTAATGTGCCTCATGTGAACTAGCCACTTCTGAAATCTCCTTTCTCCTGTTACAAGTCAGCATCATGTCTGTAAAATGAAGACAATATCTGTTTGTTTCATTAGATTGCTGAGAGGATTAGTACATTACACTTCCAAATGACTCTGCGGATTCATAGAAGTCATAAATATCATCAGCATCAGAAAGGGATTGACATTTTAGAAGAAATTATAAATGAGATTAAAACAGATCTCCATATTCCAAAATATATTCTACTATGTGACCAAATTACTGGTTTAATGATTTTCTCTGGTGAAGCCTTTTGATACAATTCTTGTACTTATGATTTTAGTGTACAGAAAATATGGAGAAGTTGATTTCCTCAGGAAGTATGAGAGTAACACAGAAAGGCCTTAATCACTTCAAAATCCTTTACATGGGTTTCTGTTACTTCACCCCTGTGACTCCTCAGAGTTGTACTATGTACTATGACCAACAGCTTTTCTTGAAGATACAGATTTTTTTAAGATATCAGATGCTTTTTGTTTGATAGTCCTTTTGATTATTTCTACACCAATGCACATATAACCTGTTTAGTCATGAGATTTGATAAACATACAGAAAGAATGTAACATACTTCTGGTAATTGTCTAAAACTATATTGCACATTAATAAGAAAACTTCAAATTACAAAACATTTATCATTTTAGGTAGACAATATCCTCTCTGTGAAGTACATTGGTGCTTCATATCTGCCTGTTATATAATGTAAGCAATGCTTTGATTTCATCAGTAGTGTCATTGGCATTACAGAAATAAGTTGATTCTATTTATACTTTTCAAAACCAGCAGCATTTCAGACTTAAAACTGGTAAGTAATATGTGATTATTCTCTCCCTGTTCAGTCAATTAAGATTCAGTCCCAATCCCAGTGAAGTCAATGAAACATCTTTGACTTGTAAATAGTTTTGTCCAAGGGCCTCATGGGCAGTGATGATACATTTTTACAGGTGTGTAAATGTATAAAAAGATGTCTTCTGGCTTGTGCACATCTGGAAATGCAACTCAATACAACTTGTTTCTAATGAAGAATGCCACTGACATCTGAAAAAGAAAACTCGGTGACAAGTTTCTAGGAGACCATAAGCAGCCACATAAAGGAAGTAAAGAAAAGAAATAACCACATGGAGAAAAACAGCCCTTTTGAAATAGTTACAGAATAGCATTGAAATTGCTGTATTTCTTTGGAAATTATAAAAATGTGTGCAAATGCATAAAATCTGATTTACTTCTGTCAAGAAATCTATGCAAACTAGGTTGATCTACAAGAAAAAAAAAGTCTTTAGTGGAATATACCTCTTCAAATTCAGTCATTCCACCCTACCAGTGACAGCCCATTACAAGTTTTTAAATGCTTCCTCAGCCAAACAACACGAATCAAACACTCTTCTATGTCATTTTTATTGGTACCAAAACAATAGACACTACCCATGTTAAATACTATCCAGTATCTTAAGGGATAAGTGGAGGAACATTTTGGAGAGAATCGCTGTTTCATTAGCAGGATTTAAACTTAAATATGCTGCTAGGAGTTTGTTTCAGTAACTCCCAGACATGTAGATTCCTTTTTAGTAAGCATTGTAGACCTATTCTGAAACTGGAAGCATTCATTCGAGCATTTATTTTGACCAATTAACAATTAAAATAAAACTCTGTGTTGCTCAGTATTATAACTGTTTTTCAAATCTCAGTAGTATGGCTTCCCTTAAGGTAGGCTGAATGGCTGTGCTGAATTGTGCCAACTATGCAACTAATAAAATTACAACAGTGGGTTACAAAAAGTTCTTCAGAGGCCATAAACTAAACATAAATCTTGCTTGGAAAAAAAAGAAAGGAAAAATGTCTTTGCCAAGTATGTTAATATTAAAAAAGAAAGTGGTGAATAAATTGATATTTATGCTAAGATCTGCCAGAGGCATAGTTTGGAAAGCCAGACATTTATGAATGAGAACTAGAAAACACTCACAAAAAAGCATGAGTATGTGGAGAGATCTATTGCATCATGCATAATCACACAGGAAATATTTTACTTTTGGGTACTGTGCTTCAATCATTTCTATTAAAGAAAATTAAACTTTCTTGACATATGCAAAATATTATCACAAATACATTTGGGTTACAATGATACACAGGCACACAGACAAAAAGAACAGGAATGGATGAGAAGTGGGGAATGTCAGTTTTCATGCTGGAATCAGATTACTGCCAAGCAAGTGAAGATCTTCTCCATGGACTTTTTTTATTCCTTTTTAAGAGCACAGTATCAGAGGGGTATTATGGAAATTCTTGAACCTACAAGCTAGGACATGTGGCTACCATGCTGAAACCATATTCAAGTAGTTTCTAATTTGCAGTACTTTGTAGTCCCCCTGGTACAAGGGGGACAAGTGGGAATATGCAGTAGCCCTACACTTCCTACATAGAAAGACCTTATTCTTAGCAATTCTTCCTTTCCGTTTCTTTCTGAAAGACCAGCAACCTTAGTCTTTCACACCAGCCAATAAACAGAGAGAATATGTTTTGTACTGTACTGCACTGCACAGGTCCTATTGCAATTAGTGAAATATAGATGCAAAATCTTCCAGGTGTATTTCCTGAAGCACAATCTGTCCAGAAGGAGGAATGCATCTCTACACTCCTAACTGGTATAAAGATCTACTTCAGAAATATGATTTATTTCACAGCATGATTTTATCAACTCAACCTGATAAAGGCTATTCCCCATTTTTAAGATGAGACAACAGGACTGGTGAAGGACTGGCCACTTAAATGAGGACTAAATTTACAAACACCAGGAAAAGATTTAATGGAGTGAATAATGGGGCTTTAGTCACCTGCTGTGAAGCTGGCAACTCATACTTATCCTGCCATTAACAGTCAAGATTGGATATGTGGCACATATCCCTTCTTTTTCTGAAGCTACACAACTACAAGGTCACCTTTATCAGATGACCAGAGACAGCGGTATGACCCACTCAGTTTGAGGACTCAACAAACCTTGAGAAAAGTGCCTTCACATTTTGGATGCTAACATGTCTGAGTGCAAAACCCATGCTATCTCAGGCCTTTCTATTAGTTCACATAAGTTGGGGAGTTCATAGAAATCTGTCATGGTTGCGCTGCTAATCAAAGGAAAGAGAACAAGTAGACTTTTGAAAATATAGGAGAAAGCACCTAGAATTTCAAAATTAATTAACGCTAATGGAAAAGTATCTTCTGCCACCTTCTGAATTTAGTCAAGACTACTAATGCTAGCAAGAAATCAAAGCAAGGAATGAAAGCAAGTATGACAGATATGAAGAGTGTAGTTGAAGAGAGCATGATTTGTTTTGTTAGCTATATACCAAAGGAAGATACTACTGGCCAGGAATGCAGCCAGAGAATCAAGAAGCTGGAACAGGACTTAAAGGGCCATTCAGAATGTGGATCATTCGGATGATCCTTCTATGGGTCAACTTAGCCAAGTGCAAAATATACCCACCACAGCTGTGCAGCGTTACTTCAATCCTGCTCAAGAGATCTGTCTATGAAAGTTTACCTAAACCTCAATACTGAAAGATAATGGGATAGTAAAGACCTGAGACAACACAGACAAGATTCACCACGTGCTCATCGTAATAGCAAAAGATATACAACTGTATTAACTTTCCCAGTGATTTAACATGAATATAAAAAAAGACTGACTCAAAATTTTATCTTTAACTTGAACAATAGCTGGAACCTGCTGAGAGATTTTGGCTAAGAGACATCAGGTAACACATACTTCAAATGTGATGCAATTTTCTGTTGTTCTTCTTTCTTTTCTTGTAAGACCACCAATAGTTACAGAACAGCCGTTCTTGTAATGAATATTGCATATGACTGTTTTCTTACAAATGAAAGGAAGAATAAAACTTGCTGTTCCTTGATGGGACAAAATCTTTCCACTGTGACCTCATGCTTTCTTTACCAGAGTGATTATA